TCACCTGGTCCAAGCTCATCGTGGAAGGCTATTAGGGGATACATAATGGAATATCGGCCTTTTCGGACCCTGCCGTTTGGTATATTATTCTTATAGGTATTTGATATAGGGTTCCTAAAAAATACTAATCTACTTATTTACTCTCTGTAGTAGATACCTACCCGCGATATAACTTATTAAAAATATAAGAGTACCAAATAGATTATGAGATTATTTTATTACTGATGTAGGTACATTATAGGAGTAAAAGTATCTTTGTTAAATATTTTGTTAATCTCCTCCCTGCAGTTGGGTACCTATACATTAGCAAAAACTGCTATGGGTACCTTATATAATACAAAAGAATAAAGAATACTCGTGTCTATTGGGCATCTGCCGTTCGGGCCGTCATTTTCTCGAATTAATGGATGTTCATTGCGGTTTTCGCCAGCGCGTTCGTTTCGTTTGCGGTCGAGAGATTTTTTTAATGAAACCGAAAATGCTAAAAAAACGAACGAAACATGTCGAAACTCGTCATTTCGCGTTCATTAGCTCCGTACAATGGGACGAGGAGGAAACGACGTTGGTTATAATTTCTTTTTTTTCGGCCGCTAAATTAGCGCAATTTTAAAGTCAAACGGGCTCAGAAGATATCCCCAAAATTGGAGCGCCGAAGAAAAGTTCCAAACAATACTTAATTGATTTATTTTGACGGCAAAATATACCTACAAAATCTTCCAAACTCTCCAAAACAAAGAGTAAAGGAACCATCCGAATTGTGGCCTTAAAACCTCACTCATTACATTTTATATAATAGTCTTATTTACCCAAGTCAACCGAACAACATCCAAGATTTATTCGATCACTCGTTTACCCATTCACGCAAGTAGGTAAAGTAACACTTTGTAAACGAGCAGCGGTCGTGTCGCGCTCAAAGCCGAACAAAACGGCGCTCCCGTTTTCGCTCGGGCGGCACAGCAGCTGCACGCGCTCAAAAGCTTTTCTCATCTATCTCCCGCACACAAAAAGCTCCGCGACGCTTTTCTTTTCGCTCCCTAATTGATCGCAACAATCGCAAACACGGCAGATAAACGACGTCCCGTCGACGGAGCGATCCCTTCGCGCGTACACATCGCCCTTTTCAGGTGTTCCTTTGGGTGTCTATTGACGCCATTAAATGCTCTCCGGTAGAGTAGGTGCGATGATGTTGCACTTTTATTACTTTCTTGTAATATACCTCCTGATGCTTGCAGGGAAACGAATATAGTATGATGGTTCGAAGCAATGTTTGCAATAAAATTGGAAAAGTATATGATTGTCAAAGTGACCTTCCACTTAATTGTTTATCGCTTCATTTAAATGCTGCATAAATAGTTACATCATTCGCGTTCTGGGAGAGGTATTCGGTAGGTATTAAACCTACAAATTATCGAGACAGGTGACGGAATCTGGAGGGCCCAACCCGTTTCGCAGAAAAATTCGCGAATCCGTTTTGGAACAGTGGTTTTTTTTGTGTAACGATTTAATAACCTGCCCGATTGCCGGGCATTGTGGAGAAGTAGAAAAAAGCGGTTTATTATTAGGTAGCGCTGCGAGTAAAAATTGCGAATGTTTATGTTAATTTTGGTATCTAATTTTGTATGTAAGACTCGCGTGAATCGATTAGAGGTGTAAACGAACCCCTGCTAATTTTCGCTGGAATGTAAAAAAACTTGCTTCGTGCAGGATGTTTCTTATTAAACATGTAATCAGCAAAAAAAGAAGTGTGTGACTTTTACTATTAATTATTCTCCTTATTGCATATTACTTCATTATATGTAGGTAGGTAATCGAGAGATCAAGTTTACAATAATAAACTCTCATCTATAATGAATAATCACTCCTCGGTGGTTATTACTACTTTTTTAGTTCTTCTAACATTAGCAACGTGTAAATAAATCAAAGAAGTAGGAATGACGGGATGATTAAATTTCGTATAATTACCTTACCTGCCATTTGAGGTACCTAAAGTACTAAAAAACCAAGTCGAACGATTTTGTTTGGTCCCGGCGGACACCTGGCAGGTGTAGGGGCCCATATCTGAGAGAAAAAAACGAGAAAAGGGACCACGAAAAAGGGCGTAGAGGGGGCGCCCGGAGGTACCGACCGCGGTGTCTCTCTCTCGTATATTCCCGCGGCATTAAAACCCAAAATATCGGTCTCGGTAATGCCTTGATGGGGCTCATTAATAGCCCGATGTGCAGCTGTTATTTTCTACATGGACCAATCAACCGCTCGCCGCCTACCGGACGCCATATTGCCGGTAATTTGGAGTTTGGGATTTTTCGGGCTGCCCTCTGTCATTCGGAATTGTTTGTGCCTCGCAGAGAGATCATTATTGTTAATTTCTTCTTAGTTTTTTTCTACCTAGCGCTCGAAGTAATCCGCTCGGATAATCTACAAGTTCGCGTTCTTGCTGATGATAATGTAGTAATAAAGCGAGCGATAGGTAGTTGCGATAGGTAATATATGAAAAAAGATTGTTGGAAGAATATAAATTAGCTGTCCTGTATCCCATGATACGCAATGGCCAATAAATAACCCATCCGTCAATGCGACTTCGATATTACAAGCGGTCTGTAATTTAGATCCACTCAATATCGCAGTTGAAAGACGAGTTAATAACAATAATACGCGGCACAAAAGCGACGATGCCAACGAGCACTTTGAGGCATTTTAACACGCATTATTATACTTTCGCAGTAAGGTAAATACACCTTTGAAATGTTAATAAGCGTTCTCGCGTTAAATAGGAAAAAAATTAAGCCCGCGATTGCGGCCAGATATATTCTTCCACACGTCCGAGATTTCGAGGCTGTTCTACTAACAAAAAACGAGATTGAGCGCAAAAATACTCGCTCGAAAATCGCCCGGCATTTGTATTCCTTTTTTCGGGCGGCAACTCGCAGGAATCTCCTTTCGAGCGGCGTGTTCTTGTCACGGTCTCATAAATTATGCAAAACCTTTAGACAAATTGCGGCCGCAGTTTTACATCTTGCCCCGGCTATTGTGCATTCGTAAAAATATTTCGGTCGGTCCGCATTCAATTAAACTTCGAACAGAAACGGACCGACCGAATTACAAAAATAATTAATATCATTCCATAAATACGTTTCCTGCGCGACTTAATGATTCTCACTTGTGCAAAACAATTTGTTATATTTATACTCCGTTCGCCACCAGGAGAAAGCAATGAACTGGAAACGAGGTGTGGTTTCTAGAGCAAAAAGAAGAGAATATGCTAGAAGTAGGTATGAGAAAGAAAAATCCTGAGAAATATATGCGGGGAAAAGAAGATGGATGATATGCGGACAAAAGAAAGACCAAAAAATCAGAGATTTTTATGATGGAGAGAGCTAATTATTCTGGGTCTGGTACAGTCACAAATAAGATGGCTAGGAATTGTAGAAATGATTCAGGACGGAGTGATAGCAAAAATAGGAAAGCAGAGGAAGACCAAAGAAGAAATGGAAGAGTGATGTGTAGGAAGATCTAAGGGAAATGAAAGTTGATGAATGTAAGGAGAACTTGTTTGGAGAACCCCGCTAACTCTTTTAAGGTTTTATTACTATCTCCTGATAGCGAATGGAGTATAATATTCTCGCACTTGTATAAGTACAAAACAATATGTTGTATCTCGAAAATACCATCATAACTCCGGAGCGCTTTATAAGAAGTAATTTGGTACTTTAATTCTCGCGCTAGCTATCCAATAAACCTTTCGAAGTTGCGCGAAATCGCTCACCCAACGGCCGTCGAAAAGTTAGATTAACGCCCATTAATCACGGGAAATTGCCGAAGATGAAACTTTTTTTCCATCGGGCGCTATCGCAACATAAATCATCGCCGGTTGCGGCGTGTGCGGTATTCGAAAACGCGACCGGCCATCTTTTATTGCGGCTTGCGTATTATCAGCACGTGTGAACGCTCGGCGGAGGGACATAAGAGATATCGTTAGGGGCACCTGTTACGAACACATCGACGATCTTTTCGTCTTTTTCGGGTTTCATCTCTCCTCCCGACGCTATATTGGATGGTTTTATCGTCGGTTTTACAAGTGTCGCGGAAACTCGGACCGCGTTTCATTAAACGGGGGAGAGAAACCGGATTTCGCGCATTACCATATTTCGTTTTCTGCGAAATTCCAGGACGTAGATCAACTGGACAAAACTTAGTTAAAATAGTTAAAACTACATCGTCCTAGAGTAATTTAAGTTTATAAATAGAGTCCTGTAGAGCAGATTTAGAGTAGTTTAAGACTTTTAAGAGTAGTGTATAGAGCAGGTACTTAATAGAGTAGATTCAAAGTAGTTTAAGAGTAGAATAGATTCAGAGTAGGTTAAAGAATTGTGTGGAGTAGGTAAAGAATAGAGTACTTAATAGAGTAGATTCAGTTTAGTTTAAGAGTAGAATAGATTCAGAGTAGGTTAAAGAGTAGCGTTGAGTAGTTAAAGAATAGAGTAGATTCATAGTAGTTTAAGAGTAGAGTACTTTAAGAGTAGAATAGATTCAGAGTAGTTTAAGAGTAGTATAGGGTAGTTGAAGAATAAAGTAGAGTACTTAATAGTGCAAATTCGGAGTAGTTTAGGAATATCTATTGTAGAGTAGTTAAAGAATAAAGTAGGTTCAGAGTAATTTAAGAGTAGAGTCAATCTACTCTATTAGTAAGTGCATCAATTTACCAAGAACACCAAAAAATTGGCTAGATGAACCTACCCAACGAGGCAATGGAAAGAGCATTTGCGCAGTTGACCTTCTCCGAAATTGGGACGAATTTTGAGGCATTTTAAATAAAAAACCCGGCTCGAATTACTAGTTTATTTCAAATACATGTAGTCTTTAACTTAACAACCTATACAGAAATAAAATAAAAACGAATTGTACAATTCATTTCGCGAAAATTACACTCCTATACGTAATATCCGTAAACGAAAGCCGGTTGTGAGATATAAAAGAGACAATCAAATCGGTCCAAAAGGGTTTTATTTTTTGACGGAAAAATTGGCCGCAATCCTCGCTTTCCTTTGTTTCTTCGGTTTTTGCGAATTCTAAAACAAACGATACATTTTTTACGAATTCACACTAAAATTTTGCAGCGCTTACTTGACTCGGTTGATTCACCGCGGTCGTTTCTTTAATCTTTTCGGTCGTAACCGCCGAGTTCGAAGGCTTTTTATCACTCTCGTTTTTCGCTGCGTTATTTTGCGAAGCGGTCGATTTGTTGAAATGGCTCTTAACAGCCTGCAAGGGCACTAGAGAATTGTTTAACACCGAAGTGGCCGAGACTTCGTTGCCGTTACCCATCTTCGCGTATTGCTTCGCCTTCGATTGCTGCAAACAAGACTCTTTTATAATCAGTTTAGATCGTAGTAAATGAGATTTACCGGTTTGTCCCTCTTTTCGGGATTCACCCAATTAACCGGCGGCGTTGGAATGTTTTCCTTGTGTATCTGATTGACTGATTTGCCCTAAAATACGACTTTATTACAACAAGTTCCTTTTAATTTGTATTGAATTTAACGCACGTTTTTGAGCAGCTCCTTCAGAACGACGTAGGCGACCTTCTCGCTGGCCTCTTCCTGATTTTTGGCCGGTTCGCCCATGACGATTTTTCCGTTGTTGAGGGTGATTTGGGCGCATACGCCCCTGTTTACTGGGAAATACTGATACCTCGGCAAACCTAGATTGTTCGACTGGTAATAGGTGAGTAATCGAACGGTGGCCGGTTCATTGGCTACTTGCTAAAATAACAATTTTTTTATCAAATATTTTTTGTTAGATTGCGTTATAGTTGTTTATATTACCGCTAACATATCAAACGAAACGTTGCAGGAGATAGTTTCCTGCTTGTTACCGGGTTTGGTTGCTTTAGGTTGGGAATTGGCAGGCGGATTACCTATGCCCAGCATGTTTCTTAGGAAATTAGTGTCTACTGTTGTTGCCTAAAACGGTGTTTGTTTCATAAGTGACCAAAGTACCGTCGAGTAAAAGGACTTGTAAAAATTTACCCTAGGTGTTCGATCCGCGGCGTCCTTCCCCGCGAAGTTCGGCATGAAACAATTAGGATTTTTCGTTTTCCCCCTCCGGTTTTGGTTGCGCCTTCTCCGCATTCTGAGCGGACTGCTCTCGCCAATTGCCTGGCAGTTGCTTCTCAACCGACTCCTTATTTTTCTGAGCCGATTTTTCTCTATTATCCACCACAGCGGGCTTCTCCAAAGCCTTATCATCTTTACCACTGAAAAATTCCCGAACGTCCTTCTCGTCCAGCTTCTTCCAACCGGCGTTTTTATTTTGCGCGGCGCTCCTGTCGCGTTTGAGTATAATCTTATCGCGATTCTGCTGGCCATCGGCGAGCCCTTGCTCGTCGTTCGCCTCGGGCCGAGCGAAGTTCGGCGAGGCGAAATGCGCGAACGCCGAACTGGCCTGGTTCAGCGCCTGCTGCGACTGGGGCCCCAGCGGCCTTTGAGCAGCGTACCAGGGCTGCTGGAACGACGGCTGCGGCCGGATCAGACTGCCCAAATTGCCGCTTTCCTTGCCGTTCTGTCCGCCGTTAAACGCCTCCGCTTTCGCCATCAATTCGTCTGCAAAACCCAAACGATACAGCGCGTGAACGACGCGTAGTAGAAGCCCAAAATATTTACCCGTATTTCCGATCTTCTCTATTTCGCATCGCTTGCCGTAGGAAATGTTGACGAACGCGTGCTTGGGCAGCATGTAGCCTCTTTTGTCGGAGCAATTCAGCTTCAATCCGTTCTTGAATTGTTTGTCGAAGACTACCTCGTAGACGGTGTCTCTTTCGGAGGCCGTGGTTTGTCTGATGGCCGTTACGGTGCCTTTGTGGCCGAATGGGACTGTATAGCCCGGTCGTACGTTGACCACTCTGTCTAGGATTTCGGTTTTGGCCTTCGGATCGGGCTCCAGGGTGCCGCACTGAATTTCGGGCTGCAAATAAATGGCGTAATGAGGATATTGTGAGCGATCAATCACTATGTTTTCTTACTCTATATAAAAAGGTGGGTTTAATTTGCATGGTGACCTTCTTGACTTCGGAGTTGTCGAAGGAATCGACTATTTTTTCCAATTCCGCTATGGCGTCTGGATCTAAATTGATGCTGTTGCATGGTGTTTTTTCGACATCTTCGGTCGGTAAGGATTTCAACCATTTCCTTATTTCCACCAATTTTTCGTGACTACAAATAAGTGTAATTAAATTCATAAATATTCGTGATGTTTGAATTAATTAATACCTATCCTCGGGAAACACTTTATCCACAGTCATCTCATCGTTGTGATTCTTGCTCAAAAACTCCAACACTTCGGGGAATTTATCGGCGTATTCGTCGACTATTTCAGCGGTTTTGTCGGTGTACAACCAAACGTTGTTGAATTTCCTGGTGTAACCGGGAGTTTCCTTATTCTTCTTGTTCCACTTCAAGTCCAGGCCGATGTTCACGCGTTTCCCGTCGCCCGTGTCGCTCACGTAAATGGCTCCGGTTATTTTAGAAAACAGATTGTTAGACATGCCTGTAAAACGATCGTACGATAGAATAGAGCAACGAGAGAAAATTCGACGGGATCACCTAGCGAGCTGGCGAAATAATGAGCCGGTTTGTACTTTTTGCTGACGTTATCGAACATTTTTTTAATCGCCGATAAATCGGGCTCCTTCAACACCGATATGGACACTTTGATTCGTCCGTTCGTAGCCACTTGCGCGGCATCTAAAACCTGCGGAATCGGAATTTTTAGCGAATTTCAGCAGGCCGTTTCGGCGGTCCACTCACCGCAGCCTGGGAACCGTAGAACGGATTGGCCAACGTGAAGCACATGGCGTTCTTGGGAAACACGATCTCCACGTTCTTCGACACGTTTTTCAGCGGATCGTAGGCTTTGATGTCGTAGACGATGCTCTGCAACGGGTGGCTCGACACGTTCGGAGCGTACTGCTTCTGGAGTTCGAGCTTTCCTTTCGAATTGCAAACGAACTTTTTCCCAATCAATTGTCGCACGTACACCAACACTTTTATATCGCCGAACAGTATTCCCAAGCGGTTTTTGTTGCTACGAATGAATAGTTTAAATACTTAGCGTCGACGCATTTAGAAAACATTTGTAATAAAACCCGATTGAAAAAACCTGTAGCAGATTAGATATCGAAGAGCTCACATAACGATAATTGCACTAAAATCCACTAAGCGCCTATTCCCGTTGTTTTATAGAGTAGATTCAGAGTAGTTTAAGAGTAGAATAGATTCAGAGTAATTTGAAATTTGAAAGTAGATTCAGAGTAGGTTAAAAGTAGTGTAGACATGTAGAGAAGTTAAAAATTAAAGAATAAGGTAGATTGAGAGTAGTTTAAGAGTAGAATAGATTCAGAGTAGTGTAGAGAAGTTAAAGAATAGAGTAGAGTACTTAATAGAGTAGATTCAGAACAGTTCAAGAATAGTATAGTTTAGAAATTACAGTTGGTTTAAGAGTAGAGTAATAAATAATTTAAATATTTACTTCGATGCATTTAGAAAACGTTTTTAATAAAACCTGTAGCAGATTAGAAATCGAAGAGTTCGCCTAACGATAATTGCACTCACTGTTCATTGATGCCGCTGATGCTCATGTCGAATTCTCTCATTTCCCCGTCTTTGAGTTCGTGGACGTTGTACTGGTTCGGCCCTCCTTGGCTCAGGAATTTTTTACGTCTGTTCGAAATGGCCACCACACTACAAACAAAATGGCAACAGTTCGGTAACAATTTTTCACGTTTACAGCTGCTTACATAGCTTCAGTAAGATGAGGCCACCCGACGAACACGCTAGACCCCAACAAATCGACGGGTATCAAATCCCCGGCAAATTTGGATTCCGGTATAATATGCAACATCATGCTCTCGTTTCTGCTCGGTTGTTCGAACACTTTCACGTGCGCCATTTGCACCTCGCCCTAATCAAACATTTTATTATTAAATCGACCGCACGAGGCGCAAACAAAATGAATTCCACCTTATATTGTAGGTGCTTCATGGTGGGAAAGCCCGGGTAATAAACGTTCATATGGGCGCCGGGATAAGCGCCTTTAATCAATTTCGCTTCGGGCACCAGAACTTCTTTGTAGGTCAACGTTTTGACTTCGGTGTGGTTGTTCAGGACTTCCGGGAAGTAGCAGGGCGCTGGATAAATCCCGTTGTTTTTGGACGTGTACGAGTACACCAACATCGGCCCGTGGCTGTTGCGCTGCTTCTCGTCCTCGGTGAGATTGTCATTACAAGTACTCATAGCGTTCAAAAGGAGTTTCTGAAATCACACAATTAGGTCAATGTATCGTGTATAATGTGATGAAATTACTTACCTCATCGATGAAAGGGATTTTTACTACAGCCTCCCAAGCTTGCTTTTTGCCATTCAAATCGCACTCGAAATCTTGAGGATAATAATCGATAATTTTGGAATGTTCGTCGGTCATTAAATCGTGATAACATTCCGGTAGTAATTCTTTACTAGCAGCAGGAAGGACGGCGAGAAGCTGTAAAAACAAATAACGTTAGGTGAATAGGGCGAAGCTTTGTGAGATTATCTTACTTGCTCGAAGGGGTGAAAGGGTTTGCCCATGTCGAATTCGATTTTCGAATCGGTAAATCCCTTTATATCGGAGATATAGGGTGAATAATGGTGCGGGTAAAACCACGACCATGAGCAACAACCGTTATAATAATAGTTCAAATTCCATTGAATGGCTCTGACGAAGCCTACTGCTTGGTCCTTTAAAACCTCCCTACACAAATAAACACAATCAATCAAAAGGTTATCTAATTTGTTATTAACTCATTATCTTACTCGGTCACGTTTGCGTACTCTAATTTTTCTTTATAATAATCGCTTTTGAAATTCGCAAACTCGGAATCTGAAAACTGTAAATTAAATCATGGCAAAAATATTTCATGCAATTTTCTAACTGTTCACAAATTCATCAACTGATCTCAATAAAGCTTCCAACCCGCTATCTCTGACCGGTTCCGGTTCAGGAGATTCTCCGATTGGTAAACCATCGTCACCGAGTCCCTCTTCCCAATCTCCAAGACAATCCTAAACAAAAAAAAACAATTTTAATTGAAAATTACGATTTAATTACGAAAAATAACGTACTAATTCATCAAATTTATCTCCCCTCTTCGATTCCAAATACATCATATCGTCTTGAATCATTTCGAAATTCACCATGTCTTGTTCCCCGAGCTTCCGCATGTACATTTCGAACCTCGTCAAATTCAGCTTTCCGCCTTCGTTGATGTAGCCTGAAATTATTCGGTTAAACAGCCATAATTATTCGGTTCAAGCAATATATCAACCGTCCAACGTGGGTAGCACTTCCATGTAGGTCTTGTAGAGAAGCGGCAACGCTCCTTCGGCTATGTGCAAGTTGGGTAGATGAGGAATGAAATCATTGCCCACTAGAAATCCCATTAGAACCTAAAAAATAATCGTCAATAGGTAATTTGTTGTCTAACGGATGTTTCGAACATACCCAATCATCGATTAGTTTCTCTAAATCGTAATCGAACAATTTCAATTGATATCTAATAGGACTGAATTCCAGTTCCAAATAGTCTCTTAGTAAGGATAAGTGTAGTAAGAAAAACGTTATTTCCTCGGGAACTGTTATCCTTTTATTATCTTTCCTGCCAAATTTTACCTAAAACGGTTGATTTTCTGGATTATTGGACATTATGAAATATAAAGTATTACTTCTTCTCTAAGTAAACTGAAGTGTGGCTCGTGAGTACACAACCCCAGCATGATCAGATCAGCATCAAGACCGTAAAGACAGTGCCTTGTATTGGGATCATAACCAGTTTGTGCTCTCAAATACCTAATGTAATCCATAATTTTATGTTCCCCTTCCCCAGGCGTCTATAAACAAACGGTATTAAAAACACTATTAAAATCTTTGAGTATTTATATACCTCATGTCCCGATAAAATTACTTTGCAGTTTTGCCACAGAGGATCGTTCGATATCTTATCGACGATAAAATATTTGAGCTGCTCGTGCAATCTAGCCATAAACACCGTTCCAGGAGTAATGCAATTCGAATCGAACCTGGCCTCGTCGGGAAGCTTCTCGCCCTTTTTGATGGCCTCGGCTTCGGCTTTAGCGGCATCGGCGGCGGATCGGAATCTCCTACCCCGCTGTTGGTTCATTTTAGCTCGGGGAGCTACCCCGTCGATGGCCATGAAGAACAGCTTCTGGGGCTTGATCAATCGAAACAGCACTTCGATGTAGTGGAATATGTCTTGGAAGATGGTTTCTTCGGAGATGCGGAAGTGCGGGTCGTCGTCGTTGGGATGCGAGCAGTTGTGAATGATTCCGTTCATGTCCAAATACAAGTGGTCGAATTCGGGAATCTGAAAGGCGTTAGTTGAATTGAAATTCAAGTGCGGTTATTATTTAGCTCGGTACGAACCTGGTAGTCTTTTACGACTTCGCTCAAGCAGGGGTATCTTTCGCTAATGTACCTGAAGAATTTCGGTACCCCCATGGCTCTTCGGTAAAATTTTTATACAAAACAAATGGAAGAAATAATTAGGCTTTTTTTATAACCACTAACCATCTGTTTTTTATAGGTACTTTACAGATTTTAGATTGCCTATGGTAATTTACTAACTTGCAGAAGTTTATAAATAAACATAAACACTATGGTCACTGTCAATGTCAATCGTCAGATTTTGTTGTTTTATGAAATTTATGCCTCGCGTCACATACCCTTCAGAGGCCTTCAATTTTTAGAGTAGCCAGTCACGTATGTCAAAACTCAAATCGTGGCCGGATGAGACATATCCGTGTAACAGAAAAAGAAGAAGAATGTAAATAAAAATGGAAGAATGCGAGCGAAAATTTCATATTATTTATTTACGTGTAACATTCATCGATCTAATCGAATTCGTCAATTAACTACAATGTGTTCGAACAAAAGAGGAGCCTTAATAGTCGTAGAAGGCGTAGATAGATCGGGAAAATCCACACAATGCAAAAAACTCGTAGAAGCCTTGGAACAAGCCAATTTTCCTGCGAAGTTGATGACTTTTCCTGATAGAACAACTTTAACCGGCAAGCTAATAGACGATTACTTAAAAAACAAAGATTGTAAGTTAAACGACCAAGCTATACATCTATTATTTTCGGCCAATCGATGGGAAAACGTCGAAAAAATGAAATCGTTGATAAACTGTGGAGTTACGCTCGTCATAGACAGGTATTCTTATTCAGGGATTGCTTTCTCCGCTGTAAAGAAAGGTGAGTCAACATTACATCATATCCTGCTTATCAAAGATTAATTTTCATTGTATTTCAGTAATGAACTTGGATTGGTGTAAACAACCGGAAAACGGTCTCCCGAAACCGGATCTCGTGTTTCTGTTAACAATAAGCCTGGAAGAAATGCTAACTAGACCGGGCTTCGGAAATGAAAGATACGAAAACATGTCCTTCCAAAACAACGTGGCAAACATGTACAACTCGTTATGCAGCGATAAGGATAATTGGGTGAAAATTAACGCAGCAGGTTCAATAGAAGAAGTCCACAAGAAACTCGTTGATATTTCATTGAACACAATAAGAGAAGTCGAATCTTTACCTCTCAAGTCTTTGTATTTCGAAAAAAGTTAATGCTAGCTACCTATTACAGCACGCAGTAATCCAAATGTAAGTTCTAGGAGATAACGTCCAAATAGAATTGTTCCTATACTTTATTTAATTGCCTTTATTTTTGTACCGTTTATGGAAACTTAATACATTACTACCATTCTAATTCTATTCGATTCAATCCTCAGCCGAACCCATCTCAAAAATCATCGTCGCTGTCTTGTACTTTGCTGCTCTGCAGCCTCCCCGAAGGAGCCCTACGATCGACCGAAGACAACTCCAATGTCATAGATTCGTCCGAATGCATCAGCTCCGGCTCGTCCTTATCCAAGAACAAATCGTCCGAGTCCGAGCTGAGATCCAGAGACGACTGGCTGCCGAACATCGGCGGCTGCAGAGTACCAGGCGCCTTGCCCGTATCCTCCAACTTACTTCGACCTATCAACCGCAAAGTTATCGATACATTATCAGGATTATACGGTAACTTACTTGCGGTAGCGGCTTTCTGTCTCTCGTGTCTGTTAGTCGCCCCGCTTCTGTCCACGCCGGTCTCGTTTTTCTCCAAAAACAAATCGGTCTCGTCGATTTTCTCCAACGGTATGGTCGGTATTTGGGGCAAGCCCAGCTCGATTTGTTTCTCCATTTGCGTGGACTCAGATTCGGCGAATTGCTTCTCCAACGAATGCAGGCACCTCAGCCGCAGCGAGTACTGCACGAAGAGCTCTTCCAGTTCCTTTTCCAGCGCCGTGAATTCCTCCAAAAACGCCGGCCTGAAACGCGAATATAGGATCGAATCGAACAGGAGGAGAGTTGAAGACCGACCTGACTTTTTTGAGCGCTTGCAATCGCTTCTCGTAGCGACTTATTTCGACGTTTCTCTTCTCGATTTTGGAGTCCAGAGTGGCCTCGGTGGCCGCTACGTTATCGATGAGTTGCTTCGTTTCCGATATATCTCGATTGATGGATTTTATGGCTTCTTTTATGCCCGATTCCACTTCGGACAACTCGAATTGCCTGGCTATGCTTCGTTGACGGGCGATCTAAAACGCTCGATTGATCTCTAATATTTATTGATATTACTACTATAATACCTTTAAGTCCGCCTCTTTTCCGAGCAAATCGTACAAGTGCGAACCGGTGGTCGTTATTTCGTTAGCTAATTGCCTCGAGAATTTCAATTCGTTTAACTGAAACATCGCAAGTAGATTAGAAGAATTTGAATGGATACGATTGCACCTTATCAGCGACATCGAAATCCCTCAAATCCACGTTATTCTCGAGGAACTCGTCGTCGTTGTCCTGCTCGAGGTTGCTCAACAGAGCTTCGTGGAGGATCTTCGTGATCTTCAGCAGCTCTTTCACCGAGTACCCGTCGGCTTGGTACAGTCTCTTCGTGTTCAATCTGACGTTAACTTTGACCGCCTGTAAACCCGCAGCTGGTGAAATTCGATAGGGGAAACATCGGAGGATTTTACCATGAATTCCGCCACGTTTCGCACCAATTTCACGCGCTCGTCTTCCGTGGAAATGTCGGCGGGCGCGTCGAAATCCGGGTCGAATCTCTTCGACAGCCACACCAGCAAATCGGCGGTCAAAGGGAAATTGGGCGACCTGAAGCTCTCCATCGACACCAGATTCGGGTAGCCCAGCACCCGCAGCGTTTCTATCAAATCTAACGCGACAGTCGGAATGAAACCAATTTGTCAGTTGCGAAAAATTGTTACTTTATTTCATCGTAATTCTACCTCAATACAATCAGCTTGGTACCGAATTTTGGACTAATTTAAGTTACCTTACGAGGCTACTTATGCGTTTATTGGGACTTAGTTATGGTAGTTGTTGCATTTGTAGCGGAATGGGAAGATGCAGGCGTCTGGATAGCAGGAAGAGTACCAAGGAAAGCAGGGATAATAAGAACCCATTTCTGTTCTTCTTGATTTAGTAGTGTTTTCGTTTCGGAAATGGTTTACTGGAAATTTGGAATTTGTTGCCGAAAATTTGGATGATGTGGATGCTTGCGAATGACAATTATTTTTGAACGATTCGTGATTTGTTATTACTATGGAGATACTTTTAAAAGCGAGTTGATAAAGGTTTGTTTACACATTAATCAGAAACTACGTCAGGATTCGAGCATTATCTCTATGAAAGTCTTTACATTTTTCTAACATAAGCAAAAATGCCACAATTTAGATGTGTTAACAAACCTGTTGCTTTAATTAATTATAAAAAAACTTACTGCGAATATCTCTATACGACATTTTTGGTGTATAAATCTTCGTTAAGTGAATACAAACAGCGGTTGCTAAGCAACTCATTTCCAGGGGTGTACTAGCCTTATTGAAAACAAAATCGAAATTTCAAACTCCCGAAAACGGCCCTGCGTTGTTGTTGTTTTCACGAGTTAATTTTATAACAGCTTTTTCTATTATCTTTCACAAAGTTTCTTAATACCAACACGCTGATAAGAATGCATCTTACGTAAATCAACACAATATGTGGAAACAATTCGAAAATATTATTATTTTTAACACCGACCATGTCAGGTCTCCGGGTAAGTAACTCCACGCAAATCACCCACTTTCAACCCCATTGAATCTTCAAATTTTCAAGTATTTAAGCGGCTTCGGTTCGGAATTCTCGTCGGAGGACCCCCGCCGGCCCGGCGCTCTCCCCGTTGGCCAGAACAGCCCCCAGCGATGCGCCTACGGCCTCTACGCCGAGCAGCTCTCGGGCTCCGCGTTCACCGCGCCCCGATCGGAGAACAAAAGGACCTGGTTGTACCGCATCCGCCCTTCGGTGGTGCACAGGCCCTTCCGCATCTCCGACAACCGAAATATCAACCACAACTGGGACGAGGAGGAGCCCAATCCCAACCAGGTACCACTACAAATCTTTTATACGTTTAGAACATCGTCTTCAAAGAGCTTTAGGTGTCTATTTTTCGATTAATTTACGTACTCCACAAGTGTGTAACGAGTGCTAGAATGTTAATTAATAATGAGAACTACTTTCTATTATGTAGGCGAATTGTTTGCTATACGGTTAATTTCACTTTTTAGTTGCATTGGCATCCGTTCGATTTGCCCGTTGGCGGCGAAAAGACAGATTTCGTGGACGGTATGCACACGATATGCGGAGCAGGAGATTCGAAATGCAAAACGGGCATCGCCGTGCACGTTTACTCCTGCAACGTTTCGATGGGGAATAGGGCGTTCTACAACAGCGACGGGGATTTTCTGATAGGTAACAGGCCTTATGGTACCGAGTGTAAGCTAATTCCGAGCAAATTCCAGTGCCTCAGACCGGGGAGTTGCTGATAAAGACGGAGTTCGGTAGACTCCGCGTGGCGCCCAACGAAATAGCCGTCGTGCAGCAAGGCATGCGCTTCCACGTGGAGATTTCCGAGCCCTCCAGGGGGTACATCTTGGAGGTGTTCGGCCGGCACTTCGAGCTGCCCGATTTGGGCCCCATCGGCGCCAACGGCCTGGCGAATCCCCGCGATTTCCTCGCGCCCGCGGCGCACTATGAAGACGTCGACGGAAGGTTCGAAATCGTGGCGAAGTACCAGGGCAGGGTGTTCTCCTGCGAGCAGGACCACAGCCCGTTCGACGTGGTCGCCTGGCACGGGAACTACGTACCGTACAAGTACGATTTGAGCAAGTTCATGGTCATCAATTCCGTTTCCTTCGATCATTGCGTAAGTATCGGGGTGGTCCAAAAGTATAACTAACATTTTAAATTTCCTGCTATTTTCTTTTTACAAGAAAACACTGAAGTTTAGTTATGGGGAAGTACACTATAGACTATAGAACAACGGGTAGAAATTGTGAAATTTCACTTCTACAAGAAATATTTCATGCAGAAACTTATGATTTGACACCGTTAGACTTCTTTCTGTAGGTGGTTATCTAAACGATAGAATTGATATCAATAAATCTAAAACAATTAAGTACCCCAAAGATGAAATTCCTCTTGGGACCGGATATTAATTGAAAATATGTATAAATAATGAAACTCAGTATTGTTCGGATCGCTCTAATTTGGAATAATCATCGCTCGAAAAATAATTGAATTACTTACAAGAAAATTTCTAAAAGAGTGTTAATAAAAAATAGTCTAGTGATCACTCGTCGTCGACCTCCACCCTGGGCCGGTGCTTCCTTTTGCTCACTTTAGTAGCCCTCGGCCGGGCCGTGGGTGGATTCTCCAAATCCTTGAGCTGCTGGTCGGTGAGCCGGCCCTTGTACCAATCGGCGCACTCGGGCACGTTCCTCGCCCAGTCGCAGCGCTTCGACACGTCGTCGAACACCTGGCCCAGCTTGCAGCCGTTGCGGCGCGGCGAGTGCCCGTTGATGCACACGTAGAAGAACTGACAGTCGTCGGGATCGGCGTAGCGCGGGTGCGTGATGCCCACCTCCTCGGGCACCTTGGGGCACTCGAACGCGAACACCTCCTCCGACGTGCAGCCCTTGCGCTTCGCCTCGTCCGGCCACGAGCAGATGCCCGACTTCTCGTTGTACACCAGCCCGTCGGGGCAGGTGATCTGGTTGAATTTGCCGTCCACGCAGAAGTAGAATTTGTCGCAGATGTTGCGTTGTTCGTGCGCGAAGTAACCTACCGAAATAATATCCATATAGCGCAATCTAATCGAGTGGAACGAAATTACTTACCGTGCTTCCTGGGACAGTGCTCGCTGGGCTGGGGCTCCTGCAGTTTGGGCCGCGACGAGCAGTCGATGTTGAACGGCAGATCGCACTTCTCGTACTCGGAGCTGTAGTCGTTGAACACCTGCCCGTCGGGGCAGAGCTTCTCGGTGATGCGGCCCTTGTCGCAGTGGTAGAACTTGTCGCACTGTTCGGCGTCGGCGAAGTAGCCGTCCGGCTCCGGGCACTGGTCGGACACCTCGGCGGCCTCCTCGACGGGCGGCTCGCGCGGCCTCGTCCTCCGGTCGCCGCCGCGCGCCCCACTCGCCCCCACGCACGCGATCGCGAGGAAAACGAACGTCCGGTGGACGCGATTCGCTGACATGGCTAGCTCGACTGACTGGCTCCGCGTCAAAGGAAAAGGAGTTTTAAGGCTTACGTGCGACTAGGCGGTGCGTAGAGGTGGATGCTGATGGTACACAGCTAGCAGGATTTTCTTCAATCTTGTGTAGATTTATTACGAGTAGTTACTGGGAGTGGATGATGGATTTGAAAGGTGGAAATATTGTTTGGTAAATGGAGTAAAGTGGTGGAATTGGTGGGAGGTTGAAATATTCTTGTTGATAGTTTGAGTTAATAAATAACGGTGATTTCAATTAGCTGTGTCGCATCTTTAATTTTGTTACTTTCTCTCTGGTTCTTGTCGATTGACCTTCGGACAAACGGTCTTCGCGATATTTGGGATCGTCAGGGATTTCTTCGTAGTTTATTGTCGCAATTAAATTGCGCTTCATTCTTGATTTATTACAATTTTTTGCCTCTTATCATTCGAATTTACATTAAAACTACTCTTATTGTACCATTACCAATTTATGTATACCTAGGATTGTCGTTTAGCTCCAATTTAATATGCAAATAAGCGCTGTTGTCTATCGTTCAATATTTCCAGGATCCCTCCATTTTCACGGTGCTGACCTGCCAGTCGGATAGAAAGGGCACGGCCATCGCGGATTTCGTGATATTCCCGCCGCGGTGGTCGGTGCAGGAGCACACCTTCCGGCCGCCGTACTACCACAGGAACTGCATGTCGGAGTTCATGGGCCTGATCCTCGGGGAGTACGAGGCGAAACGGGGCGGCCTGGCGCCGGGCGGCGCCACCCTGCACAGCATCATGACGCCCCACGGGCCGGACGCCGGCTGCTTCGAGGCCGCCTCCGCGGAGCCGCTGAGGCCGGCCAGGGTGGCCGATAACACGCAGGTGAGTGTTGCTATAGACTGTAGGGTTGGGGCTAAAGGGAAGTAATTTCTGTGGTTTTTAAGGCGTTCATGTTCGAAAGTTGCTTGGGCTTGTCGCTGACGAAATGGGGAGCGAAAACGTGCGATAAATTGAACCCGGACTATTACAAATGCTGGCAAAACATTAAGAAGCAATTCGACGATAAGTAAACGCAAAATTATTTTACGACGGTTTATTAAAAATTAATTGTGTAGAATAGAAGCGCCCGGGCTGGGTTTGCACACGTAAAACGTCGCCTGTCCTTTGTACTTGTCTTGAATATTTTGAATTACATTATCCACCGACTTCGAATACACCTACAAGCAGACGAATAAATAATCTCTATAAAAATATAACGCTAAGCGCTTACTAAAGTCACGGTACACCCTCCGAAACCGCCTCCCGTCATCCGACTACCCAGCACTCCTTCCACCTCCAGGGCCAATTCCACCAGACTGTCCAATTCTGGACAAGACACTTGGTAATCGTCTCTTAGAGACGCGTGACTCTCCGTCATCAATTTCCCGAACTTCACGAAATTCGATTGCTTGAGCATCTCGGCCGCCTCCGCCGTCCTTCGGATCTCCGTGATGACGTGCCGGGCTCTCGCTATGATTTCCGCGTTCGTGTTGATCGATTCCAAATCTACAAAACAACCGTAATACCACCAAATTAATAATAAAGTAACTTAAATAACGGTTATTTTGTAACAGTCGGTACTGCACCTCTACACCAAATATTGATCCCCATCTCTATTAAACTTCTGTCATTCAAAATGTCATTATTATCAATTTTGACAGTTTTTGTATCATCGAACGTATCTTAAAGTCCGACTTATTCGCGTTTCGTAGAGTATATGGTGCGGAATTTCGGTATCGGATTATAAAATTCAGGTAAATTCGATTACATTTGATGTCGTCCAAATTGGCGTCGCGCAAACTGACTTTTTTCAGTATCATCGCCGCCTCCTCGCATTGTTTCCTCCTGGTGGGGTACTCGCTGCCGGTGAGCTGGTGCTTCACGTTGGAGTTCGTTATCAGTATAATCACGTTATCGTCGTTTAGAGGGATTAAAGACGATGTTAAATGCCTGCGGTGGCGAGAAAAAGTAATGAGTAAAAAGAGGGTCGATAATTACAGCGATAATTACCTGCAATCTATTAGAAGCGCGTGGTCTTTGTTGCCCATGAAGGAGATAAATTGGTCCATGATGCCGCATGGCATGCCCGCGTAATCGTGTTCAGCCTTCTGGCAGGCCAAAGCTTTTTTCGTTAACCTGAATCATAAATTAGGAAAATATGGCGTGCGTTAAACTCGTTTGTTAACTTACTGAGTAGCTTCTTGCTGGACTCCCATTAGTTGGTCCAGAAATATGTAAGTAGCCACCTCCAAGGAGGCGCTGCTGGACAGGCCGCCTCCGATCGGGACGCTCGTGTGTACCACAGCTTTGAAAGCCGACGGAACGTCCCCCAAATAGTTCGCGATCACTCCTAAAAAATTGGTTAGTTTCCTTCGGAATTTTTCGTCATTAATTCGTCACCTTTCATGTACATGGCCCATTTTGGTCCTTCTCTGTTTATAGCCCTGACGAGGCTAAACTTGTTCGGTATCTCGAAGGTGGTTCGTTGTTCTTCGTTGGGAAATTTCGTTGTGGTATAAATTGTGGCTTCGCAACCTGGTACTTGTTTTCCTACTATCACCGTAACCAAGGGAAGGGCCTAAATGTAATTTAAAATTCCGAAATTATGCGAAAAAATAATTTGTACACCTAGCTATAGCTTATGTAATTATTGATTATCTTATCAATCGTTGAGTTTTTTAACTATACCCACTTGAATATTGATATAATTTATTAAATTTTCCAAGTTGGTATTTGTAACATATTTGACTATAAATGGTGGTTAAGATATTCCAAAAAATTCATGTAACATTCCATGTATATTAACACTTTCTCTATTACGCACTGTTGTGGTAAATAGAATACCAGCTGGTCAAATAAACAAATCGTCACAAGTTGCAGTGAAAGTGTTAAATTTAGAAACCCCTCCCGGTTTTTATCACACATCCGGTATAATATGCAAACATTGCTCCGGCTATCGTACAATTAAACGCAGATAGTGCGAGAATATTCAACGAGCAGCGGGCGGTGTATTTTTAGCGCAGGAACCTTACCATAGGCATGACGAAGCCATCGTTGTAGTCGGTGTGTTCGCCGATTAAATTGACCCTGCCGGGGGCGAAGACCGCGACGGCGGCGTCTTCGCCGAATTGCTGCCGAAAGGCGCTCTTCGCCTCGACCACTAGCTGTTCTATGGGCACTATTTTCTCCGCCATGCTTCGCTGGATTTGCTCGCGCGAACTGGACACGATCTCGGATCGGATCCCGCTAAATGTTGTTTAGACGTCGATGAAGCGGAGTGTGTGTGTGTACGATTTGCACTCGAGTACTATGTACATTTGATCCTAATCATCTATTCGTCGAAAACACGATAAGGAATGTCAGTGTATATGACCCGCATTCTATCGAATAATAGACATTATTATAAGTCACCTTGGATATGTGGGTTTAATAATAAATAAATTTGTTATTATTTACTTTGTTTTGCTGGAATGTTTTTCCCAATTTCACTAGCCGGAAAATCCCGATTTGATTTAACATTTCAGCAGGATTTAACAACAAAAATAAATAATTAATAAATAATTAAGTTTATATTAAAACGGAAACATTTACAAAAACAATAAAAATCACAGTATTTAATCCATATGCTCGTGCTGCGAGTGCACTTCGCTGTCCCTCCAATTGCTCTGCACGCTCTCGATTATCCATTTCCACCATTTCGACTTGGTGAAATAATAACCTCCGCACAGTATTATGAAAACCCAACTCAGAATTAAAAACAAATCGTATTCTTTGACGGGTATATTAGCTACAGGTCCGGAGAAATCTGCAGAAGTGACCGCCACGGACTCGATGGCTGCGATGCCGGTGTGTTTGTAAATAAACTGCGAGAATTTGTCGAGAGTGTACTCGGACCCGTTGAATTTGCCCAGCGATCTTCCGTTGTGGAAGAGAAGCAGCGACGGAACGCCGACGATGCCGTTCTGCGTGTTAAATAGATGGTACATCATGGCGTTGATGGCTACGAATTTAACGTCCGGAAAGGCCCTGGGGAGGGCGTTGAAATGGGGACCGGCCATTGTGGAAAACGGACAGTACTTGGAGTAAAACAAAACTGCCACGCACAACGCGGGCGTTTCTCTGTTCGTTATTTTCTGATCAGATTGCAGTAGTTTTATCAATTCGGTGTCGTTAGTTAGCTTGACTTCGGTGGAGCCCATGGCGGGTAGGCAGTTTGCGAACTTTTGGGTTTTATTAGCGACATTATTGATGTGTTCCTCGAAGATTTTAGTTGCGTTATTCGGCTCTTTGCCCTCGGTTGTTGTTGTATTCGTCGAATTTGTTAGTGTTGTGGCTACGTTAGTTGGTTCCACTTCTTCTGAATTTATTGTACAAATAAATATTACAATGATGTTAATTAAGACGTGAGTAGGTGGAATGAACATGGCTTGAATTAATTTGAGCCACTTTATTATTATATTTGAACCATTAATTCTAATTTTTGCAAATATGAATACTGTTTGTAGGTTAACTTTGTATTGATATGAATGACGTAAAACGTAATGTCAATTGTCGGTACTGTCACTGTTATTCTTTAGGGATTTTTAAGATGTGCAGCTGTCAAAATTGGTGAAATTCTTCTTTTTTTCTTTGGATATAAATTTCAAGGTTATATTTATCAACGTCTTTGTTGTTGTTTTAAATTTTTTTACACTGATAATTTGAGCAGGTATAATAAATTAATATTATATTTTTAACGAAAATATGGTTATGCATTATTAGTTTAATTCATATACTATGAAGTAACAGCCTCAATCAAAACGAAGGTCACGTTGTATTTTGCTAAACAATGAGCACTTCGAATTCTGGAAATTCGGGAGCAAAATTTATCGATTCGTTAAATAGGACAAGGTCAGAGTCCCGGATCGCTATTAGGGCAAAATTAATGGCCAAACTTGGAACGTTTCTGGAAGGAATTTTAAAATTTTCCATCGAAACTTCCAAACTTCCAACAAGGCAATGTAAAGTAGTTTTAAACAGATTTTGTATGAATTTTTTGTAGAAAAAAGTTTGAAATAGTTTAAAAAATTATTTTAATAAACTGTTATGCAGTGCTTTATAGCAAACTCGTGATTCTGTTAATAAAAATTTCATACCAAAGTTTAAGTAATCCCCCAATAAGTATTAAAAATTAATATCAAAAATATGCTTCTAAGAATTGGTATGATCTAATTGAAAGAGTCATCTCCTATCAAGTTTTTCTTTCACAATAATAATTATATAAACAAACTAGTTTCCATATCAAGTGTATAATAAATTATTGATATAACAAAATAGTATGAAGCGGATTTTAGCTAATTTAAAATTACCCCTAAAAACTTCAAATAGCAACGTGATTTTCCCTGGCAACTACGATTCGTCCTTACATTTCCGGCTTCCCAAAAATATGGATTTTCCGCAGCGCGCCTGCCCGCTCGACCCGTAACCTGGAACCAGGAAGCAGGACAGAGAAAGGGAAATTCAGTTGACACTGACATTGGCCTAAATCGTGGCGGACCCTTCGGCGAGTCGCACTTGCATATAACTGCATTTCGCTACGTAGCAGACATCGCAGTTGGCTCGGGAACTCCTCCTAAACAGACGCTCCGATATTCGCTCAAAATTAAATACTTTATTCGCTTAATTGTTGCATAAATCTAGTGCGTTTGGTAACCGGTAAGTGAGGTATTTATTATTTACGTAAAAAAAACTGAGTATTTTGTAAATATATAGGAAATGAGCGCTTCAAAGGGCTTCAAAGTAACAGACTCCGAGCGAAAAGTGAGAGTCGGTATAGCCGTGAAGAACCTCGACGAGCTGAAGAAGAAGACCATCGACAAATTCAAGCTGGAATTCTCCCCCGGCCAGATAGCCTTCCAAACCACCGACGGGACGATCATCGAAAGCGAAGAGTATTTCCAAGTAAGCGCGCCTCGCCCGCCACGATTCCCAGGTCTAATGCAACCCTCGATTCCAGACTCTGCCGTCGCAGACGCTCCTGATATGGGTGCTGGCCGGCGAGCGGGCCGCCACCGACGCCGAAATCCTCTACAAAACCATCCGGGAAGTCAACGAGGAGTACCTCAACGCCGGCGAGAAGATCCAGGAGTTCTTCACCGAGAAGATGAAGAGCAAAGTCTACAAGCTCGCCGAGGTGCTGAAGGGCATCGACGCCCAGAAGACGAAGCTCAGCGCCAAAGCCGACCACCCCGAGTGGTTCGACGGTAAATATTCCCATTGCATCACCCTACCATATACCATTTTTCATTCAAACATTCCGCAAATTTGATCCCTTGAAGCGTTTATGAGAGCGCGAAATATTTAGTAGCACACAAAAATTGTATAAACAACCACAACCGCAGGCTTGAGCACGGCGGCTAAAACGAAAGAGGAGTACATGTTCAGGAGGGGACAGGACCGCATTCGAACGTACTATTACAAAACGAGGGACGAGATTCGAAAGAGAAAAGACGTGCCCGCTAGCGCGGCACATTCATTATTTATCGAATTGGAAACCAAATTGAAACTGAATAAATATCACGGGTGTTATTTCGATAGGGCGGACGGCGGGGGCGACGACGACATGAAAAGCAGCCTCTGTGACAGGGAAGGGACGTTCCGGTGCCAGGGCAGGTAAATGAAATCCCCGCGGGTTCGTTATAACGGCGTTGCAATTATTTGCTTTGCGTTCGCTTAGGTGGGATAAGGAACAATGTCTTTACAGTCCACGTCACAGCATTAATCCGTACGACAGCAGGGAATCCCGGATCGTATTTCAGACTTGGAATCTCGATCACTACAAGGAACGATCGCGTTCCATCATCCCTGCTGTATGCGCAGCTCTCCGTTCTGTTGATTCTACTGACGAGGACAGTGAAGTAAGTCAAACACTAACGTAAAACGTACATAAAAAAATCCAGGGTTCTGATTGTCTTTACAAACTCGGAGGGATTCGTTTCAGGTTGATGGAAGCAAAGTAGCGCGCGCCGTGAAAGGGAATTTCAAAACAATTAGGAACGGTTTCCTCGATATTAAGGCTATTTATAACGATCTATTTACTTTGAACAATTTAAAACTAGTCCATATAGTTTGCCACGATAAAGGGGCGCACGTCGGCGCCGTCGCAGGCCCTTACCTGTTACAGTGACAGACGTTGTTAATAACTTGAAACACGTATTTATAAGACTAAATATATTAGAGGTTGTCTTCATTAAGGAGATGATATGGCTGGAGGTGATCACTAACTACTCCGGGATAGATTTTTGCAATTTATCGCGCGTTAGTTGTCGCCTCCACGATCAAGACTAATATTAGCATAATATTGGGTTGATATGTTGGTTTTATTAGCCTATAAGTTCTGATAAACTGTCAATATCTTTAGATCTACTGATTTTTCAACCGAATAATATGTTTGAAATGTATTATTAATTTCCAAAAAATTGGAAAGTTGCGACTTCAAAAGAATATATACTCTTTAGAGAAATATTTTTACATCTAACTGGTTTCAGTATTATTTCTGTGTGTTCTAAATTTTTTATTGGAAGAACTGATGAATATTTTAATAAAAATATAAACTTCGATTATTGTTGAATAAATGCTGTTATATCCTACAGAGATTAAAAAAGTGTAATCCGACAAACAAGGGGAATATTTTTTTATTCTCTTGTTAAAATTAACTATATCTATATAAAGTGCTTATCAAAATATGTGATTTAAACTAGAAAAATATACTGCTTGTATGCAATCATATATTGTTAGCTTTCATGCAATAATTAGAAGTAATAATAAAAATATTTTTACTTTTTAAAAAATTTATCATTACTACAATACAATCATTTTTTGCATAATACAATATTTTTGTCTTACTGGGCAGTTTTAGGCATGCTTCTCTACAATTAACTCAATTTAAATAATAACAATATGATTTTGAACAAGAGCTGTGATTTCACTAAATTTTTAAAAGTAAAAATATTTTTCCTGTAGACACATAGAATTCCATAGGTTGTAGTAGCGGCCACTCTAGGTTGTGCAGGAACGGTACAGGGTGATCAAAAAATATGTAGACGCAAAAACAGCATTAAAAGTAGAAGACAATGCTGAATGTTTATAATTTAAAATACATGTAAGCGATATTGTTCTACATCTACATAATCTCTGTATACTTATTAACCTTATTAATAAAGTTGAATTGAATGAAATATCTTTTTAATAAATTATTGGAATGTCGGTGCTCATAAACAGGAAAACTTCTGCGTTATCTTTATTTGTTTTCATCGTAAATTGAAACATAAAAAAACAAATAAATGCACTATTAAAAGTTATTGCGTTGCTTACAAGAAATGTATTTCGGAAATTCAAAACGTGCATTTTCTATTAAATACGTTCAAACACCTATTTCTAATACATTATTGCTACAAATAAATAATCTATTAGAAAAATAGTAATGTATTACACTACTATTATTCGAATGATTTAGTTTTAAAAAATATGTATTGAAGTATATCGGTTAAAGATACTTTTTATTACTACATGAACCGAAATGCGTTTAAGTACAAAAAAAAATGAAAATAGAATAGCTTAATGTAAATGGTTGGCCACATATTAAACTTAATTGCTATTTGATGAATATTCTTCAAGTTTTCTCATAATGTCACAAAATGCTTACTTACATTTACGCATTTTTTTATAAATCCAGTATAATAACTCTAATAATAAATAAATCTTTGGTAAAACTTTCGCGAGCACAAAACCGACAACTTCAAAGTTATTGCTCAACTGTTTTCGCAACATTATACCTTCTAGTACAGAAAAAAAAGTTACCACGTTTATCTAATTCTACTTCAGTTTCGACATGAACTGAGACAAATCGTACTCGTTGTCGTACTGCGTACTGTCCCAAAGTTCCGGCAATGATTCCAGCACGGCCTTCATACCTCCGGTCCCCGATTTGGATGAGTTTATTTCTCCGTTCGGCGAATTTTTGTGGGAGAACAGGTCCAATATTTGATCAGTTCCCAACGTTTCCAGTTGGCTGTTTTCACCGCTTATAACCGTATTTGCGGTTTGCAATTTAAACTTCTGCAAACTGGAATAAAAAACAACGTTTAACAAACCGCTTGAATTACGCGCTAGTTACTTACCCCATAATTTTCTCCTCCAACGTTCCTCTTGTAATTAATCTGTAAACGTTTACCACCTTCCTTTGGCCTATTCTGTGCGCCCTATCCATCGCTTGTAGATCCTTCATGGGGTTCCAATCGTGTTCGACAAATATAACAGTATCGGCTCCGGTGAGGTTCAAACCCAAACCGCCCACTTGGGTCGTCAGTAATAACACATCGATCGAAGGATCGTTATTAAATCTGACAAACACACAAAATTAGTACGCATAATTAATTAGAGGAATATTACAAATTATCACCTGGTAACCACCGAATGTCTTTGAATAGGCGGTATAGACCCGTCCAGTCTCAAGTAAGTCACACCGGGCATGTTCTTCTTCAACAAATCCTCTTCGATTATGTCCAACATGGCTTTAAGCTGGCAGAAAACTAACGCCCTGTGTTGATTGATTACCAAATCCGCGGATTCCTTATCGGTGCTTTCGTTAACACCTATCCCGCAATCTTGTAGCAATTGCCTGCAATATTATAGAAAGTAAAGCAAATGAAACATAATTTTAAATTCTGCATACTTCAACGCCGGCAATTTAGCTGAATGATTGATGTCTTCCAATCTCGAATTGCGTTCTTGCAACGACGAAATGATCGAAGTGTAATGCGGATGCGACGAATTCAAAACCAGCTTCGGGTGATTGCAAACCTTCTGAAGATAGCGCAGCGCTTGGAAGATATGCGTCTCGTGAATGGAGCCGGTTGTCCCACCAGAAGAAATCGATTCCTAAAAAAAAACAAGTGTCTTCGGTGGACATTAGGGGAATCATAGGTTTTTTACCTGTAGGGTTTGGTGCGCCTGGCTCTTGGAGAAATCTTCGTAAAGCCGTTCCTGCAACGGACTCAACTCGCAGTAGTAATCTTGCGTTATCTTCGGCGGTAAATCTTCCAGTACGTCCTCCTTCATTCTCCTCAAAAGAAACGGTAGAACCTAAAACAAACCATTTTTGTCACATACCTGCGTATAAAGTAAATTAAAAGAGACTGACCTGACGATGTAGAGCATCCATGGCTAGAACGCCGGCTTCTTGTTCCTTGGGCGAGCTCTTGGGATCCCTGCTGGCTAAAATCGGTCGGGAATAACGCGCGGTGAATTGCTTCTCGGTGCCCAGGAAGCCGGGCATCAGGAAATCGAAGAGACTCCACAGTTCCAGAACGTTATTTTGTATAGGCGTTCCGCTAAGAATCAGTCTGTGGTTGGCGATTAGAGCTTTTATAGCCACGCTAGTTCTCGTTTTACCTTAAAAAAAAAACATTTATAACAACGAAATTTGCAAAACAAATATATTGTATTACCATTCTTTATGATGTGGCCTTCGTCTAATATTATGTAGTTCCATTTGATGTGCGAAAAGAACGAAATATCCTTACGAACGATATCGTAAGAGGCCACGATGACGTTGTATTTTTTGAACTTTTGCCTCAATCGTTCCCTCTCGGTGGGCGATCCGTTGTATTGAAGAGGACGTAGATACTTTTGCTTGAGGAATTTCTCAATTTCGTACACCCAGTGACCTTTGAACAAATCAAATTTAACAACAAAGCAAAACATCGAGAATCAATAAGTTACCCGTCAGAGTGGGAGGACAAATTACCATCGAGGGTAAAGGAGCGCAATCGGGCGATTTCGTTTCCTTGAACTTTTGCTCCCTATCGAACTGGTCCCCGGCCAATATGCAAATACTTTGCAACGTTTTTCCGAGACCCATATCATCGCATAAGATGCCGTGTAGCTTGTACCTGCAAACATCTCGTTTGTATCGATTCAATCAAATTCCAATCAAACATCTTCCATACCTGTTTAAGAATGCCAACCAGTTCACGCCGGCTTGCTGGTAACTCCTCAACTGCGCTTCGATTTGTACAGGTACGTGGTAATCAGGTATCGATGAAGGCGTCAACAATTGGCGCAAGAATTCCCTCTCTTTGTCCCGTTGAATGTTCAAAACGCTCCCTGTTGAATCGAAGAATATTATGAATTTAGAGAGGCTCGATTTAAATAATTTTACCTTTTAATGCAGGTGGTTCGGGTACGCCTCCATCCAACGGCATCAATTGAATAAGAGTAGCAAAACTGTGGGTCCCCATAAGCCTAACGCACATATTTTGATCGGACATTCTACCCAACAAAGGAACTACCAGTAACACTACGTACGGAATTATTTCGTATTTCAGCTCGTCTACGATACACGCTATTGCTTCTACAGCGCCTTGTCTAAAAACACAAGACATTTAGATACTCAAATACCGCTGTGTTAATGTTATTTTACCTATCGATATCGCAATCTGTGGCGCCGAGTTTAGGCAAAACAATGTTTACAATCATCTCCATGACTTTAACGGAATCCAATTTAGCGAAAACTCCCAAACAACGCGAGGCTAGGTGCCTGACGGCCTTGTAAGGGTGCGAAAGTAACACGCAAAGTCTAATTAACGACACTTGCATTACTTTGGGCAACAGGGATTTGTGCAAACTGCTCGTCGTTACTTCCAATACCTAAAAATTGCGATGAATCAAAAATAATATAATCGAAAAGTGAATTAATAATACCTGCAGAGCCCACAGAAGCTCCTCGGCTTTGTCGTCTTTGTTCAACATATCGCTAGCGATGAAATTAAAAGGATCTACGGTTTCGTTCAAATGTCCTATTATGAATTCCCACAATTTGGGCAAGTGATCGGGTAGGTTTTCGCCAAAATGTTTAACCAAAGCAACCAGCGCCAAGGTACCTCCTCGTCTCTTCACGAAGTTATCTTTCTGGGTCTCATCTTCCTCTTTAAACAGCTCTTCAATCGGTATATCGGTCGCAGGAGGTCTTCCTGTAAATAAACAAATAAAATACTCCGGAAGGAGTTGATGATCAATTCACTTACCAGGACCTCTTCCGGTGCTGTTGCATCGTTTCAACGCTGACCTTTCAGCGTTTCTTTGTAAATTACTAAGCGTTAGAATCCCATTGTAATTACCCTGTTTCGGGGGTTCCCTAGTCGATGAACTATTTTCTCCCGCTTGTTTATGAATAACCGGCGTAAATTCCGGATCGCTCCTAAAAATTTTATAAAGTTAAATAAAACGAATGAATCGTATTAAACCGGTTGATACCTTAAAAATTCGCAAAGCCTCGAGATAACTTTATCGTGCGGATTGACCTGTCTGGATCGAACCTGATCCAGTAAAATAGCGAGATGTTCGGCCGATATTTTCTGCAAATCCTCGTCGCGTTCGCACGCTAACGATATCATAAGCGGTTTTATAACGGGCGTCAGTTTTTCCGGTAACGCTTTGAACATCACAACAGCACAAGCCAATGTGCCTAGAAGAATACAGCTACATTACAAACAATCCATTCGTAGTTTAGAATTCAATATTACCGAGCGTACTGATGTTTAACATGTTTTGATCCTTGCTGGTTTGTATAACGGAAGCCTGAATGCTCCGTCTTCTCTCCTCCAAACTATCTAATATCTTTGGTTTCAATTTACTGTTGACTAGAATCTCCTGAGTTTGAGGACCCGTCATTATTTTAATTTGTTCCAAGGTCAGTACGTTGTCGTTGGCGACGTTTATAGGAACTTTGTAATGTCTCAGGGTGGCCAGGAAGTCTTTAGTCTCTTGAGCTAGTCTTGTAAAACCGTGGGCTATTTCATCGAAATACACGTACTCGTCTAAACACTGATGCAGGCAAGTCAGTAGATTAGGCGGGCACGCGGTGGTTTCTTGGTCTACCTTGGCCCACTCCGAAATTACCAAACCTATAATATATTGCAATATTAATGAAATAATTAAATAAATGCGATAAGAAGTACCTGTTACCATACGTTGAACAGCCGATTTGGATTGCAAATGAACCAAAAGAACCTTCTCGTACGAATCCATAGGGCTTTCCAAACCGCTCGAAACGTAATCCACGCCGGGCGCCGGTTTTACAATGTAACGAGACAACAACCCCAGCATCCTCGACGTCGAGCATCGCACCGGAATCGCGTTTTGCTCTCTCAAACACAACGGCGTCGTCTCGATGCCGCCTATGTACATTTTGGGCGGCATCACGGCGTGATCGAAAGCGCTCAGCGCGTCGTGTTTCTTGCGCTGCGACTTGGCCAGTATCAGAAAATTCGCGTCGAACGGCACCCGAATGGGCTGCATGCTCAGATAGAGCCACAGCGTGATGAACGGACAGGCGGCGTGCAGCAATTCCACCAGCGCGGCGTTCGTCACCAGGTTGTTCCACACTTTCTCGGCCGCCGAACGCACGTCGGGGTTCGATTCGACGAGCACGCGCTGGTAGATGTGCCGCAGGCCGTCCTGCAGCAGCGGCGCCTCCCACGGGATGGTCTCCGCGTCGGCCGGTTTCTCGGTCAATGTATCTGAATCGAAGAGCGAAATTGTAGTTTCGTTTAAAAACGAAAACCCGTACGAGGGATGTTTCCAATGTTTTGGGATCTTATAGACCGCTAATGCGTTTTGCGTAACCATTAAAGACGCACAAAGAACTTTGGAAACATCCCTCGTATAGTGAACACTTACTCAATGTTTGCAACGTCGCTTTTCTAACGGACGAAGTGCCGTGGGACAAAAAGGGCCACAAAACCGGTATGACGTCGTTGAGAGGTTGAGGCGGTAAGATTTCCTGGACTTTGGGCAAGTTCAAAATGGCCGCCAGTAGACCCATGAAGCTGTTACAGGCGGCCGCCAATTCGTCTTGCTCCGACAGCAATTCCCACAGCTTCGCGATCACCGTCGGCAAGGATTCCGGCACTAATTCCGTCAATTTTCCAGCGACCGGTATCAGAGCCGAGGCCGCCACGGCGCTCACGTCGTCGACGGAATCGGACAATCCTTGGAGAATGAACGGGAAGCTTTCCGGTAAGAAAACATCTATCATATCGTCTCTCACCGCCAGCAGGTACTTTAACCTAAAGAAAATTGAAATTTGCAATTATACACTGTTGGGGTCTCAAATAGAAATTTTACGTTGCATCTTTCATTAACCGAGTTATCGATAACAAACATCTAAAACTCAGTATGTAAACTTTAAATAAAAACGAAGTAAGCATAAAACAAATGACTTGTAAAGGTTGTTATGGTGATGTTAAAAATTTCTATTTCAACTGCTCTAGCCGCAGCACGGTCTTACACCTGATAATAACGCCCTCTGTCGAAAGTCACATCATCCGCAACACCTCCTGCCCGGAGTTTCCGGACCTGTTATATACGATCGTAACTTATACTAATGACAGAAGATGACAGTTCTAATTGTAAATTTTTAACATCACCATAGCAACCAATGACAGTTATTTGTTTTAAGCCTACTTCGTTTCAAACAAACTTTACAAACTGAATTTTATATCAATTAGTTTTTTAGCAATAACCAAGTATTTCTATGAGGACATGTATTTTGTGAAGACATACCCTAGTAGGCCGCCGTGTCTGGCCTCCCATTCGTTGTGGTCCATTAGTTGCAATAAAACCTTCAACACTTCGGAGCAGGCTCGGGACGGCATCAGTTTCAAAACGGCGCACAGCGCTTGCGAGCAGGTTTCTCTGACCGGCGCTATGACGGCATCGGAAACGAAATCGCCGAATCTGTCCAATGCTAGAACGCATAACAATCGTATGGCCATATCTTCCAACCAAATCTCGTGGTTTTCTAAATTCTACAAACAAAAAACCGCATAATTCAAAATAACGCATTCGTTATAATAGCACCAAACGAACTTGTTGCGTTGAAAGATATGTAGTCTTTCCGGCGCCGGATCCGTGCACCGATAAAATTTCCCTAAGGGCCGTTCCGGCCCCGTGTCGCGTTTCCCAACTGGAACTGAACAAATCTTGGCTCAACAGATCGCAGAACCATTCTAGCGGCCAATCGCCCGCATCTCCCGCTTCCAAATCTGAAAAAGTCCGCGTTAGTTTCGAAGCGCTTGCGAAAATTCGCAGCACCTACCCGATTGAATGGCACATTCCTCTTTCGATTCGCTCTTGATCTTCTTCTTGTCGGGTTCTTCGGAACCGTTTTCCTCAAACACATTATCCCTGGATCGCTGTTTATTCACGGCCTGTCTGGCTTTCCGCTTCGCTCGGTTGATTTCCCTCAAGCTCAATTCCTTGTTCAAAGGCGATATTACCTCTGTAACGTTTTTCTACAAAAACACGCCAAGTTAAGCACTATTAAAGACTCACAGAGGTGCGTTTACCTTTGCATCGCAATGGTTTTTTTCGGAATTGTTGATCAGATCTTCGTTTGTAAAGATATTCGAAGTGTCTATGCCGATTTGAGCGGCTATGTTGAGGCCTAATTTAGCGTTCAACTGTTGACGTTGCTTGGCCATTCTTTGTTTAACATCTGAAACAAGAACAAAGCTTGTTAATTAGTCTATTTGTTTTGTTCAATATCCTTCGGGTACAATTTTCCATGGCTAAGATAGCTGAAAAACCGATGGGAAAAAGACCACAAGGACCCCAAAGCTGGTTCTATTCAGCAATAGAAGAAGAATCCTTCGGGTACAATTTTAAATGGCTAAGATAACCAGGACAGAAGAACCGATGGGGAAAAGGCCACGGACGATGAGCGCAAAGCTGGTTCATCTCTACAAGAAGAATCTTTCGGTTACAAAAATAAATTACCTATGGTAGAATCTTCCTCTACATCGAACTCTTTTCCCTCCGAAGCCATGAGATGCGAACTGTTCGCCAACACGGTGGCCATATTGAAGTTAGCGAAGCACAATCTACCTATTCCCGACAACGAAGGCATTTGATCTTCTTCTTCTAAAATCAAACGAAATCAGTTAACGACTGATCGGTGACTCGGAGCACCATAAGTTTACCTGATTTCGTGGCGACGCCCGGCGGGTCCCATTGCGGCACGTTGGAGACGATGGCTCGGACCGCTTCGGAGGCGGCTATTCTCGTGTCCCACGAGCTCGATCTCAGGTAGGCGGCGAGCCTCGAGAGAAGGGTCTTCAGCTCGTGCGGGTGCAGCTTCTGGACCTCGCCCAGTTGTCTGGCCGCGGCCGATCTGGTCACGGACGAACTGCCGTTTTCCAAGAGCACGAACAGTCGATCGAGTCTAACGAACGAGATAAATTAGTACCGGGGCTTAGGTAATTAGTTGCTGCCGATAAATATGGTATTTGTAAGATGTAGGGAAAATAAAGGTGGATATGTAATGGATAAATGTAAAGATTAAAAACCATTAAATGTTTTTTAAAGGTATAATTTAAACGATTATAGTGGAAAATTAAACGTCGCGCATTTCGTACTTAATACGAACAATTTTTTCATGATAAATGTAATGGCACATTTAAATGAAACTGCCGATTGCATTTTATTGTTTTATTTTTTTTAATAGATTAATAAATTCAAATCGATTTTCCTACAAGTGCCGCGGGGAAGGTCTATTAAAGATAAAGCGTTCCATCAATTATTCAAATCGAGTCGTTTTGCAATTATATAAGCCCCATAGATACAAAAAGCTTTTTAGAGATAGAACAAATATTAAAGTATCAATAAACCTATCAACGAGAATTTAGACGAATGCACAAAAAACTTGATAAATGATAAAAAAAATATTTGCGAAATCAAACGTAACTCGCTTGTTTTAATAACAAAAAAAGACAACTTACCTACTTGATGTCATCTTTGGAATGTAATACAAACTCAAATAGTCCAAAAAACTGAAAATTATAACAAATTACTTAGCAAACAACGAGAAACATGCTAAATTTGTGAAAAAATATCCATATGTTTAATTGATTTAATAAGAACTGCTGCGTTTGGGTACATAATATGGCCTAATTATTTAAATTGAACATTTTTAATAAATCTAAAACATTTGAAAATGATTGCAACAAATTAAATAGCACATCTAGCAAGTCGTAGCAAGTAAAATATGCTAGGGCGATAAAAAGACACCGGATGGATATATCATCTAGTTATTTCTACATCCTTTCCAAAATATGCCTACATATTTTTTAATCATAGCAAAAAAATAAGTTCGGCTGTAAAATATAGCTACTCACCAGCAGAATCTGGAAAGTTATTTAATTTGAGACAACATGATGTATCTTCTAGCACTAATTAACACATTTTCCAATGATAAAATTAACAACAAAATGTTTTTATATGTAAATTTCACAGAGGGGAAGCTCATCCTTCAATGAACAAATTTATACTGACAGCCATGATGTCGATGAGCGCGACTTAACACCACTAGTTATTTCTGATTGGTCAAAATCTGCACTACACTGATCAAATTAATATTTTTCAACAATATTAAAATTAAATGATTCTTCATAAATAAAATATACCATTTTTGTTTGATTTATTCTAACAATTTCTATGTCAGTCGATTTATTTAAAAAACCTTTATTATTGAACAAATTCGTAAAAAAATACACAGCAATTCTTTGCTTGACTAAAATTCCCATTCTAAACACAGATAATGATGACGAGTTCTATATCAAATTTGGCTCAATATGATCTGGGGGTTAATATTTTTATATTCTTTACGAGTAAAATCAAAAACAATTATCCAACAAATTAATTTATTGATGAATATTTTACCATCAATTTAAATTTATTGACGAAAATGTCATATGTCAAGTATTGTCATTTAAATTTTCTTCTTTTTTGGCCAGTTCCCTTTTACTTTATTCACAAGTAACCTTTAAATTTCGCTCAATTTCAAGTACAACAGACAAAATATAAAATCTTTCTTTCTCTATGAGTACAACCATGAAGTAAATAAGAATTGATTTTATTAAATTTCCCTTACAACATACATCCAATAAATTAAAATAGGAATGTTCATAATACATAACTAAAACAATATAAAAGCTTCTTAGAATGCCACAAAATAGCTCAATTTGTACTCTATATCTCTTTTTGAGCTTGTCTTATAAAATCCATATACATCCCTTTTCGCAATGGATCTAATACGACTAGTTTCTTATAGGTTTCAAGTCTTGTTTTTAAATCACCTTGTTCTAATAGCCAACATTTTCCTAAAATCACCCCTGCAATAAAAATGAATAAATATAACTCAAAAACGATTGAATCTAAATTATACGTACATTTACAATCAGGCTCCAACTCTTCCAGCTGCTCGAAGGCTTCTAATAGCTCCAATTTAGTATCCTTCTTGATAGTAGGGTTACTGAGAACCCACCTAAAAAAATTCAGATTAAAACATACAAATTGGCCAATTAAATGTAATACCTCAAGTAAAACCACGCGCTGGAATCTATAGGATCCGTAAAAACAGCACTCTTGACTAATTCAAGCTCGTGATTAACACAATCGGAATCCAATTTTCTCAGTGTGCTTCTGTAATGCCACGAGGAGTAGTTCGAAAAATTATTATTCAATCTTTCGGTAGAAAATCTTAGCTCGTGGTCCAAAGTTATACCTATTTTATTGACTAAAAGGCGCCTGTAGTCCCAGCAATGAACTAAAAATTGTGTAATATAGTGCGTGTTTTTGAATGTGTTCATGTTATTATACAATTTCGATCGTCTTTACTGAGGTACTTGGTGCACAAGGAAAATTCGTTATTCCAGTTGGGTTTGGGATGGTGTAACAACACCCAGTAACGGTGATGCCAGGTACCGTAGGATTTCGGGTTCGAGGGAAGGCACTGTTCCGTTAGTTTTATTTCATCTTCCAAGAAATCTATCAATTTCTCCTCCCCTTCTAACTCGTCATCATTACTTAAATAAACAAATTAGTAAGGTAACAAATATGCAACAATATTGTACCTCTCTTTGACTTTCATTAAAATCACTTCCTTCCTGTAATTCCAAATCGTGTATACATCAGGGTTGGCCTGGAGAATGCCCGAGCTTATCTGAAGGCTCTTCGGATCATAGCTATCTTTTTTTCTAGTCGATAAAACCCTTTCCATAGCATGCTTGTAGGCGTCTAGTTTCTTCTGTTGCTCTTTTAGTTTGATAGCCTTCTGCTCTTCCGTAGTCCGGACCTTCAGTCTCCCATGCTGGTGACAAATAAATATTAGATCTTTTGTTAGTTCTTACGTGTGAAACAAATAGTATAAAGTATAAGGCACGTAAATATGGAGATTTTGTTAAATTATTTCTTTCTGTTACTAGCTATAGCTAATTAGTAAGTTAAATGGTAACTTATATTGCGTTATAGATTAAATGGAATTGTTAAATATAAACTTACCATTTTAAAAACTTAATTAAATGCAATTTAAACAAAATAAGAAAATGAACCAACTTGTTTCTTCTTTTTTTATGTAAATATATAGACGTCAATCGTTTTTTATCTATTGTGGTCTATTCTATAGAAGACATGTAGTCACCAAAATGTTTATAATAATGAAGATTTATGACAAAAGAGTAATGAACACAATTATAAAAAAAACAAGGAATTTTGGTGTTTAAACGAATTATACCCATTATTAAAATTACAAAAATAAATTAAGAATAAATGACCTAATTATGCATTTTAAATGTTTAGGCTTATTTTTTTTATTTTTTACCAATTAGTGGCTACGCTATCTAATGTGAAGGTATATTGAAATAGTTAGCAGTTGCACACCTTTCTGTGGTCCCATTATCTATTCTAATTACGAAAAATACTTTAAATTTTCAACTTCAATTGCCCAATTTAAAGAAATGTGCGATAACAAGTAAGTATAATTAATTGAACGAACCTTATCGCAGCTGTTAATTATAAATAATAAACCATTATCGTAAATTAATTACAGTAATCTCTCTTTCGTAAATAGCCCCCAGCGAATTTTATCTCGGCCCAAATTTATTCGAAATATTTGTTATATTAACTTTTTCCGCATTATTCCGATTACACCGGAATATTTGGCATTTTTACACCTGCTTAATATGCCATAACCTCCAATTTATCGTTCCATTATCTAATGGGCTCGTAAAAAGACTTATAAAAAGTATGACTAAAATGTTTTTGTTAGTTTTAAAATGATTTTTTATTCGAGAATATTCCCTTTATTAGCGCGAAATGCTCTAGTTTTTAATAAAAATGTTACCATCAGGTCTTTTAACTTTGTTTCTGTAAGGTAGGTCAGAATTCTATTAGATGTTTCATCATATTTGTTGCAAAACCTGCTATTACGTGTGTATGATTTTAAAATGCTCTTGTATTTTTGTTACGAGTAGTTTTGAATTATCTTTTTTTGCATAATAATTCATTCAAGCTCTCACCGAAGCTTTCTTTCACTCACAGAACATGGCCCCTTTCATTAGGTTTAGCCGCTTTTATTTGTGAATTTACTCGTTCTAAATTACAGGCTTTTGCTTCTATAAAATGTACTTCAATGGTCTGGAAGATACATAAAATAATATAAGCCTTTCGGAGCTTCGAAAGAGATATATCGTAATGATCATGTCGTGCGTAATACGCGCATAAAAATTGCGTAATACCCAAGAAATATGAGTAGGGTATGGTAGGGTAGGTTTTTTGGGTTTCCTCCACCATACCTGTATTTAATACTTTACCCGAGTAAACCTGGGTTTAGTCGTTTATCTAACTTTACCCGTAACACTTAACTTAACACAGTTACGTGCAAATTTGTGCTTAATATAGTCTATGAGTGCAACAAAGACAACTTCTATTAGTCATTTTATTGACGAAAGTTTTATAAAGGTCTCAAAAACCTTTCCTGCATTTCTCCTAATCGATAATCATTAAACTAGTGTCAATGAAACGATCTGTTATCAGTGACTTAGGTCATTAAAATATAAAGATAATTTCCTTGTTGAAAACAAACCTTTACGTCATTATGAGGTGAATCGTACGATGTCAATTGCTCTAAAAGAGCCGAGAACTAAGTAAAAATACTTCGAGCTGTAAAATTAGCTATCATAAAGTACCCAATCGACATTCAGTCAGTAAATCAGCTGCTTATACGGTTTTATACAAACATATTTTTAATGCAATCGCGTTTGTCTTTCAAAATCTACGCAAATGATGTCAAAAACACCGAATTACAACAATACAATACCCTGTCGTATCCATAACAAAATGTTGTAACTCCTTCGTGACGCTGGTGAATTTTGAAAATTGTTTTTTTCAAAAACCGCTTGTTATTGTAACAATTATGAAATTTCCTCGTATAAATACCCGACACTTTTAAATATCTAACAATAGTTGATTCATAGCAAGAGTAAAATTAATAAGTAATCTGGTAATTACAGCAAAATGCGTTGGAGGTAACGTAGTTGCATTCTCACAAAGGGTTTTAATTTTAATATTTTTTTTACTCATTACCAGGCCCAATCCGAAGATTATCGATGGGAAAAAAATCGCCCGGGACATCCAGAAGGAGCTGCGGGTGGAGCTGGACGAATGGATGGGTTCGGGCCATCGAGCGCCCTGCTTGATAGCCATTTTAGTCGGCGACGATCCGGCCAGCGAAAAATACGTCCAAAACAAGATGATAGCGGCCGAAAATATAGGTAAAACTCCCCCTAATTCGCGCCCTTCACAGCCCTTTAACTCCCTTCGCTCGCAGGCATCAAAAGCAGCACCGTCAAACTGTCCAAGACCGTGTCAGAAGAGGACGTCATCAACAAAATAAAGGAGTACAACGAGAACCCCGACGTGGACGGCATTTTGGTGCAGCTGCCCGTGCCCGAGCACATCTCCGAAAGGAACGTTTGCAACGCGGTTGATCCGCGGAAAGACGTCGACGGGTTCCACATGACCAACGTGGGGAAACTGGCCATCAACATGGACACAATGGTGCCCGCCACGGCCCTCGGCGTCATAGAACTCATCAAAAGGTCGCAGATAAAGACCTTCGGGAAAAACGTAGTGGTTTGCGGCAGGTCGAAAAACGTCGGTCTTCCCATCGCCATGCTGCTGCATTCCGACGAGAAAAACGAATGTCCCGGATTGGAGGCCACCGTGACCATCTGCCACAGGCACACCCCTCCGGAGGAGCTGGAGTTCTTCACTAAACGAGCGGACATCGTCATTAGCGCAACAGGTAAACATAACTATACCTTTCCTAGAAACCATGATTAATCGAAATGTAATTTCTCCAAGGTGTCGTCGGTTTGATCAAACCCGATATGATAAAACAAGACGCGTGCGTTATCGATGTCGGAATCACGAGAATTACCACCGAGGATGGTAAATCGAAACTCGTTGGAGACGTGGATTTCGAAGGTAGGCATTCGGTGTGGGTACCCCGTCAAAATAGCCCTAGATTAAACAGCCCAAGATAAATTAGCCCAAGGACAAAATAGCTCAAAGGCAAAACAGCCCAAGACAAAATAGCCCAAAGGCAAAACGACAAAATAGCCCAATGATAAAATCCCTAAAGACAAAATGGCCCAGAGACCAAATCGTCGGGGCTGCGTTGCCTTGGGCTATTTTGACGGGTCACGTTCGATGTGATTAATTCGTGGGGTTAATTAATTAACAATTATTTTTCTGCAGGTTGTTTCGATGTGGCTGGCCACATAACTCCCGTGCCTGGTGGTGTAGGTCCAATGACGGTGGCAATGCTGATGTCAAACACTATGAAGGCGGCAAAAGCGTTGGCCTTGTGATACTTCATGTTTGTTTTCTTTTGCGGGGTATTCGTTAATGTTTATTGTTAACTAAGTATGTAAATTATTACTTAGTTCAGTATTATAATTTATGTAATTTTATATATGTAATATCGAATAAAAGTTTTTATTGGTTAATTGGTATTTTTTATACTCGATGACTGACCTGCATAAATACTCGAATAAGTGAGTGTTTAAAATGAAACGCAGCGTCTAATAATGTAATTAAAATTTTGCATATTTTCCAATACTATTTTTACATTAAATGCAGATCTTCGCTGAAAATAATAAAATTGTTCAGAAAATATTAAATAGAACAATCAAAGCACTTACTGTTGACTATTAGTGCGGTTTTTGAACAACTTCAATTGGAGTATTTTCTTATGTATATAATCTTTGAACTTCGGATTGTCCTCCAAAATATCGATTTGTATTTTGTTCAAATTGCGCGACTGGACCTCTTGCTTGGTGAGATCCTTCAACACGTCTATGCAAACTGATGGTTTATCATCGGTAAAAATCTAGAAAATCAACGCTACAAATAGGAAGAAAGATACAAGAATAAAATTGAATCAACACCCACCACAGTCTGAAAAAGCCCGGGGTTTTCGAAATGAAGATTCAACAGCTCCTTGCGCTGCAACAATATACGCGCCACAAACGGCCCGAGTTTATCGGCTTTGAACGCATCAAATCTCTCGGCGACTACAAACAAATAACTGTAATTTTTATCGTAACAATTTACAGGATGAATACTGTAATAATAATCGTAGGGCAGGTAGAGATTTAATGTTAATTGACGACTAAAATGGGTTGTCTATCAACAGGTGCAAATGAAGCTCTTCCTACACCACGATTTTCGCGAGTTACACTATTCAACCTGCAGGAAAAATGTACAAAAAACAATACGAGTCATGTAAGTGGTCTTCGCCAGCAAACTGCCAATCTTCTTGGTCTCTTCCTTAGTGAGATCCGAAGCGCTCAAAGCGCTCAACATCGGATTGTCGAAGACCCTGTAGTGCATCGCGCGCAAAATGTGAGTATTGCTGACGCTCTTCGCGTGCTCCCTGCCCCTTTCCTCGGGCTCCACCGAATCGTACGACCTCACCTCCTCGGGGGCGGCTTCGCTCTCGGCTAATTCCCTGTCGGGAAAGGACACTTTCCTCGATATCGACGGCTCCGTCTGGTCGAAAAAAATATTTACACTCCATAGAATCATCGAGACCTAGCACGTACATTTCGATTATCCATTGTGGCCTCGTCTAATGTGGTGTCCAGAGAAACTTCGCTCGTACTTTCAACGTGTTCGCTCGAGTCTCTAAACTCGCTCTTCGGGCTAATCACCACGGAAACAGTCGCAGGATCTGCAATGAAAGTCCTTGCAGGATCTACAAGGAGAGGCGTCGCGGGATCTCGAATGGAAACAGTCGCAGGATCTACAATGACAGTCCTTGCAGGATCTGCAAGGAGAGGCGTCGCAGGATCTCGAATGGAAACAGTCGCAGGATCTACAATGACAGTCCTTGCAGGATCTAAAAGGAGAGGCGTCGCAGGATCTCGAATGGAAGCCGTCACAGAATCTCGCATGGAAGCTGGCCCAGGATATCGAATGGAAGCTGTTGCAGGATCTATATTGTAAGCCGTGTTAGTATCTATACTGTAAGTCATCGTAGGATATTGTATAGAAGCTGTCGCAGAATCTCGAATGGAATCTGCGCCAGGATATCGAATGGAAGCTGTTGCAGGATCTACATTGTAAGCATTGGAATCTCGAATGGAACCTGTTGCAGGATCTCGTATGGAAGCCATTGTAGGGTATTGAATGGAAGCCGTCGCAGAATCTCGAACGGAAGCTGGCCCAGGATATCGAATGGAAGCTGTCGCAGGATCTACATTGTAAGCCGTGGCAGTATCTATACTGTGAGTCATAGGAGGATATTGTATAGAAGCTTTCGCAGAATCTCGAACGGAAGCTGTTGCAGGATGTACATTGCGAGCCATCGCAGGATCTGCATTGTAAGGCGTCGCAGGATATTGAATAGAAGCCGCGGCAGAATCTCGAATGGAAGCTTTGCCCGAGTATCGAATGGAAGCTGTTGCAGGATCTGCATTGTAAGCCACCGTAGGATCTCGAGCAGAATCTCGAGCAGAAGCCGTCGCAGGATCTCGAGCAGAAGGCGTCGCAGGATTGTAAGCCATCGTGGGGTCATCCAGGGAGAGCAACAGTCTGGGGATGATCTCGTCCTCGTGTTCGGGTAACGTAAAACCTGGAAAATCCTGCATTATTCACTGGGGTCGATTCGTTTTTCTTTTACCTACCATCGGAGAAGGGTTGGCTCTTCCTCTCGGAGGCTCGTTGGCTGGGCTGTTCGGTTCCTGCGACGCTCGATAAGGTGCTATCTTCGGACAAACGACGAAGGTAGTCGTCGAGTCCCATCTCCTTGCGATAGGCGTCGTCGTCTTCGGTCGTGTCTTCGTAGTTTTTCCAATTCAGGACATTCTCGAGGGCTATCAATTCGTTTGACTATAGAAAATTAAATAGGAGCACAAGGGACGAATGAAGAATAAGATATAATTAGTAAATAGTTTAAACGTATCTTTACCTGCGAATGCTTTGAATGCTTCAATTCTTTATCTGTAAGTCTAGATGGTCTTCTTTTTTCTGATGATATTGTACTGGAAAAAAAAAATATTTAAAATAATCACGTGGTGCGCATTAAACGTTCCAAATATACCTTCCAAAATCTATGTCGATTTTTTCCGAAAGCATAGACTGTTTACGTTTGAACATAATTTCCCTTTGAGTATACGCCTATAAGAAAATTGTGGTATTTAAGTCGTAATTCACGGGAGTTTTCACCAACATTGGTGCCCTTGATATGTTCGTATATCTTTTGCTTGGAGAGTTCCGCGAGAATCTGGTCGATTTCGTCGGATTCGCCGTCTTCGTCGATGCTGGGCTCCTCCGATTCGATCTCCACTCTGACGTCCTTCAACGAGGCCGGGCAAGTTTGAATTTTGATCTCCGGCACGATGCTGGAAGCGTAAACGAGGGAGAATTTACGCGTTGCAAATTGTGCGACTTACGATTCCACTTTCTCGTCGAAAAAATACGTTTCTTTTATCCACTTTATGTGGGTGGTTTCGCTGCGGGGCATGGCCAGTATCAGTTTCGGATGCAGGCCGGCCATCTTCAGGATCAAGGCGGTCTCGAGATCCGTGTAGAACACCAAAATCGAATCGATGGATTTCTCCAATTCGCTGTAATCTGAATATATAATTCAACACACGGTGTTCCAGGAATTACAATTTAACTTACGTATGCCGTAAAGGTGACCGTTGAACTCAGACACCGTAATAAAATCGGCCTTTCGAATCATCGCCACGAATTTATCCTTCCCGATGAAGTAGTAATCTTTACCCTCTACTTCGTACTTCTTTTTGGGCCGCGTGGTGTAACTCATTCCCAGTTTTAAGCTGAAACGAATCGCCTCAAACACACAATTTTCGCGTTCGAATATTAACACTCACAAATCGCAATGTTGGATGTACTTGTTGACGATAAACTTCTTCCTGCTGGCCGGCGGGCCCAAGATGACGATGATGCTGGGAATGTTCTCGCCGTAGGGGCAAACGTGCGCCCCGATCTTCGGCTTGGTTAGGTACTCGAGCAGCATCAGCTGCACTTTGGCCGTGTGAGCGGGAATCAATTGGTTGATCTTCTCCTTGGTGGCCGTTTCGATCCTGTCCTCCGGCAATATGGCCTGTTTGTTCAGCACGCACAGCTTCTGCAACGTGCGAATGCAAATGGCCTTGAAGTGGTAGTTGTCGCACAGTTTGTTGTTCGAAAGGTCCAATCTACGCAAGTATCATTAAACGATCGGAAGTGCACAGGAGATAACCGCGCTTACATCCTCAAATCGGTCATGTATCTGAAGTAATACACCTCCAACAGATCGTTGATGTTGTTGTCGTTGAGGTACAATTCCTCCAGCCACTCGTTGCCTTGGAGGAAATTGCAGGTTGGCAGTTTGTTGTGGGACAGATCGAGCACGTGCAACGACGACAACGTGTTGAAGCCCGTTCCCCTGTCCTCGGTTTCCACCATGCTGATGGAGTTGTGGCTCAGGTTCAGCTTGGCCAGCTTCAAGTTGCTCAGGTTCTCCAAAAACGTGATCCTGTTGTACGATAGGTTCAAATTTACCAGGAATCTGAAAAGCAAACCACGCTCGCGATTGGAATTTGTACCGAAAACTACTGCAGAAGTGCTACTTCAAGTTTTGAAGTCCTCTGATTTCCCTTATGCAATTGTACGACATGTCCAAATTCACTATAGACCAGAACCTGTCCAGTACGGGTATTTTCTTGATCCTGTTCTTCGAGTAATTGACGGTGGTTAAATAGAGAGGTGCTTCGAAGTCGAACGCGTTTTCTATGTAATTGTTCGAAGCGTCCAGGTATTGGAGGAACGGCATATCGCTGAGGGCTTCCAACGTTGTGATTTGATTGCGCGATAAGTTCAAATACTGGAGGTAGTGATAGGATCGCAGTGCTGATATATCTTTAATTCCCTATATTTTCAAACATCACCAAAATAGCTCCTTTACGTTAATTATAGTTGCATTGTCTACCTTATCGGGTAATTGGCATTTGCACAAGGCTATCTTGCAATCGTACGGGGACCTTTCCAGGTAGGTCAAGCAGCAGGCTATCATTCTTCTGGATAACTGACCGGCTTTCTCCTTCTCGGTTAGCTTCAGCTTCTCGAAATGCTTCAATCGCGTGACGGGCCTGACTTGGGCGGACCATTGGTTCTTCTCGAACCGGTGCAGCCCCCACAAACCTAGGTAACTTGGTATAAGGCGCGAAATAAAAATCGAAAAGGAAAATTATACCGCTGATCATTTCGATGTCGAAGCTGTGCTTGACCTCTTCGTCCACCTCCATTTCCTGGGGGAGGCTGTCGATGGACTCCTCGTCCAGACATTGCGTTTGCGTGCTTTTGGAAGTATGCGGACCGTACAGCGTGCCTTCGCTGTGCATGCAAACATAATTGAGCATAGAATCGTAGAGTTTTATTTTGCTATCCGAATTCATGATGTATCGCACAAAAAATCGCTTGTCAATTCGTTAAAACTTCAAGTACGATTGCGACATCTGGTGTGTCTGTTCCACTGGATTCTAGAATGATTCTGTTATATAATATTTAACAAACATAAAATTTCACATTTTTATTGAAAGTTTAGTAAAATTCTAAAATATTACAACAAATAGAACCCAACAAGTTATGAATAAGGAATCGATTCTAAATCGCAACAGCGATTTGTTTCATTGGTTGCAAATTTTCCGCGACCTGGAAATTGCATCCGGTGGTAGCTAAAACGTCTTCTACGCCCACTCCTTCGGCTACTTCGATCAACGTCAGTCCGTTTTCCTTGTCCACGGTAAAAACCGCCTTTTCCGTGATAATCATGTCCACCACCTGTTTTCCGGTCAGCGGTAGCGTGCAGTTTTCCAGTATTTTCCTGCCGCCGTCCTTGGCGCAATGCTCCATGCAAACGACCACTTTCGTACCAGGAGCTGCCACCAGATCCATAGCTCCCCCCATACCTTTCACCAGCTTACCCTGCAATCAAAAAAACCTCATAATATCCGGCAAAATAAAGAGAGGAAGTCTCATTACAGGTATCATCCAGTTCGCTAAATCGCCGTATTGGGACACCTCCATAGCACCGAGGATCGTCAAGTCGATGTGTCCTCTACAAGAGTATGTTTAAATATAAAAATTGCTATTGAATTTGATGATGAATTTACCCTCTGATCATTGCGAAACTCTCGTCGCTGCTGAAGTAAGATGCACCGGGTACGGTGGTGACGGTTTCTTTACCAGCGTTTATTAAATCCGCATCGACTTGGTCCGGTTTGGGGAAGGGCCCCAAGCCCAGTATACCGTTCTCGGATTGCAGGAATACCTCCAAATCCTCCGGTATGTAGTTCGAAGCCAACATCGGCATACCGATACCCAAATTAACTACAAAAACATTGAGGATTACAGTCGGAAGAACGCTCGAAATAATCTCTTAAACATACCATACATGCCGTCTTTAAATTCAAGGGCGGCTCTTCTCACTATCCGCTCCCTGTTCAAAGCGCTTGGATTTTTTTTGACTACAGATAATACGCTGTCGGTGGTTTTTTCTAGCGTAACTTTCTCGATTCGTTTCTCGTAGTTTTTCCCAAGGATAATCCTGTCGACGTAGATGCCGGGTAGATGGATTTGATCGGGCTCTAGTGAACCTACCGGTACTATTTCCTCGACTTCTACGATGGTGGTTTTGGCCGCTTTGGCCATCGTGGGATTGAAATTCCTCGCCGATTTCCTGTAATGTAGTTTATACGTGGTTATTTCGTCGAACGAAATGGATTTGATTCACCTAAAAATGAGATTTCCTACTTCGTCGGCCTTCCAGGCTTTGATGAGGGCGAAGTCGCCGGTGATGGCTTCCTCCAAAATGTAGGATTTGCCGTTGAACAATTGAGATTCCCGCTGTTTGCTGGCGATTTCGATTTTGCCTTTGTCGTTGTATTTTATCGGAGCGCCTCCTTCGTGGACGAGCGTTCCGAACGCTGTGGGAGTGTAAAATGCCGGTATACCAGCTCCTCCTGCTCTTACTCTCTCCGCTAAAGTGCCCTGTTTAAAATATTGTAGAATAATCGGCTAAATAAATGTGATTAAGAGTACCTGTGGTGTTAGTTCGACTTCTAGTTGCCCACTTAAAAATTGCTTCTCGAATTCAGCGTTTTCTCCAACGTACGAGGAGATCATTCTTTTGACCTTTTTTTCCTTTAATAGCAAACCTAGTCCGAAAGTATCGACTCCGGCATTGTTAGATATTACAGTGTAGTCTTTGGATTGGTGCTTTAGCAGCCCGGATATTAGGTTTTCGGGTATTCCACAAAGTCCGAAACCTGGTAGATTAAATGGATTAAAATAAAAGTGTATTTTTGCAATGAATTTTGTTACCTCCTACTAACAACTTGGCTCCGTTAGGAATATCCTTAATAGCCTCTTCTACATTGTAAACCACTTTCGTTTTCTTTTTGCTCGAATAGTAACATATTGATATCTAAAACAACATTATTTTTATTTTACTTTATAAATATTTTACAATGTATATTAACCTTACCTTAGTTATATCTTTAGATTTTGAAGAACGTTTCAAAAATATTTGTAAACCTAGGGATGGTGTTTTAAACATTTTTTTAAGTCTTAACAATAGCTTACACAATTGGTTAATAAGGTACAAACAATACAATCTTCAGAACGATAACATTTGATAATAGATAATCCGCTCAAAAACACAAATTCATGCAATGTATTTTTTCACTTTTAAATTTCAAAACAGAAGTAGAGGTTATCATGTCAATCCTGTTATTCATTCAGTGCCGCCGGCAAGAGTAAATAAGCGCTACTCATAATAAGTTGAATCGAGTGTGTTCTGCCTTTAACTCAACTGTTGTTCAATCAAAGTAATTAGTTTTTTGTTGGGAATATATTTACTCGAGATTTCATGTGATAATCCAACTCATTTGAAAAAATAATTAACAATCGGGAAATATCAAATGTACGCCACTGAGGAACAATTTACAGTTATTAATAAAATTGACAGTAAACGTCAACAATAACCTAACCCCATTTTTATTTTAATCTAAATATTTGTACTTTATTCCAATAAATCTTTATTATTTTAAATAAAATGATGAATTATTTGAATTATATTAGTGCCCTGTAAGTAATTTAACTTTTACAAACACCCAATTATTACTCTTACTCTTCCTTTTAGAATGTAATTCTTGCTTACTTCGAATAAAACCATTATTATAAAGCAAGAACAATTAGGATAAAACTTTGTCCAAAATCATTTATCACGAAAGCTTATTTAAAAAAAACACAAAGATAAAAACAGCAACTCATAAATTTGATTTGTTTCATTTATTTGATGTTTACACTTAATTCGTAATATTTACTATTGACTCTGCTTCATAGTATTTACCCTTGCCTGTAAACCTAATTGATAAATGTATGTTCTGAAAATCCACACTACCGAAATAAAAATCTTTGAATTTCTTCAAAATATCTACCGCATCAAAGCTTTCTTGTCTTTCCTCAGGGTGTCTGAAACTTGTGTTCATCAGAGTTACATGTAATTTGACTCTATCGTATTGCTTTTTAGCTAATCCAGACTTAGAATAATACTCGGCTATTGTATCGGATATTGTTTGTAACTTTTCGTTTTCATCATTTTTATCCATGAACACGTTACAATACAAGACATTAACGCTGGACGGATCATCATTCATGATTTCTAAGCCTTTTAAATGGATTCTATAACGATTCTCCTTTTTAAAGAGCTTACTTATGCAGTCTTTGTAGCAATTTTGCAGTACTTCTTTCGCTGTACTGATTTCTTCTTCGTCTACGAGAGTTAAAGTACTGATGGTAAGATGGAGTTTCTCGGGATTTTGAAATAACGATTCAGCTACTCCTCGGGAAGGATCTTTCAAAACGACGGTTTTAAATTCGTTTAGTTTCATACGGATTTCGTTGGAAGACACTGGAATTGATACGAAATGACTGATTGGCAGTTTATCTTTTCTTTGTGTGACAATAATGGAAATTTGAGTCCTGGCCGAGGCCACTTTTCTTTCAGTATCACCAGTAATAGTTACGTTTCCCTTTTCATTGGGTTTCGGGACTTTTATTTGGGTATTTGTGGTTCGTTCCAGGTTCTTTAATCTAACAGCTTTTGCTCCAATTATGTAAGCTAACAGACTAGAGGGCACGTAAAAAGATGTCGTGAACTTTCCAGATTTCGTAAGAGTTATATCATAATGTTCGTCCATATCTTCACAGTTGACTAAATCCACGTCGTTGTCATCGTATGGTTTCAGATGAGAATTATTAACTGAATTATCAACGTCCTTAGAAACTAGAGACGACATCCAGTAAATCGAATTTCCAAAATGTACTGGTGTTACAGTAATCGGGAGTTCTCCTCTTTCCGAGAAGAAATCCGGAAAATCTTTCCTGCTGTTTTCTTGGTTCATTTTCTGGATTCAAATAGCTAAAAAATTGAGAATGTTAAACTTATTTTATGAAAACGAAGGTAAATAATAAGAATAATACCTAAGTCGGCAGTTAAAGAGTAAAATACTTCACTTGATAAAATTATTTCATCACTGCAGTATCACAATTCATAATAAAAATAAAAAAAAATAGTTTTCTAGAAATAATAAATTGACGTTTTTAATATTTTTAATTGTGACAGATCAAAAATCCAGAACTACCAACAGCATAAAAAGCCCAACTAGTGTCAAAATTAAACCAATCACAATTGACTTTGTCACTGATCCCTCCATAATAAAGAAATATCTAATAAAAAATTAACTTTTCATTCTCTATACTCTAAAGAAAAGTTATTTAAAGTAATTTAGAAGCAATATTTCGCCATTATATCGATTATTCTTCCTCCTCATGCATATTTATTTTGTAACTAAGAGTAGGTTGGCCATTCTGTCGGTTTATCCACTACAAAAATAAATCAAATAAAAGCGACGCCATTTGCAAATTTGCGCGTGGTTTGATCGAGCGGCTAGTTAATTAAACTATTGTTTATGGTATTTGCAGTGTTAGAAAGCGTAAATATCTTTCAAGATGAGTTCCAAGATAGATCCGGCTAAACTGAAGGTAGTAGATTTACGGAATGAACTTTCGGCTCGAGGGCTTGATGCGAAAGGCACCAAACCTATACTCGTTAAACGTTTAAAAGAAGCCTTAGAGAACGAATTAGATGAAGGTAAGTTGTTTTCGTGCATACTTGATAATCATCTAGAAGTTATTTGTATAATTTCATACGTAGATTAGTTCTAAAAGTGTCTAAATAGTTTGCACAGTTGAACGCCGACTCGCTGGAAAATTTTAATCCACTTGATCTTGTTTGTAAATACATGTTTAGTTATTGCCTAATTTCAGTACGATTCTAAAGTTTTATAAATTTGCATTTTTTAGAAATAGCTGATACATCAATATTAGATACTTCAACGGAGGAGGTTGAAGATGACCTGACGCCAAAAAATACCTCGCTTACCGATGCAAAGGACGAAGTGAGTACACCTTCGTAAACTAGCCGAAACATTAAATCACTAAAATGTTAACGTGTTTTAGGCGGCGAGGGTCGCGGGAAGCGCCCCTTCTCCGGAACAGGACGTACCCGACGAAGGTGAATCCGAAAAAACCGACGAACCTGTGGCAACACTAGAACCTACACCGGTGCCTGAAATCGAATCGACGCCTGCACCAGCCGAGGTGCCAGTACCTGAAGTTAAGCCTACGCCTGTACCTGAGGAATCCAAGCCTTTGGTGAAATCGCCCGAAAAGCAAGATGCCCCAGTCGAGTCCTCCGAGGCGCCTACAATAGAAGACAATGACGCGGAAGAGCAAGAGGCTTCGAATAAACCCGAAAATCTTCCCGCTTCTATGGAAGCCAATTCAGAACCAACTGAAGAAGCTGCATCAGAACAAGAAAACGGAGAACAGGTAATGTTGTACTAATAATATTTTATTTTGCTTATACTTTGGATACCGGGTAACAGGGAATTATTGCGATAGAATAGCGAGTATCACAAACATTGGTACTTACAATGCATGTAGTGAATTAGTTCCTCGATATAACAAAGGCAACTAATTGCAGGAAGATAAAATGGACGCTCAGGACGATGCCTCGAAGACGGCGGACGAAAAGGACGCCGATGACCAACAGAAAGGCGAAAAACGCAAGAGAAACAGCGATTCGCCCGATCGATCGCACAAGCGACAGAGGACCCCCATCAAAGAAGACGAGCCCGAAATAAACGCCGAGGCTGTACAGCTCAGCTGGTGTAAGTAAAGATTTTAGCATAGATGCATGTATTTAACACAGTGTTGGTGCGGTATAATTTGTAAAACTATCAAATTTCTAGTAGTAAATTTAGGTAATTTTTTTTCTTGTAGTTTGCATGAACACTTTTCTTGTAATTAATAGTTCAATAAAATTTTACTGTGTTACGTTTTCTTTTTCTTTATTATTTGACAACCCATTCTGGATTATTTTTTGTATTGGTGGAGAGCATTTGATGGTTTTATAAATTGCCATTATGCACATGTGCTTGTTTATGTATATTTTTTTCATTTAATAAATCGCTTGTACTGCAAAATATATTGTTTATCCAGGTAAGTTATCAAAGAGGAATTTTATGGTGTAAGCTAATATAACAAGTAGCCTTTTCGAACAATAAAATCGAGTAACATTTTCTCTATTCTACATCCTTATTTTACCTTACAGACGATTCAGATCTATACTTGCAAGTAGATAAAACATCATTTTTATCCGCGAAGCCAATGAACGACGGTGCATTTGGATACGTATGGGCCGGAGCTAGAGCTACGCACGGAATTTCAACGGGAAAGGTATAAATACGCGTTCGAATTTCGCACGCAAAAAATAACCCAATTATTTACGTAGGTCTGCTACGAAATGAAAATAACGGAGAAATTAAAATGGGACGATTGGCAACAACAACCGGATCATCGAGACAACAGGTACAGGGACAGACGAAGCAGACGAGATTATTACGACAGAGACGATAAGAGAAACACCGATAACGTCAAAAACGATCCAGAGAAACCTAAAGAGGACCCTAAAGAAGACCCCAAAGAGACTGATAACGCGAGTGAGAATAAAGACGAAGAAATTCCATGCGAGAAAGACGAGAAGGACCAAACCGAAGCCGAAGCAGTCGAACCGATGGAGACTAACGAAAGTGAAGCTGTCGAAAAGAAAGATGATGACAAACCAGAAGAAAAAGACGATCAGAATGAAACGGACGATAAGAACGAACAAGACGATAAGAATGAACAAGATAATAAAACTGAACAGGACGATAAGAACGAGAAAGAGGACAAAAAGGAGGAAACTCCGGAAGAAGAATTCGTTCCTATACCGACTCATTTTATCAGACTGGGTTGGTCAGCCGCTTGGACTTCATTACAACTGGGAGAAGATGATAAATCGTACGGTTACGATTCCTCTGGAAAAATCGTTAAAAACAAGGAGTTCTCCGATTACGGTATAACGTTCGATGTTGGAGACGTAATTGGTACATTTTTGGTAAGTAATCGCTAAATAAACACACACAGTTTGGCTAATATTTAATTTCCTTTTGCAGGACATCAACGACTCGTCAATAACGCTTCAATTCACCGTGAATGGACAAATTCAACCGACTATCGAAATACCCAGGGACGATTTACCCGAAGATCTCGCCTTGTTCCCTCACGTTCTATCCAGAAACTACGCCTTAGAATTGAATTTCGGCGAACAGGACGAACCGTGGTGCGCCGTACCTTCGGAACTGTCCGATTACACATTCATAAGCAAAGTTGAGGATAAAGTAGCCGGTCCAACGAGACCCGAAACCAGATCAGATTGTGAGGTAATCTATCCACTTGACTCGACTAAATGATGGGTATTAAACTGTTTATGTGTAATTTTAGGTGCTTATGATGTGCGGTCTACCAGCTTCAGGAAAAAGCGAGTGGGTCAAGAATCACATTGCTGCTGATGTGGATAAACATTACACTGTACTGGGTGTCTCCAATTTGTTCGATAGAATGACGGTAATATATTTTATAATAATGGAAATTTTGTGGTAGCTTATGTGATTAAATTATTATCAGGTATTTGGAGAACCAATGAAGTCGAAGTTCAAGGGTAAATGGAGCACTCTAGTGGACAGGATCTCGAAAATTTTGAATAGATTAGTATTCATGGCGGCTCAAAGAAGGAGGAACTACATTATCGATCAGGTAAGGCATTTTGTGATTATTTTAGGAAGTAAACCTGGTATTAGATCGGTTGAGTGAAGGTGAGTAACGTGGTGTCCGAGTATCATGTAAGTATGATCAAATTCGGTGAGCTCCGGTAATCGCGATATTTAGAGGTAATGTACAAAACAATCAGATTGTTTTTATGCATTGGCACAAATAATAATTTTATGAATCTCCTCGAAATATGTTGTAGGAAAACGCAAATACTTTTAATATTTATCGATCGGGATTTATTACACTGCCACATTAGGGTTCTTCCAGCGGTTAACAAAGATTTTTCATTCGGTTTTTAGTATTTATTTTTTAAAGTTTAACGGCATTGCAGTTGACACAAGTTCCATTTAATCGAATTATTGAAGTTGTAGTTATTTGTATTCCGTTGGAGAGGAATGGTACTATCGTCTAATCAACATGAACTGCTACTGCATTCACTGCGAGTACTGTAAGTACTGTCGACTATACTACACGAACTGCATTCGATGATTAATAAGTTTTACTTCGAGGTGATGATGATTATTGAAATATACGGCATTCTTGCTGCGCTAAGCCAAAAAATTTAGCCGATCTATGGTAATGTAAAAAAAATCTATACCTTTTAAATGTCACCTGCAAGCTGTGTGAAAGTAGCTAGATTTTGCACTGAAACATTAAAACCTTTTCGAGTGAGATCTCTTTGTTGGCCGCATTAAATTCATGCGAAAACTGGCATTTAGTTGATAAATTAAAAGCTAAAAACCAACAACCAAAAACGTTATTATAATACTGAGAAATTGTGGCAGACAAACGTGTTCCCATCAGCCCAGCGCCGTAAAATGCGGCCGTTTGAGGGCTTCAAGAGAAAGGCGATCGTACTTGTAAACGAAGACGAAGAACAGGCTAGACGTCAGGCTTTGCAAGAGACCCTGGAGGGTAAAGAGGTCCGCGATAGTACTTTGCTTGACATGAAAGGTATAATATGTGTTGAATAGATTCACACAATTTCAATTTCTATTTTATTTATAATGTAACGTGTTTAGAGAAAAAAAAATCTAGTAGGGTCGAACTTTCTTGATTTGTTTTTTTGATTTTACGAAAGATCCGTTGCTCTCTTAAAAAATTTTCTATCTTTTTTTTTAAATATATATTTTTTAAGAGGGTTTGTTTTTCAATATTTAAATTCCTCGAAATGTCTTAATCGTTATCGAGGCATTTAAAGAAAATTTCATTCTTTATATTGAGAAACTTGTTTGATATCTCGTAAAAGCATTTTATTATTTCAAAATTACGTTGATGCACAATTCATAACGTTGCAAATTGAACAAATTACGAGTACTTTTGGAAGTGCATCAATGTAATTGAAAAAAATCTAGCTATCTCCTGGGAGATCGATAATATTTTTTTCTAACTCTTGCATTAATTTATAGCCACCATGGCCATACCCGAGGCGGGCGATTGGCTCGAAGAAGTCGTTTACGTCGGCGTAGACGAGGAAAAGGCCAAGAAAATCATCAAGGATTACAACGCAGAGGGTCAATCGGCCGGATACGGACACGAAAAGAGATACAAGAGAGACTGGTGGAATCAGAATAAAAGTAATTAAATACATAATAGATTTATGACGCGATTTAGATATATGATGGTTGCCGGACCATCCTGAACTCTCGCTTCTTTACTATCTATATAAGTGTACTAGAGAAAGAACGAGAATTCGGGATGAGCGATAGCAATCGTACAAACTGTTGTATCAATTGATAAGAAGTTTGATAGTCTATTTACAACAACATTGTTAAAGTTTCTTTAAAAATCGTAGGAAATAACTACCGCTCGGGAAGGAACTATCAAAGACCGAGAAGCGGCGGCTACAACCGCCAATACGGCCCGTCCCCGTGGGTTCAATCGAGACAAGGCGGCGGCGGCGGTGGCGGCGGCGGCGGATGGAAGGATCAAAGAACGCGCGAATGGAGAGGTATGTTTACACAAACATTTATTCGTTATTTATTTAACTCGTTTTTGCGAATGTAGGTAACGATTACAACCGAAGAGATAGGGATTACTATTCGCAATCCGGCTACGGAGGCGGCGGCGGCGGCGGTCGCTATCAATCGAGCAACAGATCCCAGGGCGGCGGCGGCCAGCGTTGGGGCGGCAACGGCGGCGGCGGCGGTTGGGGAGGCGGTTGGAATCAACAGAGCTACGGCAGGCAGAATTGGAATAATCAGGGCGGCAACGGCGGCGGTCAGGGCAATTGGAGCGGCGGCAAGTACGGTTCGTCCGGCTCGGGGTACAGCAGCTGGAGTTATTACGGGCAACAGCAACAACATTGGAGCGGACAGGTAAGGCGCAAATGAAGGATTTTTGTATATTTGTTTAGACCTCCGCTCCGCTCTCTCATTGAAAATGTGTGTGTGTTATCAGAATCAATTTTGAGGAATGTACCGAGTAAATAATGAAATATTTACTGGCTTTTAGGGAGGGGAGGATATTGTCGAATTGTATTCCCGAAACTCTTGAAAATTTGTACGTTTTAAAAATATTGTTGCTGGAATTGGTCCAAATTGGATATAACAACGTTTCGTTCGTGTCCAAAACTTTATTTGCGCGTATATTCGGCGTATTTTCACCCAATTTCAGCGACACATTTCGATTTTTTTAGTAATAAAAGCAAGAAAAAAGTTATTCAAAAATATCTCTTTGATGTGGTAATAGATTCTTTTTTATTTTACAGAAGTAATCCAGCCTTACTCCAAACAACTTCGAGACAATGTAATGTAAGCGCTAGAAAAGCTAAAAAAAACTCAAAAAAAAAAATAACCGTTTCAATATTGATTCTGATAATTTTTCCTTAATTAAAAGTCAGTAAAATCACTGTTTAAAGAAGAAGCCATTTTTAAAATAGGGGCAGCAGCAGCAACAACAACAAAGTCATTCTGGTTATGCGATGAATACCCCGAGTCAGGGCCAAACGCAGGGCCAGTACGCCCAAGGTTATAGTACCCAGGAAGCGTGGGCACAATACGCCAAGCAGTATGCTCAGCATCAGCAAATGGCGCAAAATCAACCAGCGGCTGATACAACCCAAAACAAATAAACTTGTACTGTCCATAAGTATAAAATATTTTAATATTTCTAATAGTTTATTCAATGGATTTTTTTTTTAATTAATTTGAAACATACAAGAAATTGTTTTTCAATATCATGGGGTGATCTCATTTTTAATTTTAATGGCCTTTGATTCCGTGTATTTAAAAGAAACTATTAGAAGTATTATTAGTATATAAAGTGTTGAGTTTTCACAAATTTTATTGCCTTAATTAATTGCTTGTAATTCGTATTTCATTTGAACTTAATTCTTATGGGTACCTTTTGGTGGTAAAATGTAAATAATTTAGCCTTTACATTTAGTAATACTGTTCGAGTATTGACGTGTGTAAATTCTATTAATAAAAATATTGTATTCTTAGAAATTAGCTGACCACTTTTGCTGTGTACCTTCCAAGTGGAGAATAAAATCCGCTTTGTACATACATTCTTAGATAAACAACTTACATAAGTATATTTTAATTACATGTGACAAATTTTAATGTTTTTTGCAATATCTTCTTTTATACATATTTTCAAATTATGTTATATGGTTTGACCTATTTTAATTTGAAAATAAATATTTCTACTATAATAATTTTATTATACCTTTATCGGTAATAAAATACTTAACGCTTTATGACAAAAAATGTAAACAAATTATAATCGATACTTTTTCACTTATTTTATTAATATAGATAAAATAAAGACAAGTTACTTATAACTTTTGTACAAAAAGCAACATTGCATATTAGATAATAATAGTATTAGTATATAATTTACAATTGATTCATTTACTCAAACCTCGAGCATTTCTAATCCATTACACAACTTCATATTTTTCCGGATAGAGTACTGTTTCCACGGAGTGTTTAATAGGAGAATAGTCATCAACGAGAACTACTTCAGTTACCTAAAAAAATAATATAACGCAAATTAAAAACACGACAATTTAACCACGTAAAAAAATACTTACTGTAATACTAGCGTAGGACGATTTTGAAGTAAATCCGACCGATAGCGGGAAGAAATCATTGGGAATAGCTCGGGGCGCGTTGAATTCTAAAGAACCCGTCTTGTTGCTGGCATCAATCACCGGCAAGTTCCATACGAGATGATTTCTTTTTGCTTCGTGAGTATATGAACCATCGCATTCACCCACTATTGGAGAGCAACCAATTCTAAACCAAAAAAAAATTAAACACAATTACAATTTTACTTTTAAATCGTAAAAGAATACTTACGGCAAAGGGATTGTAATATTAACGTCCACTAATTCTAAGTTAGTGTGGGCAAGTTCGTATTCAATATTCACATCGCAACTGCCGTCTCCCGCTTCAGAAGGCCAACAGTTTATTAGTAGAGGCACTAGGGCTTCGTCAGTACTCTGCAATCGCCATTTTAACACACCAACGTCGGTGTGCAGCGGGAATGGTTTCGAAGGCTGTTTCAAACCAATCTAAAAGCACATTCGATAAGCAACAAATCATTACCACAAAAGAAACTTTTAGTACTTCTGAACGTAATTTGAACAGTTCCTTATCGACATTCGGGTGCGTTTGAAGCTGAACTCCGTGCGTATTACTGTTCTCCAACTTCACCCTTATTCTGCCCCATTTCTCGTCTCCTACGTGCAACGTTGCCAAGCCTAATATTTCGAACTGCTGCACGCCGCCATCGCGACCCATTATAGCGATCAGTTTCTCTTCTAATCTCAAATGAACGCTGCAAAAAGCGATCGTTGTCGGAGAAAGTTCTATTACAAAATATTCCACTTACTCATCGATATCCGTTTTGATAGCGGGGGCTTTAGTTCCGGGCTGCGAGATGCTATTCTTGTTTGGAGCATTGACGTGTTCACCTTCGGATTTTAGCTGATCTACAAAGGATTCCACGTCTCTGGTCTTTCCTCCTAATTTCATTCCGCGCGGTTTTCTGTAATACGTAAATAATTGTTAAAATAATAAAAAGAGTAATGCAATTAGTGTACTAACTGGGTAGCGGATGGTGTGTAGGAAGGAGGTTTGACATCGTTGGTCGGTACAGCAATATCACCAATAGATGGTGTAGGAGTGTAAGTCGTAGAGCTACCGAAGCCTCCGCTATTTCCGAACATAGCCTTGCCGCCTTTCTTTTGTGCCTCCATTTTTTGCCTTTGCAATTCTTTAGCTTTTTCTCTCATTTTATTCTTCGCTTCACGTTCTTGAGTCTGTATAATAACATATTATGAATAGAACGAAACAATATAAGTGGTTTTATTCTACCTGTCTGACGGCTTGGTAGACTTTTTCTTCGTGCGAATCCATTTCCACGAACGTGCGAATTTGAGACAGATTCACGCTCTCTCTATAACCTAAAGCTACGATTTCATCGAAAGCGAATATCAGGGAAAAGGCGTTTTCTGCTATTTCACTCTCATCTAATGTCCTACAGTACTCTGGGATCTATAATTGGTACATTTGTAATACGTTTATTTTTTCAAATCGAATTGTTACTTACCACTCGTGCAAACAACCGCAAGGTCTCCAGATCTTCTAATATGTTACTCGCCCTAGTGGTGATGAGCAGCATGTAAAGTTTTTCTAAAGGCTGATACACGTAACGTACCGAATCGGTTTCGACGAAAGTGTGCTGGGTGCCAGTTGGGATTAACTTCGGAAAAGCCGCTAGCAGCCCTTCGATGCGAGCCTTCGTCATTTCGACGAATTGCCGCGACACGATCGCTGAAAACCGACATAACTATAACGCAAAGCGTTTACAAGAACCCTTCTACTCACTTTTGCCTGCTTTCGTGCATACTGCTGCCGCAATTAGTACCTGAAAATTTACAAAGCGAGTACTAAATATGTCTGGCCTATTAGGTGGTTTGTTGGCTTACCATTGTGAATTCGTGTTAATGGCACAAATTATCTAAAAAACTAATTTTTCATTAAACATTACACCTATCATTAAACGAAACTAAGATGACGTTGACGTGTAGGTCTCAAAGAAAAATAGTGACGTGACAAGTCGCCATTATGGTGTCGAGCTGTCAATGTCAAAACAGTGACACCAACATTTTTTTACCCATTTCATAATTTTTGTATTTATGGTGAGAAAGGGTAATTGTTTCATTACAAATAACTTGTTATAACAAGAAAGTTAATCAATGTAGTATTTGTTTAAAGAATTACGTGAAATTGGTATAAAACTTCGTTAGATTACGATTTCTAGTGGTATTATTTTAGTTATTTAAAATCTCACGAGGTGACAGCTAAGTCGACGTTTGGACGTCTGGTGGAGAAGTGTCCAAAGGTCACTGAATGGATGGAATAAATCGAGGAATTAGTGGGGGGTTATTTTCAAAGCACGTGCTCTATAAAATGTCGAAATCCGTATAAGAAATAATCTTCATAATAGCAACTAAATTTACCAAAGATCGAGTATTAATTGCATAGTGTTCGAGAAAGTGCCAAGTTGAATTTCAAAAATTATTCAAGAAAATGGCCCTTGGAGCATCCCTAACAGAAACGCAACTCGAAGACCAAAATTTGGACTCCAAAAGTGACACAGTGGAGAAAAACGTTGATGATGAAAAAACCCAAGGTTGGTTTGCTCGAATACCCTTTTTTTTCACTTATTTTATTATCTACAAGTCAATTTTCGTTACGTAACCGTCCGGCTTCTTCGCTAATAAAATTCACCTATTCAAAATGACGTTGTGAGAACCATGAATTCCGCCCAATTAATTCCCAAAATACTCCCATTATTCAACAATAACGCCGAATTACGAAACACAACAAACGCAATATTACTACACCCAACTTTTATCTTTAGATGGTGATAATAAATCGGCCAAAGAAGAAATAAACAAATTAGTCAAAGATGAGGAAGAAAAGGAGAAAGACGAGTCGGAGGAAGGCAAAAATAAAGACGAAGTCGTCTTTATACAGGATGTCGGATTTTCCGTTAAAATCGTCTGTCCCGGCGCTGAAGCGTTTGACATACAAGTAAGCCATTTTCAATCGAGCATTCTTGGCTACTGTCCTTATACACACAAGGCCACTTTAAACAATCTTACGGTACGTTTAACAGGTATCGAGCATGGAATTGGTGCAGGAAATCCACCAGTTGCTGATGGACCGCGAGGAAACCTGCCATCGGACGTGCTTCTCGCTGCAACTCGACGGCAACACGTTGGACAACTTCGCCGAGCTGAAGAACATCGAAGGCCTGAAGGAGGGATCGATCATCAAAGTGGTGGAGGAGCCCTACACGATGCGCGAGGCGAGAATTCACGTCAGACACGTCAGGGATCTGCTGAAGTCGCTCGATCCGGCCGATGCCTACAACGGGGTCGATTGCAATTCGTTGAGCTTCCTCAACGCCATCACCCAAGGAGATATCTTAGGTGGGCTTAATGAATTGTAGCTTATATAGAGTTGTTACGTTTTGGTGTTTTTTAGAGAAGAAAAAACTCCGTCCGGAAAGCGTTGACTGCACTCCGCCGGATTACATAATGCCGGAGAGCAAGGAGAGGCCTTTGACTGCGCTACAGCCGCAAATTAAGGAGCAGAAATCTCCTCAATGCGTCAAAGTCCTGACCACTTCGGCCTGGAATCCACCTCCTGGTCACAGGAAGATTCACGGTGATCTTATGTACCTATTTGTGGTTACTTTGGAGGATAAACATTACCACATATCGGCTTGCTCGCGAGGATTTTACATCAACCAGTTAGTTTAAATTTTAATTAGTAGTTTTATTTAATCGATGTGATGATTCGATTGTAGATCGGGCGCTGAAGAATTCAACCCTAAAGCAGCTACGCCTAGCCACCTCTGCCACTCGCTGATAGAACTGTTGAATCAAATTTCGCCGCAATTCAAGAGAAATTTCGCTCTGTTGCAGAAGAAGAGGAGCCAACGTCATCCGTTCGAAAGGGTCACGACTCCTTATCAATTGTATTCTTGGACCGCTCCACCCATGGAGCACACTCTAGATGCCATCAGAGCCGAAGACAGTGAGTTTTTTTAAACGTTAGGTAATTATACGGTTGTAATTAATTGCATTGAACAGCGTTTTCATCGAAACTGGGCTACGAGGAGCACATACCGGGCCAAACGAGGGACTGGAACGAGGAGTTGCAAACCACTCGAGAGCTGCCCAGGAAAACGTTGCCGGAAAGACTGCTGCGTGAACGCGCCATATTTAAAGTTCACAGTGATTTCGTAGCGGCCGCCACGCGCGGCGCTATGGCCGTCATAGACGGCAACGTGATGGCCATTAATCCGGGCGAAGAGGCCAAAATGCAGATGTTCATTTGGAACAACATTTTCTTCTCGCTCGGCTTCGACGTTAGAGACCACTACAAGGAGTTGGGCGGCGATGCCGCCGCGTTCGTTGCTCCGGTAAGTCGGATTAAACTGCTGATTTGTGGTTAATAAAATACCCCGTTTTCAGAGGAACGATTTGCAAGGTGTGAGAGTTTACAGCGCTGTAGACTTGCCTGGTTTGTATACACTTGGTACGGTGGTGATCGATTATAGAGGTTACAGAGTCACTGCACAATCGATTATACCGGGGATATTGGAGAGGGAGCAAGAGCAATCGGTTGTGTACGGTTCGATAGATTTCGGTAAAAGCGTATTGACTCACCCGAAATACTTGGATTTGGTAAACTGTTCGATTCCTATATTTACAGATTTTATATATAAATATTTTAGCTGAGCAAAGCCGGTCAACAATTAAAAATTTTACCTCATCATGTTATAAACGATAAAAACGAATCGGTTGAATTGTGTTCGAGCGTCGAATGTAAGGGAATAATCGGAAACGATGGCAGATATTACATTCTGGATTTGCTGAGAACCTTCCCGCCCGACGTCAATTTCCTAAAACGTTCGTATTTATCAAAAACTAATCACGAAACGCATCTAATAATATCTACATTGCAGTGGAAGGCGAAGATTTGAGCCGCGAAGTGAAATTGCTCGGATTCCCCATTGAGCACAAGCACAAGTTGTGCTGTTTGAGGCAGGAGATGATCGACAGCTTCGTCGATTCCAGATACATGATGTTCATCAAGTACGCCGCCTACCATTTGCAGCAATTAAATCTCAAAAAGACTGAAGAAAAACTGAAGAAGCCCATCGAAAACGGCACCGCCGCGAACGAAACCAAAGTGCAGGATAACAAGGAAGCGGACGAAAATTGCAAGGATAAAGACACCGAAAAGGACAACGCCGACGAAAAAAGTCAGTTGGAAGATGCAGAGGCTAAGAAGATCGTCGAAAGCATCACGGATGGTAGTAAAATGGAATGTGAGTTTGGTTTCGTTGATAGTATATTATTTGTTGATAAATTGATGTTTTTAGTGGAAGAAAGTACCAGGACTATTGTCAAAACGGCATCGATGGCTGTAGGGTCTTTGAAAGACACCGAATTTGATATAAGATTTAATCCGGACGCTTTTTCGCCTGGTATCAAACATTGTCCCAACTCCGATCCGCCGCTTGCTAAGCAAAAGCAGTTGATCAAAGACGCCGCTGAATTTTTGCTAACAGTACAAATACCCAGTTTCGTAAGTGTACGGTTTTTGTTTGTCGGGCAAAAGGTTTTAAAGGAATCATCTTTAGATACGCGATTGCCTGGATCATTCTTCGGCTCCCATGGACGGCACGACTCTCTCCGAAGCTCTGCACAACAAAGGCATCAACATCAGGTATTTGGGAAAAGTGACGAATCTCCTGGCGAAAGTCAAGCAATTGGAATATTTGTACAGTATTTCGGTGTCCGAGTTGATCTTGAGATCGGCCAAACATATTTTCACCATTTACCTACAGGTTCGTATATAATTTTATTTTTTTTATACGTTGTAATGGAGTTTTTTCAGGGTTGCGAAATGATGAATTTGTCGGTCGCCATTGCTCATTTTTTGAATTGCTTTTTGTATTCCGGCATGGTTGCTAATCCATTACAAGGACAAGATGAGGTAAGAAATCGCTCATTACAATGGGTAAAGTGACAACGCAAGATCGCGATTTTCAGTTGAAAAATTACATTATTCTTCTTGTTATTTACAAAAATCTTTAGTTCGAGACAGTTTTAAATGATTCTAGAGCGTTCAAAATGACTATTGAGCATTCTAAAGGGTTCTGGAACGTTCTAAACGCTTCGAGACAGTTCTAAATGATTCTGGAGCATTCTAAATGGTTCTGAAGCGTTATAAACGGTTCTAGACAGCTCTAATTGATTCTGGAATTGTTCTAAACGGTTCTAAATGATTCGGGAGCGTTCTAAATGGTTTTAGACAGTTCTAAATGATTCTGGGGCGTTCTAGATTGTTCTACACAATTTTAAATGATTCAGGCCGAGGACTGTTCACCCAACCCTTGTAATTAAAGTAAACCATCTCGCTGATATGCGATTTGTTTTTGTAGAACAAAAACAACAAGAAACGCAACAAGCGCCGCGGCAGAGCGAACCCGTTGACGTGCATCGACAACAACGAATGGGCGAATTTGACGCCGAAATCGCTGTGGAACCAGCTGAAGAGCGAATTGAAATCGTACTTCGACTACGAGCTCCAATCCAACGACATCGATTCGACGATAGACGCGTACGGTTTGCAGAAAATCTCGCTGATGCGATCGTTCTGCCTGAAGACCGGCATCCAAATCCTGCTCAGAGACTACAATTTCGATTCGAAGAATAAGGTTTTCTACGAGGAGGACATACTGAACATCTTTCCGATAGTCAAGCACATCAATCCGAGGGCGACGGACGCTTATAACTTTTACACGACCGGTCAAACGAAGATCCAACAGGGCTATCTCAAAGATGGCTACGAGCTGATCAGCGAATCGTTGAATTTGCTGAACAACGTTTACGGTGCTATGCATCCCGAAATCGCGCAGTGCTTGAGGATGATAGCGAGACTGAATTACATTATGGGCGAGCACGGTGAGGCCATGGCGTTCCAGCAGAAAGCTGTGTTGATGTCGGAAAGGGTGAATGGAATCGACCACCCGTACACCATCACCGAATACGTATGTATAACGATTAACATCGAAACGGTTAATATATTTATTTTTTAATTGTTAGGCTCACTTGGCCTTGTATTGTTTCGCGAACAGCCAGGTCAGTACTGCGTTGAAGTTGCTCTACAGGGCAAGATACTTGGCTATAATTGTTTGCGGGGAAAATCATCCAGAAGTCGCCTTATTAGATGTAAGTGTACTGAGATGTTTGCTTGTACTTCGAGTTGGCGTATAATTCGATTTGTTTTAGAGTAACATCAGTTTAATCCTGCACGCGGTAGGTGAATATGATCTATCGTTGCGTTTCCTCGAAAAGGCTTTAGCGTTGAACATCAAATACTTTGGTGCTAAATCGCTGAAAGTCGCCGTGAGCTATCATTTAGTGGCGAGAACGCAAAGTTGTATGGGGAATTTCAGATCTGCGTTGAATAACGAAAAGGAGGCTTACACTATCTACAAACAACAGGTAATTACTGTTTGTTTAATATGATGTAGATACTACGTTTTTTTTTTATTTATAGCTTGGGGAAAACCACGACAAAACCAAAGAATCTTCGGAATGTTTGAAACATTTAACCCAACAAGCGGTGGTTCTCCAGAAAAAGATGAACGAAATATACACAGGCAAAAATGGAGCCTCCCTTCCGCCAATTCAAATCCAACCTCCTTCTATGGGTTCTGTACTGGATATGTTGAACGTTATTAACGGAATTCTTATCGTTCAAATTAGGTAAAATTCAATCGACCATCATAATAGCTTCTTATTAATTTATCATTCGTTTTAACACAGTCAAGAAGATATCGAAAATTTTAAGGCTGAAATCGAAAAGAGGCAGAACGAAGAGGTGACGGATCAAGAAATACAAGCGATTCAAGCGGAAGTGGCCAATTGATAGTATATCGGTTCCTTTTTTGCGAATACGTAGTCAGAATAGAAGTATTTTTTAGTTCAAATCGGTGACATGCACACTTACCGACCTAGTCTGTTGGTTCAAATTTTGAACTGGCCTCCGGATAATTTAGTCTTTGAAGTGCAATTTTAAAATTAATCGTAGTTAACAGGGTTGCTATTTTTCTGTTTGAATTGATTTATAAAAACTTGGTTGCGCAAGCTCGAATACATCAAGATTACATTTGAACCGTTCTACTTCTTCTGTATAAAATCGTAGTTTTTAATATCAATTAAATTGATAGGAATACAATTGTACAAAAATTATTGAAAAGTGCTGCATCATCATGATTATATTGTGCATGTTACTTAGTGAAGAATATTTTTTATTATTTTTTAAATAATGTTTTGTATAATTGTTAAAAATGTAGCGTAATTATTTGTTAATTACAAGAAACTGGTTACATTTCTATTCATTTTTTTATTTACTTCAAAAATCAAAAACAACTGTACTCAAAATGTATATTTAAAATTTAATCTGCTCGTCTTGAACAACAAGAGATTTCAGTAACGAATAACAAGAAAACCTTATAGGGGCTAAAGTATGAATTGGATTCTCCAGATACTAAAAAAAAAATAGAGTTAAACATATTTTGACCAAAATACAACAAATTCTTACCGTTTTAAATGCCCTATGACTCGGATCTTTCATGTACAGATGCTTCTGAGCTTCGATCGATTTTATAGACCCAACTTTCACCTGCGGTGAAACCTTTTCATACAACGCCTGATCTTCATTCAATTCACTCGGCAAAATTCCTGGTAAAACTTCTTCGTCCCGCAAACAATACAATTCCTACAAAAGACGAATATCAAAAAATATATTTACACAATAATTGTTGTAAAAGCTACATTCTCAGACGTGATGAAATATAGTTGGGTGCGCTGGTACCAATTCAAACGAAGATCATTAATGTTTCTACTAGGAATGAAATTACAGGCTTTTATGGATCCGAATTCCTGGAGAATCTTCTCGTTGGTGTACAATGGTTGACTCGAATTCGGCGAAAATACATACACTAAAAAAATATAAGTTTAGCATTTAAAATTGGCGGTGAATTCAAACTATTCGAACCTCTTTTTGTGCGAGTAATAACAGCCATATTGCTGGATAAAGAATCCGCTATTAAGTGGGATACTTTCAACGGAACAGTCCACATCATACAGAGAGTCAAAATATTCCATACGTTAAGCGTGTTATCGCTGGCTGTTACTAACAAATGGCATTCGCTCTCGTTACCGAAATGAATGTGTTTAATAGTTTCCTTGTGCAGAGGATATATTAAAGAGCTTTTCAGCGAGCAAGTGTCTGGCGTCCAAAGTGTTAAAATTTCTTTGAATCCAGTAGCGAAAAGAGATCCATCTATTGAAAATGACAATGCGTTGCAGGGAAGATTCCTGTAGAACCCAACGCTGAAACACTTCCAGGACAGGCGTTTTTCTAAAAGATGAGTTAATATTAATATTCAAGATTTATTTCATGTACCTATTATTTACCTGTAACTACCATTGTTTCTGTTACTTTCCAAATTTTAAACTTTTTATCATCCCCAACCGTCACACATTGTAAATTATCATCTTTATGTACAGGTGCAAAGAGCATACTGTTAATGCTGTCTTCGTGAGGATATTCAATAGAAGTATTTAGATGAAATCTGCATAAAAACACCAATATAAATATAAAATTAATGAATACTTTATAAACTAACTCTTGTTTTGATTCCTCAAATCTCCAAAATTTCAATCTAATTTCACTGCTCAGCTCGTCATCTTTTCGCTCTTCCACCGTCGCAAACCACAAACCATTTTTACTAATCGCCACTTTCTTCACCTCCGTGTTGGCAATCACGATTCCTCTTTCATTGGTTATTCTATTTTGCCCCACGATATCCACCTAAAAATGTTAACTGTATAACACACAAGCTAAGGATTATCGGTGTGTACTTACACTATGCACCAACGACATGAATTCCGGTGAATAGAATTGAATGTGCCCCTGATTACCGTTCATTATCAACGATCTGGACCTCAAGTCGTAAACTATTCCGCTATCGAAATGATCGGCCAGCACTAAATGCTGAATCAAGCTTATTTGATACAATGTGTTATCGAAAATCCTTACGGCGTTGTCGTTGGTGGAAACGGCAACGTATAAATTATTTCTAGAGACTTTTATGTGGTTTATTTGGGCTGGTAAACGAGGTACGAATTTCTTTTCGTTGACGTTTTCTAGCAGCCATTTTACAAGAACAGATTCTCCACCTCCACTGTAGAAGTAACTGCCCGTGTGTGAAAACGATACTGTATTTACCGGTAGAGTGTGCCAGTGGAAGACTGATTGATTCGGTTTTTTTGAGAACAAATTTTGCCATTTTAACACCCTTCCCGTGTTGTCTCCGCTTAAGATTATTTCTTCGACTGGATGGCAGGCTATGCAAGTGAATACTCTCTCGTTGCCGATGAAGCGCCTGAAAATATTTTATAATAGTGATTGTATTCATTCATTTGTACAATCACACTTACTTGTAATATTGTTGAAAATCGTTAATTTTTACGAAGTATATCTCGTTTTCAACGGCCACTCCAAAAAATTCGCTCTGAACGTCTATGAAGTACTTGCTTTCAATTGGTAATTTTAGGTTATATTCCCTAATCTTGTTGGTTTTGGATGACCATAGAGCAAAGTGAATTGTATCACCCTTCGTGTAAGAGGTTACTGCTTTGTAATTCCCTTCATCGGAAGGTAAGATGAAAAAAGTTTGGACGTTTTGTAAAGATAATTTCTGAAAATATATGTTTACTATACCTTTGGTACAAACTGATGTTTCTTACTTACTTTATTCACTACTTTGGAATGTGTTAATACTTTCCATGTGCTTATTTCACCGTTCTCTGTGCAAGCTGTTAGAGCATCCAAACCATCCAAACTATGATAACCATATCCTATTATTCGATTGCTGGTCTTGTACTCGTATAGAAGTTTCGCAGTTTTAGTGTTATATTCCAAAATTGAATTTTTCGAACAAACGAAAACATTCCTATAAATTCGCTATAATTAGTATAAAAACTATTATGATAAAGATTTACGTACTGTGAGTCATCGGAAAATTGAGGGGGCAACTTCACAAAAGAGCCTCCTCCTTTATAATTCACTAAAAGATCCATTTATTATTTTATTTTTCAAAACCTTGTTTTACGGTATGGTAAAAGTGTGGTTAAGAGTTCTTTTAAATGTCATAAACTTCAACTGTCAAAACTTTCTTAACTGGCCTCTTATATAATACCACAAATGTTTGAAAAATTCTTCTTTTTTTATATTTAAAAAAAAGTTAACCTCAATTAATTTTAACTTTTAACTGTTTTAATAATTTTCTGTTTCTATTTTAATTTAACATGTAATTTTCGTTATTGTTATGAAATATAATTTATTCTAAATGCTTATAGCAGTGTCTAAAAGTTGTGTCTCCTCTTTTAAAACTTACTTGTATAAATGTTTTAGTACAAGCCCAAAAAAACCTACCCCAATTATGAAATACCTAAACGTCGCCGAAAAAAACGATGCTGCGAAGAATATAGCACAAATATTATCAAGGGGATCATCTGATAGAGTTAGTATCCTTTTAATTAGTAATAAAATAACTAATCCTTCATTGACTTTCCATTTTAGAGGGAAGGTTTGTCCCCGTACAATAAAATATACGAATTCAACGCTAATGTATTAAATGAGGATGTTAGAATGGTAATGACTTCAGTATCTGGGCACCTTCTTAATTATGAATTCAGAGGTAACTACAAATCCTGGCAATCTTGCAATCCCTTATCTCTGTTCGATGCTCCAATAGACAAACATTGTCCAGAAAATTACGTGAAAGTAAAAGTAGGTAACTCTTACTGTCTTTAAATCGATCTAATTTATTTTTTGTTACCACAAGAAAACCCTCGAAAGAGAAATACGATCGTGCGAAGGTCTCATAATATGGACAGATTGCGATAGAGAAGGCGAAAATATAGGGTTCGAAATTATCAAAGTTTGCACGGACATTAAACCGAATCTCAGGATTTACCGGGCTAAATTTTCCGAAATAACCGGGGCTTCGATATTCAGGGCTTTGAGGACTTTAGGACAGCCTAACAGGAATGTAAGCGATGCTGTAGACGTGAGGCAGGAGTTGGATTTACGAACCGGTACATTATCCTGAAATATTAAACTAAAAAGCATTAAATTCGATAACTATTTGCAGGTGCTGCTTTCACAAGACTCCAAACATTGAGACTGCAGAAGGTTTTCCCTCAAAAACTGGCCGATAAATTAATCAGTTACGGCTCCTGTCAGTTTCCAACGCTGGGTTTTGTCGTGGAGAGATATAAAGCGATTGAAAATTTTATCGCCGAACCATTTTGGAAAATTAAAAGTATAAATTTAGTAATACTTTTGATGAGATTTTACATGCTTTACTTTCAGTGTCACATACAGTAGAAGATATTAATACAGAGTTCCTCTGGAGGAGGGAAAGATTGTTTAATAAAGCAGCTGTTGAGGCTATATTAGATCATTGTAAGGAAAATCCCTTAGCTAGAGTTGAGAGTGTTGAAAATAAGGAAAAGAGCAAATGGAGGCCTGTCCCTCTGGATACAGTCGTAAGTTAACATACGCTGTATTGTTTTTCGATTATTTCAAAATTCCAATTGCAGGAAATGGAGAAGAACGCCTCGAGGAAGCTGAGAATCAACGCAAAAGATGCGATGCAGATCGCAGAAAGGCTCTACACCCAGGGTTACATAAGCTATCCCCGTACCGAAACGAATATATTCCCTAAAGAACTGAATCTAACGAATTTAGTCCAGCAACACGTAAACGATGCCGATTGGGGTACATTCGCACAAAGGATTCTAAACGAAGGTGGCCCGACCCCGAGACAAGGAAAAAAATCCGATCAAGTTAGATCGAGCCTTTCACTCGGTTTGTATTAAGTCACTTAATTTGTTCGTTTTAGGCCCATCCTCCGATTCATCCCACCAAATACGCCGATAACTTAGGCGGCAACGATAAGAAATTGTACGAATTCATCGTCAGGCATTTCCTGGCTTGCCTGCATAAGGACGCCAAAGGCTTCGAAACCACCGTAAAAGTCGACATTGCGGACGAAAAGTTTCAAGCGAAAGGTCTACTGATTCTGGAGAAAAATTATCTGGACGTTTATGTATACGAGAAATGGAACGCTAAGGAAATTAGCAATTACACAGCCGATAGCACATTCACCCCGACTGTTCTAGAGATGGTAAAGCGTTCGATTATCGCGAAATGTATCTCTACAACTCGTATTTAATAGGTGGAAAGTTCAACTGCTCCCCCGAAACTGCTGACAGAGGCCGAATTGATAACTCTAATGGAAAAGCACGGCATCGGAACGGACGCGACGCACGCCGAGCACATCGATAAAATCAAATCGAGAGAATACGTGGGATTACACGATAATATCTACTTCGTACCGGGAACGCTCGGAATGGGATTAGTCGAAGGGTACATTTGAAATCCACAAACGCTACGTTACTACAAATTTATTCCATTTCAGATATAACAACGTAGGTTTGGAGGTGTCCCTAGCGAAGCCCAATCTTCGGGCCGAATTCGAGAACGATTTGAAATTAATCTGCGACGGATTAAAAGATCCCGACGTAGTTCGAAGGGAGCAAATCGGTAAATACAAGGCCGTGTTCCAGACGGTTATGCAGAAGATGAGATTAATCGACGAGAGCCTGGGTAACAGATTAGACGATGCTCCTGTAGCTGTTCCCGATGCCGAAATAACCGCGCATCCCGACGAAAATAAACCTGCAATGAAGTGCCCGAAATGCGGAAGGGATATGTTTATTAGGTAGAGATTAATGCGATTCTCGAGTTGTAGGATAAATCGAGTTGTGTTGCAGACGTAGAAAAAACGGAACGGGAATGTTTCTATCGTGCTCCGGATACCCCGATTGCAGGCATTCGATTTGGTTTCCTACTTCGATACAAACTATTGAAGTGCAAGATAATCATTGCAATAAAGTGAGATTTGTATGTAGGTTTTATACGGAATGTATTAGTAGATTTATTTTAGTGTGGACCGAATTACAAGCTGTTGAAATTCAAATTCTCGGTGAATTACTTTCCTGGAGAACCGAATCCCAATGTTCTATGCATAGGAGGTTGCGATATGAATGTTTTAGAAACGCTCGATATTAATTTATCATCGGTTCGAAATCAAGGTGCGTATATTTTGCATAAATCGATGCAATAAGTATTTTATTTCAATTGTAGGTTCGATAAATAATTTAAATATTACGGAAACAGATTCTTCGAACGCCAGGAGGAATTCTGATAGTGGATTTTCTACTGCTTCTTCCAGGAATAATGCGAGTTTTAACCATCAAAATACCGATTTTAATAGAACTAATACCGTTGCGAATAGAACTGCGGCTAGTTTGCCTGGACCATCCAGAAATAATAGTTTTACTAATCAAAATAACGATTTTAACAGAACTAATAATAGTACAAATGGATCATTGAGCCTTTTGCCAGGACCATCTAGGAGTAGTTCTGGCAACAGGTCGAATAACGCCGAAGAAGTAGTATGTTCGTGTCATCAAAACGCCATTTTACTTACAGTAAGAAAAGAAGGGCCAAACCAAGGTTGTTATAGTTCTCTAAATTTACCACCATTACTAAATTTACATTATCGTAGGACGACAATTCTACAAATGCCCCAATGGCACGTGTAATTTCTTCTTGTGGGCCCCGGATTCGGCCGGAAATTCGAATACTTCTATGAACGGTAATCAACAGTATCAAAACCGAAACCAAACCAACGACACGGACGTAAATTGTGAATGCGGAACCGCTGCCGTGCTCAAAACTGTTACGAAAACTGGACCGAACACCGGAAAGCAATTTTATTCCTGTCCTAAGCCGTTTGGACAGGGATGTAATTTTTTTAAATGGTCTAATCAGGTGAAGATGCTTAGATGGTTACGTAGTCTTGGGAGATATTTAATGTTGTGTTGTTTAGGATAATAACGAAGGGGGCGGTGGTGATTTTGGAGGGCAACCGAAACAGAAATTCCCAAAATCGAATAAAAAACGTCCCGCGCCTAGTAGTTCAAATCAACCCAGAGCAAAACGAAAATGCGGAATATGTGGAGTTGAAGGTAGAGTTAATTTTAAACATGTACTTAAATTCCTCGAACTCTTAATCGTTTTCGTTTCAGGGCATACGAAAACTACATGTCCAAATAAATGATTTTTAATATTAAGTAAGTGAATAAAATTAGTCCGATATCCCATTATTTCTTCTTCTTGGTTTTTGTTATATCTAATTGGTTTAAATCGCCTTTAGCAGCTGCTTGAGTGATCTAAAACCGCAAATATTTCATACTCAACAATACATCACACTGTAAAACTTACCATATTCAACATCATTTCATATTTCAACTTTAACAAATTATTTTCTTCTTCTAGGTCTTGCAGTTTTTTCTTCATTTTCTGTTTGGATTTGTTCATGCCATGTTGTTCGTTTTCTAAAATACACAATACCAGTAAACGTTGTACAATAAATATTCTGCGCTGGAAGTGGAAGTACCGGCTATCCAATCTCCGCTATCGAACAAATACTGTTCGTCTCCCAAACTCAATTTGACTGTTCTTTCTTCGGATACTAACTGCGTCAAAGCGTGCCTTGGAGAATCCGCCGCGGATTTCCTTTGGGGTGCTTTTTTCGGCGAAAACTTGTTACCGAAAAGGGGCATTCTCTAGCTTTTTTTTGACTTGTTTGTGACGAACGGGTAGTCATGGTAACGAGTAATAGAGGCTTGTGATTGGAGGAGTTAATGTGTCACTTTTTCTGTCACCTGTCATTTTTTTATTTTAATAATTTAAAATGTAATAATATGAGGAATTAACAAATTTAAATTCATGGAAACACCAGGATTCGCTTAATTTCTTTCTAATTATTATTAACAAAAATATTTACAACTACTTACATTCAAGTACTTATTTACAATAAGTATTTAGTAACTTTTAAAATAATCGTATATTTGTGTACACGAGTCATGTGGTCTTTTTCTTCATATTGGCGATTCTTTTGCTCCTCATCGGCTTGGACGGTTTGTAGTGTGATTTTTTTATGTGCATTCTTAACGTGCCTTTCTTTCCGAAGGTCTTATTGCAGGTGTGGCATTCGAAGGACGGTTCCTCCGTGTGCGATCGTAAGTGTTCCCGTAGCCTACGAGCACCCTTCTGGTTCTCGTGGCAAATGTGGCATTCGAATTCGCTCCTGCGCTTCTTCGAGGACTTGTAGTTGTGCATAAGGTTGTGCCTGTGGTACATGTCTTTGGACGTTATGCATTTCCCGCATATGGGGCACAGCACGGAGCCTCTTTGATCGAAGTGTATTTCGATGTGTTTCTTTTTGAGTTGCTGCGTGGTGAAGTCTGTAAACAGAAAGATTTAGCGAGACTTTCGCGCTGTGAAATTCGTTACCTTTTCCGCAGAGTTCGCATACATTTTTGGAAAATTCGCCGTCTTTGCTGTTGCCAGATTCGGAATTTTCTTGAAAATGGGAGACTAAATGTAGTTGAAAAGATCCTACGTTGGGGAATATGTCTTGGCACTGCACGCATCTGTAGAGCTTCTTAGTTCTGCAGTTGTAGCTGTCTTGCATGTGCTGGACGAGCTCCTGCCTGCATCTGAAAACGTCCTCGCACACTTTGCAAGCGTGAACTGAGTTACTTTTAGTTAGACGTTCTTCGGTTGCATCGAAGTCTTCCGTTACGAAACTGTTGGTGAGCATTAAATCTAGATCTTCGGAATCCTCTTGTTCGATTATGGTCATCGATTCGCCGTCGGTGTCCATTCTTTTTAACGCAAATTCGAAAATTCGGAATCGAAATTTTACTTTTTTCGGTAAAATTGCAAATATGTCGGAAACTTGACATCAATGCTCAATTATTGTTTTTGTGGATTGGAAGAGCTCCTGTCATTTAATATTTTGGTTGCGTCAGTGTTGCCAATATCGAATTTAATAACCACAAATTAATTTCTACGATAATTAATTTAAATGAAATATATTTTGTATTGTTTTTTCTTAATATCGTCATTACAACTCAAATTTTTGATAATTAAAGGAGAATTTGATTAGTAAATTTCCGTAATTATTGGAAAAGTTGGTGAAATAAAATCGTAAATGTTGGCTACACTGTCGTTACCAAAGAATCGAAATTCTTTCCCCTTCCGCCAATTACGAGTGCTGTCACTGTTTAATGAAACATTAATTTAAATAACCCGATGGTAATGTAGATAAAATTACATTTCGAATTGAAACAATACAAATTAAATGGAATTGAACTAAAATTCGATCGTAAATAATTTAGTATTTTGAATTGGGCGCGTTTCGGTTTGGTTGACACGGGACGAAAAGGAAACGGGAAACGTCAATTTCGCCAGTGCTGTCGACTGAGTTGGCTTGGGTTTTGTCTAAAATATAATGAAGTGATTTACAAAGTGAATCTTTCGTTATTGCCTTTACCGAAATGGAAACGGAAAACGTGAATCTGAATTTGATTTGCAGGACGTGCAAATGCGTCGGCCCTCAAATGCGATCGTTGTTCGAGGGTTTCGAAAATCCCCATCAAAGTCCCCGTATTGACGAGATGCTAATGGCCTGTGCTTCAGTTCAGGTAAACCACAATAACGCCTACAATGAAAATATTTACAAATTCTAATATCGCACGTATTTTCCCGATAGGTAATGTGCGGAGACGGTTTGCCGACGTTGATTTGTCAAATATGCGTGGAACAATTAAAGAACGCCTTCGTGTTCAAAAGGCAAGTGGAAAAAGTGGATATGGGATTAAGGGAGTACGCAAAAAATCTCAAAGTTAACGAAATCAAACAGGAGTTACAAAATTCTGAATTTATGGGTAAGGTTTTTATTTTTTGTTTTCAAATTATCTCGCTCATTTAAATGTAGCAATTAGCGCTCTTTTTTTATTTATTTATTTTAAACAAAAAGATTATTTTATTTTTTTAATACAAAACAATTTTAGGCGAAATTTATTATTTTTTATTCAAATTATTAATTTTGCATGTGTACTTGTTCGATACTTATTTTTTTTATTTTTGGTTCAAATTTCTACCTATTCGAAAAAAATAATTACACAATGAGTCTATTGTATTTAAGGTTATATACCGGTGGTTTTGGAAAGTACGCCGATGATTTACTAGATTAATTCAATGCAACACAATGAGTAAAATTTCAATATCGATTACATTCTAAGCGATGAATTTTCCCATCCTTAAATTTAGACAAATAGAAGCATTCAATTAGTAATGCATTAAAAATACTAGCCTTTATTTTGTACAAGTTCTTTACGATTTTAACCAATTCTTAACTCTTACTCTACATCCAACTCATATTATTCATATTTATTTTAAGTGGACGTTTCAGAATCGCTAAACACATTGGACAGCATCCTCAGCGAACAACAAGAAACCACAAAGAGCATACCTAGTAACGGAGAGTTGCTTCCATCGGGACAACCGAAATTCGAGACCGACTACATCCAATTCATGGACAACAATCAGATGCTACTGACCTGCCGCGAATGCGCCAAAATGTTTACCACCCTAGAGGTAACTATTATCATTACACACGAAACATTCATTACGATCTACGATGTCTTGTGCAGGGCCTACGTTGTCATAAACGCGTCCACTCGGGCGGCATGTACAAGTGCAAGCAATGCGACAAGGAATACACGAGACTCAACCACCTGCAGCGGCACGAGCAATCGCACAACAGACGGAAAGTGCACGTTTGCAGGATTTGCAGCAAAACGTTGACGAGAATGGAGCACCTGAAGCGCCACCTGGTGACCCACCTCAGAGAGAAACCGTTTGCTTGCAAGACCTGCAACAGAGGCTTCAATAGGATCGAGCATTTGCACAATCACGCCCCTCGATGCAAAGGTAACACTAAACGATACTTATGAATGATGATTTGAAGGGGGGAATGTTTTGTAGGTGATACCGTGTATCCGTGCGACATTTGCAATAAGGCTTTCAATCGAGAGGACAGCCTGGAAGTTCACAAGAAAATGCACGATAATCAAGCGCCCAAATTGCCTACTATCGAGAATCTGGACAATATCGAAGATCATTACTACCAAATCGATCAGGACAATTCCACCGTCGATTTCTCGGATCATTCCGACGTCGACGATTGCTTCGAACCCCACGTCGAAGTCACCGAAACCGAAGACGACAAAATGAAGGTATATCGCAAGAATAACTAAAGAACGTATAACATTACGATATATATTTACGTAGGTGGCCGCCGAGATATCGAACCAAGTGCACGATCTGGAGGACAAGAGCATCCACAGCGACGGTGACAACGACGACGCCATGTCGCTGGGAGGCGGCGACGACAGCGAGGCGGACGAAGCGGATAAAGACATCGACGACAACGAGCCGGAGGACAGCTCGGAGGAGCGCGAACACAGCCAAATGCCCCTCGGCCACGAGATACCCGACGAGGACAAATCGGAGGACGTGAAAATCGATCCGGGCAAGTTGCAGGACAACGACGACGAGTTCATCAAGGACGTGCTGGCCGACGTAGACGGCGACGGTAGGTGTTGATATCCTCTCTCTCCCTCTCCGAGTGATTTGTTTCGGTTTTAAAGAATCGTTTGCAGACGACGACGATTCGGATAAGGACAGCGCCGATTCGGATTACACGCCGAAGAAGCCGGTGGTGAAGGTGAAACGGGGCAGAGGCAGGCCTCGCAAAAATCCCGACGAGCCTCCCAAGCCGAAGAAGATGAAGATGGGCAAGACGCCGGGCAAGAGGGGCCGCAAGCCGGGCTCGAAGAATAAAGTGAAAGAGCCCGGCGAGATTTCGCTGAAGTGCGAGAAGGACGAGGAGTACGGAGAGTTTCCCTGTCCGATATGTAACGAGATGTTCCACAGTATTCTTAAGTTAGATAAACACGCGAGGTTTAAGCACGAGGGAGAAAAGGTGAATATTACGAAATTCGTTCACTGTGTTTTTGATGAGATGGTTGGTTTTGATTTTGACATTTTTTGTAGCAATTTACTATTTGCAAAACCAACAAGCTTGTCAAAAAAAGTGATTGATTTGTTTTTTTTTTCTAGTTTACTTTTGTTTTTCATTTTATTAGATTGCTATCAAATTAGTATTAAAATGCTTAACAGTGTTCAATAAATTAAAATGCTTTGAGGGCGATTTTTTTTAATTTTTCTACTCGATGTTAGATATATTATATGTTTAGCTCATCTAGTTTCTCTAGCTCTATTCTTTTTGTTTTACTTTTGTTTATTTAAAAGTTTCTTTGAAGTAGATGCGAAAATTCTAGAAATTCCTAGCGAATTTATAGAATTGCACAATTAATTCAAAGTCAATTATTGTTAAGCATTGTATTTGAAAACCGGCTGCAGTAAGAGAAACAAAAAAAAGGTGTATTTTGTTTTCTTTACATTTTTGGTTTGTTGAATTTTTTTAACCAAGTTGGTAGGTGGGTTTGTCCAAAACGAACACAATTTAATTCATTATGAACCTCTTTATATTTTTACGTATATACTTACTGAATTCGCTCATTCGTGCCTGAAGATGTCTATTTTTATAGTCGAATTGACTACAACAAAAATCCGTGCCCCTTCCAGCAAATCAAAAATCGCTCTCACATCATTTTAATGCAAACAACGACAAGTAATCCTCTCGATCTAAAAGGGATGTTATTTTATTTTTAGATTCACAAATGCAATGTGTGCAATAAAGAATTTGCCCGTATTAATCATCTGAAAAGGCATGTAACGTCACATTCGACTATCAAACCCTTCCGTTGTACAGTATGTACAAAGAGCTTTAATAGACGTGATCACCTCAACCAACATCAAAAATTGCACGATCGGCAAAACGATCACGAATGCGACATATGTCAAAAACCGTTTTCCAGGGCCGATCACCTGGCCAAGCACAAAGCCTCCAAGCATGGTATCGGAGAGCGAATTTCAGTAAGTGACGATATTCCTTATAGTAACCCGTTCTCGCGACAATCGCTCCTTCGAAACTTGACCGTTCTCTCTATAATCGATCGAACGAGTGAAACGATTCGCTTCGTTTTCAGATCGGCGAAAAGAAATACGAATGCCCGTTGTGCCACAAGTTCTTCACCACGGAAAAGTACCGGGACGTCCACGTGGCCGGCCACAACGGCAAAATGGAGTACTCGTGCAAGGTGTGCGAGAAGACGTTCCTCTCCAAGTCGCACCTCACCGAGCACATGAAATTCCACAACGAGCATTCCAAGAAGTTCCTGTGCTCCGAATGCGGACAGAGGTTCATCAGAAACGACTATTTGGTCATACACATGCGAAGGCACAGGGGCGAGAAGCCGTTCAAATGCAAATACTGCGGAAAAGGTAAATTTTAAATACGCCATTATTGATGTATTTAATTTGTATTCGTTTCCAGGTTTTCCACGAACAACTGACCTTACCGTACACGAGAGATACCACACCGGAGAGAAGACTCACTTGTGTACTATCTGTGGAAGAGGATTTGGAAGGTGGAACTTTTATCATATTTACTCATTTATTATTACTATTGTTATCGAATCTTTTAGGGCTTACAATTTGACGGTACATATGAGAACCCACACAGGGGAAAAACCATATCAATGCACATATTGCGACGCAGCTTTCGCTCAAGGTAACGACTTAAAAGCGCACATTCGAAGGCATACTGGAGAACGGTTTCAATGCGACTTATGCAGCGAAAGCTTCCTCATGGGTTATTTATTGACGCAGCACAAACGAACAGTACACGGTAACTTTCTTACACTCCATTGTGCGCGTTGATATTATCGAGTTTTTACATCGTAGGTTTAAACGTCGTGAGCAATATTAGAAGGTTGCAGCCGATCCACAAGCAAGAGAACCCCGAGGAACCGCCGCCGATAACGATACCGCTTCCGAAGCCCGTCATTCCCGACAACGTGATGTTCAATGCTTTGCACGCCAATGCTCTACACGCTAATGCTCTACACGCGAACGCTCTCCACGCTAATGCTCTGCACGCGCAGTTGGCGGCCGCGCAACTGCACTTAGCTCGGGAATAAATAGATGTATCGTGTAATTTAGAGTGAGTATCAATCTAAAAATTCGATTAGGGAGTTTTCCGAGACTCGGAACATGTTGCTTACAATCAAATATGAGAGGATAAGAAGTAGATTTTTAGCACTATTGTTAACGAATAGATTTTTAAAATGTGCGATTTATTTCAGATACACTTGCCTTTGTATATACCATATGGTCACTTGGTATAGTTCAATAGAACAGTAAGGATTATATTAATAATCTCGAATACAAATTAAATATGTATATTTGTAGACGTTGATAGGTACTAATCACATAGGTCGGTATGTGTTTATTTTATTATATTAATAATATGATACGATAAATAATCAGAGAAGTACTATTGCTCTTGGAAATCTCACTTTGTCTTTCACCTGTTTATAATTTCCTTCCTTAGCTCATAGTAATTTATGAAAGATATTAAGTTCGCGTATTCGGTATAGAAATATTTTTACAGACTTGAGATTATTGATTGAAATGTAACAGGCGTACTTTAGTTCTTCCCATTTACATAAACATACATCGAAAATGATGAATATTAATAATTCATTAATCATTTTTGATGTGCGATTGTGCCAGTGGACACTCTTCAGCGCATATTATGAGAGTTTTTGTTACGTTAAAACGAGCATAAATGGATAACTAGTCACCATTTATGCGCCTATTCCACCCTTTATTATTTCATAACGTTCTAAATAATTTCCAGCTAGACATGCCTTTACAGTTAACTATCGTTTTGTTATTATAAACAACTAGTTAGGGATATTTTAAAAACATGTGGTATGATGTGTTACAATTTTTTGGTGGGTTGTTTACTTTTTTTGATGAGTGATTTATAAATTGGAATTATTAAGCTTTACTTAGTTTTATTGCAGATTGTAATTATCGGTCAATTATCTTGTAGTATCTTTTTTTTTTTTTTATTAGAATTCACACATCGATCGATCAACCACCGGTTAGATATTGATATTAATGTAAATATTAACTAGTTTGTTATAATAGTACTAGATCTACTGGAAATAATTAGTTTTCAGTTTACGGCATGCTTTTTATTGTAAGGTTTCTATGTATATAATTTATTTTATTAGATTATTGTAATCAATAAATTAATCATTTTTTTATTTATGAAGTGATTTGTGAATAAAGCGCCTTTGTTATTGATTTTCTCCTCTTCCTGGTCGATGTCGTCGATTGAAAGAATGAAACTATTTTATGCGCATTTATATTTATTTAGATAGATATGTTTTTAGGATTTCACAAAATTCCTTTTCGAAGTGATAACTTCTTAGGGAACGTGTACAAAAACAAAGTTGACAATGTCAACTAAACACTTGTCAATTTGCTTGTTCTATTTAAATATTCGAGGCGAAGTCATCACTTCTGCGGGCACAGTTTTTTTAAATTTTATTTGAACTAGCATTACAATTTTATTTGTAAATCTTAAGAATAGTCGAAAGCTTACGTAAAAACGATAAAAGAAACACATTAATATTTTTTTATATCAAGAGTCCGCGAATGCGAGCAAACTGCAAAGAAATGCATTTCTTTCGCGGACACTTTGTATTCTTAATTATAAAGCAGTTAATATTTTGCTAAATAGAATATTGCAACGTTTTATGTATACTTGAAAAACGAATAAAACTTAGTACAAAATTATATGTTCAGAGTTCTAATACTGTTTTGAGCAAGTCATTATAACAACGAATACTTTTGTAGAAATTTCAATAACGCCGAAGTATTTTATCAGTGATTGTTTAAAAATATGTATCGATTTGAAATCTAAACGATTCATTGACATCAAAATTTTTTACGAACATGACGTTTGAAAAAACGATTTTATTTCTACGTTAAACTTATTACGCTCAATTTATCTATCGAAATCTAAAGGAAAAATGTGCGCCTCAACGTTTTACTTAAAAATATGTTAAATCTGATTAACAGTTTAATTTATACACTTAAGACACGTCATCTTATTTTGATTTACACTTCAAATCTACCAAACTCAAAGTACGTTAGGAACGCTTAATACAAAATATACAAATTTATTCTACCAAAGACAATATGACTAGAAAATCGCTCACTCGTTTTGAAGATAACCGAGAATATAAAAAGACTCAATGGTAGGCACTTAAGCAACAGAGGCAACATAGTTAATATAGTATTTTCCTGAAAGTTTGAACGCTAATTACAATTTGATTAGGCATTAAAAATGATTTCTAATGCAGATTGAAATTTGATTAAATCGATCCAAAATGAAAACCTACGATTTGCTTGGTCCTCCTTCGCATATATTTAGAAATGCCCAACAAATACAACTGATTAGCAATCGGCAACACGCTTATCCTAGTCGTATTGAAGTACTTATCAATATCAATAAAACTTTTAATTAGTTAAGAAGCAATTAATTTTATAATTGCAGTGTGTACGTAAAGTTTATTGTACTTAAACGAAGGAACAAGTAACTTCGCAAACGAGCCGTCAACCAATAAGAAGCGATGAGTACGGAATGCATAAATACAGGGTGAATATTTCGTAATTGTTACAAAACATTCGCCTCGTTTAGTCGATGATATTCAGTAGAAAAAGATCCAAACCGGATGCTTTAAGTACACGCTACGCAAACTCTTCCGCTAAATTCATTATTACTTCTTTAAAAATAGACTTATAGAGACTAAATTTACCTTATTTTTGTTTAAACGGGCGTCCCGAAATCGGGATCTCCCACACCGTCGGCGCTCGACGAGTTCGTATTGTACACGTACCTAGCCAGCAACTTCTCCTTCCTCAAATCGACGTCGTCGTCGGCGAGCAGATCCTCGTTGGGACACAATCGCAGCGCCTTCCCCACCCGCAAATTCTGCCCGTGCAGCGAGAAGTACTTCTTCGGGCCGGCGGCGTTGGGATTGGCGCAGCCCTTGCTCGACCCGTTGCCCGGCTGCTCCAACGGGAACCGCTTCACGAATATGTCCGACAGCAAATTGTGGATGTTCTCCTCGAATTGCGGACTCGTCACGTCGGCGAGCTGCAGCGCCGCCGCTTGCCCGACGGCCTGCTCCTCGCCCAGCTCCGACGCCGTCGTCGACACGTCCGAGTACCCGTCGCGCTTGTTGAAGATGCTCTGCAGCGTCTTGACGCCGAAGTACCGCTTCTTGTGCTTCTTCTGCTTCTTGTAGTCCCTGCCCGGCTGGCGGACGGGCGAGCTGCCGCTGCTGTCGCTGTTCAACAGGCTCTGGTCGCTCTTGGACAGGTCGCTCTTCGCCGACACCGCCGAACAGCTCTCCTCGTAGTCGAACTTCCCGCTCTGCGGGTTCTTCGGCGAGCGCGAATCGTTCGAGGCGATCTCCGAGTCCACGTACACGTCCGTGCTGGTCTGCATCGGCGACGACAGGTTGTCGGAGTTGAGCGAATTGGTCGACGTGTTGTAGTTGTCGTCGATCGTCGACAGCACGTCGACCATCTTGAAGTTCTCGAGCTTGATGATGTTGTTGGTGGCGTTGTCGACGAGCACCAGGTCGTTGGTGTCGACGTAGCCGTCGGTGGGCGCGTCCTGCGGGCGGTTGTTGTTCGATTTGTTGTCGGCGATGATGGTGTTGCGGATGTTGCGCATTGTCTGCATGTCGCGCGTTTCGGGATCGCCTCGATCGGGGCTGATTAGGATAGTTTTTCGCGGAGACCTAAAATTGTCGCGAGCGACGTTTTATCGTTGGAAATAACTAATCGGTGCAACGCATGCGATCGTGCTAAAAGAAAATAAAATCGAAGGAAAAGAAATAATAAAATTTATTGTCGCATCGACACGATTATACACAGTAGGGTTTTGGACTAACAAAATAATTTCTAATAAAATATATCGGTATTAAAATAAAACAAGAAAAAGCTCATATAAAAAAAAATTAACAAAAACGTTTCGACTTACTTCTAAAAAATAAAATAGATATTTCTAATAATTTCATGCGAACGCTTGAATGTGAATGTTTGTACGACTCACCTACTGCTGACGCTAGATTCTGGAGTTCTAGGCGCCGTAGGGGTATTAGCTACATCTTCAGTCGATTTACAGTTATTTGCATTGCTGCTATCACAAACGTTTTCATCGAAGAATCTAAACAACAAAAAACAACAACTCCACAAATTCAGAAGGACGCAGTATCTTCATACATACCTAAAATTAAAACCGTCCTCCTCGAGGGAATTATCACTGTCGTCGGCGGCGATGTATTGAACTTGCAACGTACAATCTCCCTGCTGCTTTTGAAGAATATCCACCGCCTCCCTGTGGCACACGTTCCTGAGATCAATATCATTGACGGACAGTATCGCATCGCCGATATACAATTGCTCGGATAACGCCGCCGGTCCGTTGGGTTCCAATTCCGATATCAAAATGGGAACTCCGTGTTCTCTACCGCCCTAAAAAAATAAATCCCATCAAACACCACCTCTAACAACCCTCCCATCGCTAGCCAAACTCACGGTTATGCTGATGCCCAAGCCTTGATCGGGCTTCCTCTTCACCAGCACGCTTCGAATGTCCCCGAAATGCTCCTCGTTGGTCTGCGTCGTCGGCTTCGAGCAATCGTTCGTCCCGTTCAACGCGCGATTCCTCCTGCAGGCCTTCACCACCGTTTTGTGGCGTTGCAGGAGTATCTCGGATTCCAGCTGCCTCCATAGCTTGTCGCGCACGTCCCCACGCATTTCCCTACCTGAATTCACACGGATATTTCACATACAAGTACGTTCTGCGAGATAATCCGTACCTAGTAGCTGCAGTTGTTGTATCCTTCCGGCGAGCTCTTTGTCCAAGTACTTGGCGGCCAGTTTGGCGCCGTAAACCTCGCCGGTGAGAGCGAGCAATTCGTTCCGAAGGGCGGCGTTTTCCGCTTGCAATTGCGTTATGTTCGCCTTGTATTGCGCCGGCTCCAACAGCGACGGGCTGAATTTCAACTCGTCCGCGTCCTTCAAAACTAACAAAACCGATCCCGTTACTCTCTAAACTACCCGCCGGCTATCTCCGGTTACCTCCTCGAAGGGGGCTCTGCCTGATCTCGGCCTCGAGCTTCTGCTTGATGGCGCTGACGTCCGGCTTGATGTACTGGTCCTGGCGCTTGTTGCCCAGGCTGTCGGGCAGCCGGGACAGCTGCGACGAGTGCAGCTGCAGCAGCAGATGGTGCAGCTCGTTCTCCAGCACCTCTCGCTTCGACTTGGACTCGGTGAGTTCGGCCCGCATGTGGACCAGTTCGGCCTGAATGGGAGAATCGCGCTGTATAAGTTCTCTATAATCGATCGATCAAGGAAGAAACAGCGCGGTTCAGGACCGGAGATAAGTTATTTAAGTGGTTTTTTTTATATCGATCTATCTGTTCAACGTCATGTTGTATTGAACGGCCGCGGGTTTTTTTAAGTGCAAATTTCAAAAGTACCGCTTTGTGAGAACTCTCCTTGTTCCGAGTCGCATAAATCTCGAGACGGTCAAGCGCGTTTCATAAAGGTTATGGCGCTCTTTTACATACGAATGCATTGCATTCGACAATAAAAGGTAAAGGCGACTTTACGACAAAAGAGGACGCGTTATTGGAAAATACGCCGAAAATAACGGGGACTATTTTCGACGTGGATATGGAAATGCACTTAAACGTCCCGAAGAGACGAGCGTAAATCATTCGACGAACTCGCTTTTTAGTTTTTACGTCCCAAAAAGTTTGTTTGTAATAATGAGCTACCAAACCGCAATATGTATTTTATAATAGGAAGTCGTTAAAGTCGACAAAAATAGTTTAGAGCGAAAATCTTGCTATATACAGGACGTTCAACAATGCCAAATACAATTCACCAGACCACCGTGTACGCTATTATTTCCGTGCAGAAATCGCGGCGAGCAATTCCATATGTTAGATTTAAAAATATTTAACCTTTATAAAAAAAATAATCATGAAATTATGGAGTGAGGTTAATAATAAATAGGTCTAGGTAGAGATATACATAAAATCAGACGCGGTTTCCTCGTTTAAAATAAAAAAAAAGTTTAAACGACTGGACGTTCTTTTTCTTCTTTCTAAAAAATATATAGGGCGATCTATTAACACATTAAAACGTTGGGCTAATATAAACCTATATTTAGAGTAGCTACATCTTTAATGCAACCCTTTTAAACAACAATCTTCGATTACTGATTAACCATCGCGCCCTACCACCGAAAATTCGAACCGCCTTCGAGAGACCGTCTTGCGAACAAATCACCTTGTATCCCGTCCAACGACAGCAGAGCAAAGCCCAGATCTTTACCGACACCGACACTCAACGTCCAAAGCGACAGCCGCACGACCGACCGAAATTCAAATCGCCGTCTTCTCGCCGCCGGTGCGGACACGCGTCCTTCGTATTTCTTCGAAGTTTAAAATTGTTTCGGGCCCGCGATGACCGGAAGAAAATCCGCGCCGTTGGTGCTGGCGTGCCTCTATTGGACGATGGTGAACGAGTGCTTGTGCGACGTCGCGACGCTGGCGCAAAACGAAAATTCGGCCGTCTCCAAGTTCCGCGACGCCCTCCAGCAACAGGTATAACGAAGCGCCGCGGCGCTCGTTCGCTGAACCGCTTGAAACCGGGGTGAAAATGGTCCAGGCGTCAGTTGAGGATGATGTTTAGTGGTACTAGGTGCGTGCGGAAAGTAAGATCTGTTTGGTAATTACAAAAATCGTGTACCTAGAGATGTAGGAAAAATGCTGGAAACTAGAAGTTGGAATAGAAAACTGCAAGTTTACAATTCACGATCTGCTTGATATAGAAATTGTTATTGAAAAATTACGCTTCGAAAACTTGTGATATGCTATCAAAATACCCGCAAAATTTCTGGAATTCTGTAGAAATATATCTTACGAGTGGTAGATTGTTATGCAATAAATATTTTTCCTACATTTGTACAGGATTTTTTTAAAATTACAAACCTACTTTCGGGACACACCTAGTAGTTAGGGTTGTATTAAAAAATGAGCAAATTGACGCGTTATTTATTGGTTAAAATAAAATTCAGGCGCATTTTTGGTTAGGACAAATTGCTCGTAAAAAAACATAAGTGTGAAATTTTCGCTCATTTTTTTTAATTACCTCCAAGTAGCCTAAACATAAATTAACAATCTCGTGACCGATTTTTGGGCCTTCTAAACATCTTTCTCGGTGACTTATTTACTCAGTTGTATAAACAACAGTCGGACGGAACTGGAACATTTATTAACGTTGCTTCTCTTTATAATCCTAATACGTTATCTCGAAACCTTTGTGTATACCCTTCTCGTTGTTTCAAGACCTCTTCGTAACGGTTCCCGCTTTTTCGATAAGATCAGGTGTAATTTTAAAATACCTTCAACACGCCAACCCGACTTGAGGTCTTCACAAAACCCATTAAACTCGTACCTTTAACGATCCTAACTCGCCATTACATTTCATTTAATTTACACGCATAAAAACCTCGAATCGACTCAAAGATACCCTCGTTATAATCACACATATTTTCCAGAATACAATCACCATCCTAGCGTCCATAGAAGAGAGGCTGAGGAACCTGGATACGATGCACTCGTTGCAATTATCTCGCACGTTCGAGACGAAACTGGACCAGTACAACAGAAAACTGGAGAACCTGGACAGCAAGCTGATGCGCCTGGAGGCGCTGGTGATGATGAACTTGGGCAAGATATCGGAGAACATCAGCACGAAAAATTTCAAAGACGACATCGCCAAAACGGACACGTCCAGGAAGCTGGATTCCATTTACGAAAGCATCACCAACAGGTTGAACTACGTGGAGAGGAAACTGGACGTGGACAACGCGAAAATCCAAGTGAGTCGCACGCCGAAATCGCTATACGGTGAGTTACTATTTGAATTTATTCGCAGGAGAAATTCGAGAAAACCTTCCTCCATTTGGATCGAATCGAGAAAGGAACGTCGAAGAGAGACTCCGATTTGGAAACAGAGCTATCAACCGTTATAAAAACGCTGGAAAACTTGAAGAAAACCAACCGAATCACCGAAGAAAAATTCCTGAACGTATCCGCGGAGAACAAGAACGTAACGACTTTATTAGAATACATTTAGCCGGATTCTAAAATTGTCGATTTTCGTTTTCAAGGTATCGAAGCACACGCTGAGCCTGCTGGTGAAATACAACTCGGACGCCCGCAAATTCGCGAATAAATTACACGACAACATCGTAAATTCCCTGCAGTACATCGACAACAGAACCGCCAAGCACATGCAGATATCCGACGAGACCAACGTCGTTTTGAAGCAGATGAAAATCGACTTGAAGGATGATTTCAACAGCTACGCCAACAAGGTAATTTTTTTCGATAAAACCATCGACACGGGGGGTTATAAAAATACATTTTTACGAGGTGGCCGATATGAATTCGGACATGTGGAAGAACACCGATACGACCGAAGACGATCTGAAGAGCATCAGTTTCATGGTAAACAACACGCAAATCGAGCTACAAAACGGCGTCAGATCGTTGATGATACAAATCGGTAAAATATCGCAAAAAAGCGACGACGCAGAGGCCGGTAAGTAACTAACAAACCGATTAACAAACGTATTAATCATCGATGAAACATCCAGAAACGAACCACAAAGAGCTAGAGGACATAATGACGGCGAACTTCGACAAAGTACTGACCAATCAAGAGGTGTTCCTGGAGAGCTGCCATCGACTTCAAATGGACGAATCGCAAATCGAATCGGAAATCAGCGTCATGCTCAACAAGCTCATCGATATGCTGGAGAAAAAGTTAGTGAACGTAACGAATAAATCGAAACGAACTGATTCTTTGTTCTCCGTTAGATTGGCGAACGAAGTGAAAGACATCAAAAATTTCGAGAAAAACCTGAAGAACCACGACAATCGGATAAACAGGAATCTGTTCCAGGCCAATCAGAATATTATATCGCTGTCGGAGAAATCCACCATGATCACGCAAATGATCACGTCCGAAATTAGGAAAATAGGTACCGATTTGAACGCCCTGTTTTCATTTGTACAGAGCACTACTAACGAAGGATCTTCTGCGGTATCCTCTAAGGTAAATTGAATTAAATAAGTTTTTTTAAGCATGATTGAATGAATTCTGGGATGTCGAAATGTATGTACGTGTTATTCATAACACTTGCCAGATGCTGTAAATATTTAATTTTATATAATTTACACAAAAAACATCAAAATCTGGTAAAAATAATAAACCACTTAAAACGTGCGATAAAAACAATGTAATATTATGTCTGGGAGTTTGGTAAAAAATGCGTAAGTGTATTAGACAGGTTAAAAAATTTTCCCATGTTTGTTCAGTTGGTTCTGCTGTTTATTAAATCAAAAAAAAAGCTCCATTTAAAATCGGCAAACAGTAAAAAAATTCGTCCGATGAAACTGCGTTTCGATTATTAAATTAAAGATAAATACCAGAGACGATTATTGCAAAATACTTTTTTTTGACAATGAACCAAAAGGAGCTAATTATGGTTTATCAATGTCGGCTGGTTATTTCACAAATCCAGTTTTAAACACAAGGTGACATTTAAATCGTTTTTTAATATAATTTCATACCTCACATAAATCAGCAATAAATAATGAAAAAAATCGCTTAACCGGGAGTTTAACCACCACGCAAAAAGAGGAATATGTTCCATGGATTTTATGGATATTCTATGGAGTTCCATGGATAGATCAAGCCATAACTTGATATGTCGCATTTATTAAATTTTACAAGGAACTATTTTAAGTTTATATTACTGAAGTTGACCCAAATTTCCTCGGGAAGTCGTTGTTTAATTTCAATTTTGAACATTTCCTGTTATATTCTACCATCTTGTAGATCTCAAAGAGACGGACCTGGTGGTACTGATAACTCAATTGTGACAAAAAAATCGATATATCAAATTATAAGGCCTATCATCTTATACCAACTAAACAATTCATAATTATAGCATTATCTTCTCCAGGTGATTCTAGACAAACTAAACAACATAGACAAACACTCGAGGAATTTGGAAAAAGCGTTCCACAAACCGGACAACGTATCCAACCACCAGCTACACATAGAAATCCAAAAACTATCGAAATCCCTAACAACAATCCTAGACAGAATACAAAACTACACAAGAGACATAAACACCAATATACAACATCTACTCCTATTCGACAACACCACAACAACAACGGACACAAAACATCGACCCGAAATAAACGAAACCATACGGGAAGCCATCAACCAAGTGTTTTCTTCAAATTTTACCACCACAAAGAAAAAATGTCCGCCGAATTATCGGGGTCTCATCGACATCAGAGCGGACTTGCACGATTGCGAAGAGGCCACAGCCAAAAAACCAAAGCCTACTAGGAAGTCGCGCAGGAGGAAATTGAAGTATGACATTGACGTTAGGAGTGACATCAATTCTCGAATGGGAGGCGATGATGATGACGATACAACGACGACAACAGAAATGTATATTACAACAACGATGCCAAATGAGGAATTGAATAATATGGAAACAACAACAATGGAGGTTTCAAATTAAGTGATATGTTACTTAAGCGATAGTGGAGCATTAATAAGCAGTAACTATCGGTAGTGTTTGTATACTTACATAAGTTAGTACTTAAATTAGTTTTATAATTGTTACATATTGGTTTTGAAGCAATTTGAACAGAAATGCTCGATTTTTATATTCGAGCTTTTATTGTGTTATAATCGAGCATTCTGTTTTGTGAGATCTTCAAAAACTCCAGAAAATAGTATATTAACAAAGCTGTGACTGTAAATATTTACCTGTTCTACTAATACAATTTCATTAAACAGTATTACAACAACCGTTTATCACTAACCAGCTAATGAATTGGAATTAAAAACGAATCCAATCGTACAAACTACATCCGTTTAAATTGAACCTTTCCTCAATAATCACCGATGGAAACATTCTGAATTTTTCGTTCGTGACAATATTATGCGAAAATTTCAATATTTCGTGACTAATTCGTTACGAATTGGAAACGAATGTACTCGATTTTCTTACGGGAAAACAACCACTTACCTCTATTTTCGCACTGTTTTGAAAAATTGTCTGCGATTTGTGGGTTAGCTGTGCGAAACAGGAACTGAGCGTGCAGAGCTTCTGTCGCACGTTGAACACCAAACTCGGCTCTTCTGATTCCAATTCGCCTGAAACGAGACAATGTTTAATAAATTATTGTTTGAAAATACTCGATAAACACGTACACTTCGATGTTTTAAATTAAAAAGATACAAGGGGAAGGTTTCAACGTTAGTACTTACTTATATTTAAATCTAGGTCTACGAAGGCTTTGTCGAACTCTTTTTCTAATATGTCTAGCCACCTGAATCCGATACTAGCCATTTTTTGATATTTTGTTAGAAAAAAACTGCCACCATTTATAAATTTTGCCAAACGTCAAAATCGTGATAATTAAATCTTCTTTCCACTTTTTCACTAACTTGACAGCTAACTAAATGTATAACAAAGTAAAGGCCAAAAATCACCAAAAAGAGAAGAAAATAACCAAAAATTTTCTATAAACGTCATTTTTCTTATAAATATATTTATTTCAAACTTTGCATTTAAAAAATATGGCAACAATAATTAAGGATATAACATTACAAGAAAACATTCCCCAAAATATACTTTTCGAAAAACATATCGACTTCATAAAGGAATACGGCCAGAAGGAAAACAACTTTGAATATGCAATGACCGACTATTTGAGGATATCCGGCATGTATTGGGGCCTTACGGCCCTCGAATTGATGAACGCCTCGCCCCCGCACACGATAGAAGAGGTAAGACAGCTTCAAACGCCCCCGTTCACTCGTAAACTACAAAACAAGTACCTTAGATTTCAGATTACATTAAACATTGTCAAGACCCCGAAAGCGGTGGAATAAGCTCGTGCCTCAATCACGACCCTCACATACTGCACACACTGAGCGCCGTGCAGATACTCTGCATGTACGACAATTTAAAAGCCATCGATGTGGAGGGCGTCGTGAAGTACGTGAAAAACCTACAGTTACCCAACGGTAGCTTCACGGGGGACAAATGGGGCGAAGTGGACACGAGGTTCTCCTTCTGCGCCGTCGCCACGTTGTCTCTTTTAAACAGAATGGACGCTATTGACGTGAATAAAGCAGTCGACTTTGTAGCTTCGTGTAAAAACTTCGATGGCGGGTTCGGCTCGAGGCCTCTTTCCGAAAGCCACGCCGGTTTAATATACTGCTGCTTAGGATTTTTATCTGTTACCAATAGGTAATATTTTAGTTCGATAAAAGGAGTTTTGATTGAAATTTGGTTGTTTTTAGGTTGGATATAGTGGATCGAGACAAGCTCGCTTGGTGGCTGTGCGAACGACAACTACCTTCGGGGGGTTTGAACGGACGCCCGGAGAAGCTGCCCGACGTGTGCTACTCCTGGTGGGTGCTGTCCTCTTTAACGATACTAGGCAAGCTGCATTGCATCGATGCCAACGCTTTGAAGAAATTCATATTGGCCTGCCAGGACACGGAGAGCGGAGGCTTCGCTGATAGACCTGGGGACATTCCAGACCCTTTCCACACCGTATTCGGAATATCGGCGCTTTCCTTACTGGGAAACGACACGGTCCAGAAAGTTAATCCCACTTACTGCATGCCCCAGCATGTCATCGACAGGCTCCAATTGAAGCCTCAAATTTTAGATAATTAGTTTGCTCGTAGGTGTGAATGTATGTGTGATATTTAGGACCAATAATAAAATTTTATAAAGCTTGTTGGATGTTTTATTTTGTTCTTACTTGTCCTATTGTAAAAAAAATTAAAAATGATTTAAAGGACCTATTTTATCACCGCGTTAAAGGTGTAACGCATGACCTACAAGACGAGTTCGCGTGAAACTTTTTCGTTATCCGGCGATAAATAAATTCTCCGGGCGTTTCAGCCGGTGCACGGACCGAGCGGGGCCCCCACTATGAATTCCACGATGGCCGTCAACGTACAAAAGAGGCGCCGAGCGCCGGGTAGGGATTAGAAAGTGGCGAGCAAGTGGTACTAGCGGAACCGCCGGGGTTCCATATGGTCGCGTTTCCTCTTTGTATTATGTGAGGTGGATTGCCGCGCGTTCGGGAACAGGTACCCGAAGATGGGCTCCAAAATCGAGTACGTGGATTCTTCGCAAATATACGCCACCAGCTATGTGAGAAACTCCAAGGCCGTCGGGGTATTGTGGGCGATATTTACCATTTGCTACGCTATTATAGGGATCGTTGCGTTTATCAGTACCGAATGGATTGGTATGTATAACGAGCCACACGTGTGTGCATGTGCAATTTGCTTTATCAATTATACTAAAAATGCGTACTTAATGAAACCAGCAATTAGCGATTTTGTAGTAGTAATCTCTTGCCTATTAAAAATCCATAATTTCACAATCATTGTGTTCGCTTTTACCGATTTATTTATGAAATTTCATAAGTCTGAGAAAGTTCGCACGAAAGATTTCATCTCGGCAGTTTCTAATGCAATCTATTCGAATTTTTCTCTTATTTTAAAATTCCTTACGCCCGTCGAAACTTGCAGGCACAATCAGCGGGGACAATCCCGGGAAAATAGGCCTGTGGGGCGTTTGCTCGCTGGAGGAGAACGCGGAGCCGTGCAGGGAGAATTTCTGGGAGCACTTCCTGGACATCGCCAACGCCTTCCAGGCGGCGACGGCGTTCGTCGGCCTGGCGGCGGCGACGGCGGTTTTGACCGTCCTGGCCATGATGATGTTCTGCTTCTGCCACTCGACCACCGTCTACCACATTTCGGCTTGGCTCCAGCTAATCTCAGGTGAGCTGCCGCATAATTGGGAATTGCGAATTCACGTTTATTTTCGTTCGTGATCCCATTGTCGAGGTCCGGCTTTTGAGCTATGCATTTAATTCGTTCCGTTGCATGATTTATTCGCGATAATCGTCTCTTATCACATCGCGACCGGCGACGATGTCATTTAAATAACTGGGTAAAAGGTATTCGGAATGCTCGCACTGGTTTATACAGTACGCTGTTTTGTTATTATCGTTATTACTGTAATATCTAATTGTTGTGTCGTCCGTTTAATAACACCTGTTCTTTTGTACAATTTTAATGAAAAACTGTATACATTTTATATACTATTCTGTACAGTTACCTGCAACAAAGGTGTATGATTTTCGCGGTGAAATGGGCAATTAACAATAAGTAGCTGCATAAAACGAGGAACGCGGAAAACTACTCTGGAAGTTCACTTCGGCATAATCATGTTTTAATACCTGCCTTACTTAAAGTCATCCATTAGAAGTGGAGCAAACTCTACCGAGAAATTTTATTACCCGCAACATCCCCGTTATTTATCGATTCATCAATAATTATCCGCTTCATCGCTTCCCCGCTGGTGCAATCCGCGTATTGGTATTATTTATTTATTTTGCGCCGGCCGATAACAGGAATTATTGATTTATATAACCCACTTTGTAATACGTACTTTCGCATTCGACAGACTTCAGTGTACGGTTTTTTCGCAACGTAATTTATGAAATTATAAATTGCGGGAAATTGCATTTCTCCGCTTTTGTTGGTTGCGCTGCGTTGGAAAAACCATCGGAAACGAAATTCACGTAGCGTTTTTTAATAGGTACTTACTCCTATTGTGGGATGGTGGGTAATCTCCAACAGGAATTCGCTGGTACTGTTTTAATAACAGTACCCTTTGAACTTGAGCGAGCTGTGGGTAATGCACAATGGCGTATAAAGGAAAAATCGTTTGTGGGAAGATGCCTCGAGATTGTAAGAATTTATGCAAATGCAACATTGTTTGTATAAGTAATAGCTCACTGTATTAGGTATTAACTAATTTTCCTCTGTGAACTTGGTAAATTGCATTTTACCATTAGTAAGCTCTCATAATCCCAAACGATGTAGTTAGGTTTTTATAACATTTTTCATGATTTTTCAGCTGCTTGCATGATAGCCGGGTGCGCAGTTTTCCCTGCCGGTTGGGATTCTGATGGTACTAGAAAAATCTGCGGAGCATCAGCCAATAAATACGCTTTAGGCGAATGCCAGATCAGATGGACTTACATTTTGGCCGCCATCGGATGCTTGGACGCCGTAATTTTGTCCACGTTGGCCTTCCTGCTGGCCCTCAGGCACATCAAGCTGCAACCGGATCCGCATTATTCCACCAGTCCTAGTCTATTCAAAGGTATTTAGTTAATACACAACAAGCGTTGTTGTTAATGGAGTTAATTTTTAGGCGAAATGAACGGAGCCTTCATGGGCGATTCGGCGAGCGTCGCCGGCTCCAGGAAGTCGCTGAGCATCCACCATCCGGTCCTGCTGGTGCATCCCGGCCAGGACGACACCTATTCTCAGTTTTCGCAGAGAACTGTGCCCAGATCGGTGCATTCCGGCCACTATTCGCATCCGAATACGTTGCACAGAAACATCTAAATGTCCGTTTTGTATCATTTTTATACCCTTTGTTTTACACGCCTTTAGTTAACCGAAAAAGTAAATTTTTATTTTATCAGTTAATGCCACTTTTTAATGCGTTTTTAACTTACTCTAAAATAACGAGAATGAATCGGAAGTGATCCTTTTATTAGCGGTTATATCAAGACTTGTAGTGCCACCTCGGAGGATTCACGCGCAACTCCTGGACTAGCTGATTGATTGTAGTCCATTGCAGATCAGTTAGCTCCAGCCCTTCCTTTTCGACTAATTTAGACTTTCTTATTTCCGGTTCTCCGGGTACCATAATCGATTCGTTGACGTCGATCTGTAATATCACCGGATTAATTTAGAAGATTTCCTCGTCCAGGACGAGATCGAACGTACCGGTTCTAAATTCCTGTACAATCTCATAATATCAGACATCCTGGCTTCGAAGCCCGGAACGAATTTCTTGGGATCGATGACGATGAACCCGTGTCCCAAATTGGAGGGTCCCTTACGGTCCGACCAATGCTCGATGTTCGGACCGTACTTCGCACCTTTCGAATTAACACCGATAAAGAATCTTCTCTGCTAGTTTGAGGTCGCTTACCGGACAGCATCGAGCTCAGAATCTCCACCATAAACGCCAAGCCGGTTCCCTTGAAGCCGACGTCGCCAGCGCCTCCCAGCGGCGCCAGTTTCTTCGATTTGATCGCCACGTTCGGATCGGTGGTGGGACAGCAGTTCACGTCCATGGCGTGGCCCAAGGCGAGCTTCAAGTGCATGATTTTGGCCATTTCCACCTGCAATTCACCGTGTAGTCTTCGAGCACTCGATACCCGAATGGTTAAAGACCCTTTTACCTTTCCTATGGATACTGAAGTGGTGGATATGTCGAGGTTGAAGGAATCGTCGTGCTCGCCGGGCGCCGCTATCGCTATGGGGTTGGTTCCGAAAAAATGCTACAGTATAAACGAAATAAAATAGAGTATTGGATTAATGAGAGATTTGGCTGTTTGGTTTATGGAATGTATTTACTTGTTTGGCTCCGAAGGGTACCATGTAAGGGGAGGTATTCGAAAATGCCATGCCGATGTAGCCGTGTTTAGCAGCGTAATCGGTGTAATAAGCAGCCATACCGAAATGATTGGATCCTAAAATTGTATAAAATATCTCAATTTCCGTTACAAGATAGTAGATCATAGACTATATAGCAAATGTGCACGTCAGTAGATAAAATAGACTTAACTCTCGCTGTGACGTAGGAAACGCCGCCTTTCGCCGCCTTTTTTATGGCCAGATTCATGCAGAACATGGCGATTACTGTACCTAGACCGTTTTTTCCATCAACTACAGCGGTAGACTCGGTTTCCATTATGATTTCTGGTAAGGCGTTGGGTAGGCACAGGCGTTTCCTGATATCGTTGATGTACTTGACTGGAAATTAGGTTTGTGATTGTCGATAGCAGAAGATTAAATTTGTATAGGGTTACTCAATCGGTATACTCCGTGCGTGGATATTCCTCGAGCATCGGAGGAGATGACGCAATCTGCGAATTCCTTGGCGATTTCCTTCTCAGTTCCCACCTTCATCATGCAGTCGATGACGAATTTAGTCAAATCCGCGCTGGTAGTGAATTTCGGCTTCTCCGGTTCTTTATCTGCGAAAACAAAGAGTAGCACCGGGACGAATTAGTCGAGGTTCTTACATTCGGCAACGTCCGAGCCCATCTTGACGGACTTGGCGCGCTTCCTGTCGAAGCTGAGCTTCAGCTTCTGGAAGAAGTTCGCGTCGAAGCCGCCCTCCTGGACGTGCTCCAGCGTCCTGACGCCGTACCGCTTCGCGTCGGCGTCCTTCCGCTCGTGCAGGTGCTTCAGGACGGCGCTCTGCGAGTTGAGCAGCCGCATCACGTCCACGTTGAACTCGGTCAGCCGCCGCACGTCCTCCCGGATGTCGTCCACCTTGGCGAGCAGCTCGTCGGTCTGCTGGCGCACCGCCTTGTCGACGATGTTCAGGAAGGCGGCGCTCTTCAGGAACTTGAGCACGGCCTCCTCGTCGCCGCCGCCGTGCAACGAAATTTTGCTCTTCGGGATCGAAGGGTTCATGTTCGTTATCAATTCGAAATTTCAATGTCACTCCTATAACCGAAACGTGTACTAGCTACTTTGATATATTCTTCTTTTTTATTTTGGATATACATAGACTTGTTGTTTGGTGCAACGAATTATTTGTTTATTACACAAAAACGTATACAAATTATCAGACGTATTTAATTTTAGGCATTTCTACTTTCAGTTCTTTAGATAGTTTCTCCAGGGTAGTTACTTGACTGGAGGTGTATTCCACGCCGGGTTGTGCCCGATTTTTCTTCACGGTGGCGCTTTCCATGTCGCCTGGCACGAGCACAGGTCGGTCCGGATTCGCCTATAACAACTACTATTTACACCACAGATTATTTATGTACAACATTACCGGCTCCATGTTTCTAATGAAACTCATTATATCGGCCAAGCGTTTGTCGAAACCGGCGGGAAAGCTCTTGGGATCGATGACGATGAAAGCGTGCGCGATATTGGCCGGCGCCTTGCTCTGCTTCCACGTTCTAATGTGGGGCCCGTACGGGGTGTCTGTTCGAAACGAATTTATTATTTAAACGCTAGCGTAAATCGGATTCGGTTGCCTGCGAGGATCCCGCACAGGATCTCCACCAGGAAGGCCAGCATGGTGCCCTTGTGGGCCTGGTCGGGCGCGCCCAGCGGCGCCAGTTTCCGCACTTCGAGCGCCTTGGTGGCGTCGGTGGTGGTGTTGCCGTTCTCGTCGTACGCCCAGCCCGGCGGGATGGGCAGATTCCGCCTTTTCTGCATTTCGATCTGGAATCTAAAGAGTTATCTAACAGTGTAAAAGTTGAGTAGAAAGTCACCTTTCCCATGGCGACTGCCGTGGTGGCGAAATCGATGGTGACTTTATCGCCACCCTCCGCTGGAGCGGACAGTGCTAAAGGATTCGTTCCGAAACAAACCTATAAGAATAAAATAGTTGTCGAGCGGTAATGGAGTATAGAGTGTTTCCTTGCGTTTTTAGCACCGGCTGGGACCATCAGCGGCGATGTGTTGGTGAAAGCCATCGCGATATATCCTTTTTGCGCTGCGTAATCGGTGTAGTAGGAGTTGATACCGAAATGGTTAGAACCTACATCGAATTCATCTACTTATTTTCTTACAAAAAAAATGGATTGAGTACTTAACTTTGGCTACGATTAGGGCTACGCCCGTTTGCTTGGCTTTTTTAATGCCCAATCTAACGCAATACAATCCAACTATACATCCCATACCATTGTTACCATTTACCGTAGCTACCCCGTCTTTTTCCATTATGATGGTGGGATCGGCGTTGCCATTGCACACTCCCTCTTTAATATCGTTAACGTAGTTTTCTGCATAAAAACATAAGTGTTTGGTGAAAATGGTACATTTTCTGGAGTAAAAAATACCCAATCTGTTTAATCCGTGCGTCACGATGCCTCTGAGATCAGCTGTGATCAAGCAATCGGCGAGCATATGAGCTTTTCTCGAATCTACGCCCTGTTTTTCGATGCATTTGACTATAAAGCGCTGCGCATCGTCCGGATGGATCATTATCTTCTTCGGTGGTGGTTTTGGTATTTCTGCAACCATTGAAATTGTAGAGAAATTGTTGTGAAAGATGTAGAGAAGCCAATAGTCGACCTGCAATTGTAGCCCTGGCGTCGGCGCCGTCCTTGGCGCCCTCGGCGATCTTCGCCGACTTCAATTCGCACACCATCTCGCCCTCTATCATCTTGCACGGGTCCTTCTGGTCCGTCTCGGAGGGGGCGCGCTTCGCGTCCCTCTTGTCCTTGGAGAAGACGGCGGGCTCGCCGCAGAGCATCCGGATGGTGTCGACGATGAATTCGTTGAGTTTCCTCACGTGCCGCTCGAGCGCCTCGACGCGCGTCAATACCGCGTTGGTGTGCGACTTCACCGCCTTGTTCAGGATCTCCGAGAACGCGGGGCTCTTCAGGAACGACACCACCAGCTCGTCGTCGAGGTTCTGCAGCTTCGATTTGCTCTTGGCGATCGGACTGATCATTTTTTACTTTTTTTTGTCGAGTCGAATTTGTAACGGAATTTAATAAAAAAAATTACTGACGTTTGACAGGTTTGGCGATAGCGGGCGCGATTTGAACTAATGTAGCGGTCGGTAGGTGTTTTGGGTGATAATGCACTATAAGATATATTTCAGATATGCAGATATATTTCTAAGGTCTGGACTATTATTTTCTTTTTTTATGGGTCTGGAAATATAGGTCGAAAAAGTGTCTCGTTATTTGAGGTAAAACAGGGTTCCTAAAATGGCCGCTTGGAGGCGATGTTGTAATGGACCACGGTTTTTTACGTACGAATTATATAGAATTAGCATTAAAAAAGGTTTCATTCAAACTAAAAATAGACAAAAAATATAAAAATATACTTAAATCAGCGATGATTTTGTTGTTAACATCAAGCTTCACGTATCTTCGGTGAATGTATTTCTCCATTTTCTCCTCGAAATGTCAAAAAATAATTTTTGAAATTTTGACAGATCGAACTGTCGTCACACAACCGCGATTTATATGTAGCGCGACGCTGATTGGCTGAGATAAGTTGGTTCCACATTTTCCATACACATTCACCTCCTCTAATATACTTGTATCAATATGTTAAAGTGGTTGCATAAAATATTCTTATTCCTCTCATTGCAAACTTTATTATTAATAAACAATCAAATCATCTATGTAAAACAAATCCAAATTGCTTACAAACTAATCAATATAGCGTCCCCATGGTAACCACAACCAAAACAATCGCTGAACTAAACTCGTCCCCGGCTCTCTTAGTTATATTAGTAATTTTTACAATGGATCCTCTTTACCTGGCTTTGAGCTTGTTCAGGCGAAGGCGGTACGACAAATGCGTGGAAGTTTGCACGGGAATTTTGGACAAGCAGCCGCTGGACCAAGCGGCGTGGTGTTTGAAAATGCGCGCGCTCACCCAGAAGGTCTACGTCGACGATTTGGAAAACGAAGAAGTACCCGAACTGGATTTTCTGGACGACAATGTATTGGCCACCGCCCCCAGGCCGGGTACCTCCATGAAAACGGCGGTGGTACCCCCGACCGGAGCCTTAAGGTATACATCTTTATTCGCTTAGAAGGGGTCAACATGCTATCGTTTTTATTCTAGTGCTAGACCGAGAACATCAACAGGCAGACCGATGTCAGGAGTGGCGAGATTAGGGACGCACGTCAGGCCGGAATCGGCCTTAGACAGGGCGCGGACGGCGCGACCGCTCACCGGCACCGCCTCCCGCACGGTCCGGCTGGGCACCGCCGCGATGCTCGCCCAGAAAGACGGCCCCTTCATCCAGGTATCCAGGCTGAATTTGGCCAAGTACGCCGACGACCCCTGCCTGTCGAAGCCGCTGTTCGAGTACCTGTTCTTCTGCGACGGGGACACCAGGGCCGCCATGGAGCTGGCCGTGCAGGCGACGCAACGGTCGCGCTTCGACGACTGGTGGTGGAAGGTGCAACTGGCCAGGTGCTACTCGGCGATGAATCTGATCAGGGAGGCCGAGCAGCAGCTGCGGAGCGCCGTCAAGCAGCATTACAACGTGGAGACGTTCGTTAGACTGGCCAGGGTCTATTCGAGAGTAGGTAAAATGCGTTTTCCTGCTACTTGTGATAATAATAACTGCTTGTAAATTCGTGTGATGTGTTAGATCAACCACTGTCGGCTATAGATATTTGTAAATCTGGATTAGAAATATTCCCTAAGGATGTTACTATAATGACGGAACTGGGGAGGTTGTACGAAGGTTTAAACGATACTAATAATTCAGTGAAATACCACAGGAATATTTTAATAGAAGATGCTATTAACATAGAAGCTGTAGCTTCGTTGGGAATGCACCATTTCTACAACAACCAACCAGAGTTGGCTCTAAAATATTACAGGTAAATGTAGTATTTGTTGGTACTTTGATGTTATATTTTGAATTTGTAGAAGAGCGTTATCGATTGGGGCGCATTCTGGTGAACTATACAACAATTTAGGCTTGTGCTGCCTGTTCTCGCAGCAATTCGATTTCGTTTTGCCGTATTTCCAGCGAGCGCTCGAACTCGCCACTGAGGCCAGCGCCAAGGCTGAAGTTTGGTACAATTTGTCGCACGTAGCCTTGGCAAGTGACTTTCGCGACTTTTCTACTGGATCCGATTTTATTTGCGGTTTATTTTTAGGCGGCTGGAGATGTACAACTGGCTGTGCAGTGCTTGAACTTGTGCCTCAGCTCGGACGCCGCGCACGCGCCCGCTTTTAATAATCTGGCAGTGTTGTACCACAAAATGGGCAAGTCCAGTTTGGCCAAAGCGTATTTGAACACTGCCAAGTCGCTGGAACCAGAATTGGGAGAAGTACAAGGGAACTTGGAGTACCTTCAAAAATTGTAGGACTGAAAAGTGTGTACAAAAATGCTATATCGAGTGCCTTATTGTATAATTCACACTGTATTTTTTGCTAGTAAATTTCGCTAATTTATTGAATAAATTTCGTTAGGTAAGTACGAGGCGGTACCAGTTTGTTTAGCGCGAAAAATTTATCGATCGGATAAGTTTGCGATGCAAAAAAAACGATCTCTTCGAAAACTCTTAAAGTCGAATTCTTGCTGCATTCTTAAATATGGAATTGCGCATTATCGAATTTATCAGCCGGCTCGCCGAAGCTGGATTACATTTTTCGGAACGAATTATCTGCTTGGGTTTTATCGCCCGCCAGAAATCAAGTTCGCAGAGAATATTTATACCCGATTTGGTGAAATTTTCGCGGATTATTTCCCAATTTTTCGATTTTCGTTCGAACGCACCGGCGATGATAATTTAAATTTAATGAGTCCATACAGCACGCGATTGTTCGAAATTATCGGCTAATCGAATGATTATTTTGTAGGACTTCCGTAGGAAAAATCCGCGAAACGCATAATTTTATTTGTTTCTGCTTACGTTTAATTGCGACATATTTTTTTGTTTGTATGGAAATTTACCTGTTTATTTTTCAGACGAGTATACTTCATCGAGTATTCACAAATAGAATTTGTTCGATAAAATTTGGTATAATGATTTGTACAATTTTTGTGTATACATTTTGTTCGTTATTTTAGTTTTGGACTTTTAATTGCACTGAAACAATTCAACAATATCCTTAGTTACTCCATAACAACAATGCAAAACTGTCAATTTAAACAATGTCCTTAGTTACTCCATAACAACCATGTAAAACTGTCAATTGAAAGAATTTCCTTAGTTACTCCATAACAACAATGTAAAACTGTCAAGTTAAACATGTCAAATTCGTTGAATACGGTCGATTGTTTCCAGGTCTTCTATAATTCCAGATAACCTAGCGAATCGTGGAGAAATTGGCAGGTACTTTCCCATACATTTTTCAATTTTTTTCCACCTCATTTTAGATAGTACCATCTTCGAAGCTGCAATAGTTGCATCAAACATGTCCAGCATTGTGCGCAGTGTTGGTACCCGGCGAGCACGCCATTTAAACCGCTCAGCCGGTAACGAAGCACCGTCGCCGTCCAACCTCTACGGCCGGTACCTCGACGTCCTCCTCGCTCGCCGCGGAATGCACCCGCCGAACAGGTACCCGAACACACCTGAGTTTTCAGGTACACTCCTCGGCGCAAATCCGGATTCCACAGCGCCAGCTCGCCGAGCCGACCGCGCCGCCGCGACTGTACCGGACGGGCGGCCCAATCGAGCGGTACCGGCGGCCGGCGGGCGCGCCAGGTCGACGGTTCCGCTGGCCGGGCGCATTCCGACGGTATCGGTACCCGACCCGCAGCGGAGAGTCGAACGCCCGGGGAAGCTCAGTTGGAGAACGCCTTCGCCGGCCGACGGGATAGACGTCCTCTTTGGCGTTCGCGGAACACGTGGACCTGGTGCCGTTTTTTCCACACACCGCATTTTGTCCAATACGTTTACATCGGGCGGTTGTTGGTACTGGTTTCTAATACGAATTTCGGCTGCTTGTTGTTGTTGTTGTTTGTGGAAGGGTTTGTTATGCGTGCGGTCGACGAGTGCGTTCCGGAAATCCGATTGAATGCACGGTGAGTAGCGAGAGGATTTTCCGATGTATTTTTCCGGGTGTTTCTTTTTTTTATTTTTGTTGGTTTCACGGCAGGTATTTCGTGCGGGTTCGCGGATTCGGAATTTAGTACCCGCCAACGTGCTATTATGCTCGAGCATCTGAAAGCGTTTACGTCGTTTTGTTTTTGTTTAGTATCGAATAAAATGGAAACGGCGATTGTTTTTGTAAAAAGCGCGAAAAGTGCTGGTCGTTCGTGGGCGAGGTTTTTCCACGGAATGTTTAATTTTCATTTGCGAGATTGCTCGTACCGATTGCATAGGTACTCTCGCCTAAATAAATTGTCCTTGACCTATAAAACGGTTTCGTGGTTAAATTATTTTTAGGACGATTTAAAAAATTTAAATTCATTAAAATTTCACATTATATTTTGAAGATTGCCTTAAAAGTATAGCTAATCCACTACAAGTGAATTTAAATCTTCAAATTTTTATTTGATTTACTAGATTTTACCATGTCAATTGTCTACTTAATTATCTTTCTCTATGGAAGTATCTACAATTACCTTTTTTATACAAATTATTATGAAATTAAATTTAAAAAAAAAGCCAGAAAAACTTAAGCAACGCCATTTATTGCATTAGTAGATATATTCCTCTTTTTTTTATTGTAATTAGGAAAGTAAGAGAGATATTTTCTGTGAATAAATTGTAAATTTATGAACTTTCTTTTTACTCGGAATATTTATAAATTTCTATGTCAACGTACAACACGGTGATCTTTGTGTATTTGCTGGATGCGTTTCGGTCGTTATTTTTAATAACAAAATAATTTACGTGATAAATTTGACTAAAATTCAATGATTTATTAATGTTAATTTTTAAACAGTCAATGTGTCAACAAATATGTTCATGGGTATTCTGATAATTTGGCACCTGTGTTATATTAAAAAAAGCAATTTTTTTTATTCGAATTCTGTCCCATATTAGCATAATTCCAACTAAATTCGACGGGTGAGCCCCATCATTACAAACTGGAAAACCTATCTTCGACGTAAAACCCCACCTAAGGCTATATAAAAAAACCAAAAACAACGCATTTTAACACGAATCTATCATAGTAATCGATTATACCTACGCATTTTGGGAATAAATAATCGCATTAACTACTTCTAATTCGAATTAGGCTACCGTTCACCGACGGGAACCATCCAAAAGGGATAATCGATTATAATTTCACCTTTTTTTGTACCTACTCTATAATACTCGAGATTGAAAACCACTTAAGTATTCAAATAAATTCGATAACCGAAGCCATTTTAATCCCATTAAACCGATCGAATTATCGCGCGAACCTCGTATGCTCAGGCCACGCGAATTATACGAGGGCCGTTCGAAAACCGCCGTCCGGCATTCGGTTCGAATGCGTTCGTCGAAATGCTAATTAATTTATACGATGCCCGTCGATTAGAATAAACGAAAAAATCCCAAAAACTCCAATTAAAGATAATCGCTAATTGGCGCAAACAGGCGGAAAAAACGCCGTCGAAATGCCGCAGTTAATTGATAATTATTTCGAGCGTTCGCGCAAAAATTTCGCGCGTGCTTTTTTCCGCGATTGCATATGCAGAAAAAACCGAATCGGAATGTTCGGTATGCACCTTCATTACATTAACTAATTATTAAAACAAATGTTTGTTCGCGAAAATACCGGAACTCATTACTCAACGCGTACCTGCATATGACGTTCGGCGTTCGCTATTTCGCCGTTTATCGAACTGTAATTTTCGCCAAACCCGCCGCTTTTTTAATTGCCATTTTCGTTTATCGGGCCCAGATAAACGACAGAATTGATTTAAACCGTTTATCTTTTATTCAACAGTTGGTACGCTGTCGCTAATCAGGCATGCCAACATCCACTGAATGCGTTTCCAGAGCCGCCGTTGATCTCTCGCAATTCGAATTAACTCGACGATTAGCGCACAATTCATACTTCTGATAGGTAATTTTTATGGTTATTTTTCTGCCCAATTTACCTAATAAAGGATTTAAAAATATAATCCCTTTAGCGCTCAATTTGCATCCGTTCTTCTGGTTTGATTAATATTGGCAGACATAAACGCATCGAAATATGCAGTACCATTTAGAAAATACCAGTTTCGATCGAACAGAAGCGCTGGATAATTAATTGATTTGCATCGATGATAAAAAGAAGAAGCAGAAGATGGTATAAATAGAAGAGCGTTTGTAAATTATAGCGTTGCCTTGGAGGATAACGATAGCGAAAATTCCTCAGCGAACGGAAGAGCATTCCGCTCGGAACGAGCGCGGTATTTTAGCCTGGAATCATTGCTTGAAAAAACTATTAACGCATAAAAGAAAATATCTTTTACTTCTCCTACATACTTAATTTTTTATTACATCCTACTTCTGTCCCAAAACCCATATATCAATATTATGGGAAATAAAATCATCAATTCGACATGAACAAGCGATAAAGCATCGCGTTTAGAAATTTCGATTCGTTAAAAAAACCCGAAAATTACATATTCAATTTCTAATTTCGTCCGGACAAGATGGATGCTCGTCTGAACAAAACCATTAGTTGCCCAAGATCGTTCCAAATGAAGCATATAGTGAAATTCCACGTAGATAAATCAGTAGACCAAAGTGGGCCGAAATGTTACGATTACAACACGATATTTCACGGATTTTCACAGTAATAAATTTTTGTCCGAAATTCGAAGAATGCCATATCTACCTACCCCGCGCGTTTAATTAACGGTCCCATCGGAGCGAGCTTATCTAACTCTCTTTCCAAACATTCATTCAAACCGAGCAAATAATCCGAATTTATTAGTCTCTTGCGTAACCCCAACTCCGATTGAAAACCGTACTAATATTGGTAAAACATTTTAATATACGGATTTAATGGCGATTCCATATCCAACTCCGGCTAGATACGTTTGGTAACGTTCGCCTATTAAAATTCCTCGGCCGATAATATAAAAGGATTCTACGCAGACTGTGACCTCAAGCTGTACATCACGCGGGTTCACATGTTTATTGGGAAATAATTGCCCGGCGCGTTTCAAATTTTTCGTAGCGGTTAAGGTGACGCCGAGCATTCCGAATATTTTTCTAGCTTCCTGCCGGCGCGATTACCTCATCGCACCGATATTTGGATTTCGGAACGCGCTTCCTTCCAGATAAAACCCCGCCGGAAATCTCCCGGATTTCCAACTCCGCTGCAAAGGAGTTGGAGGACTCCAATTGCTCCGTGCACAATTCCAATTGCGATTGAACGTCGAAGTAGTGTCACCGGGAGGTTATTTAATCTGTTCGTGAACCGACGGCTGTGCAAGATAGGCGTGTGAAAGTGTTACGAAAGATAAATAATCGTACTCGTCCGTACGCATTTTAAACGACGTTTTAATTAAACACCGCGCTCGCCTGCGTGCGGTTAGTACCGGCTCCGCTTCGCGGTCCAAGTCCAAGTACCGCCGTTGTTGCATCGGTACCTGTGCCTAGCTCTCTAAGGGCGAGATCGAGGACTAGACTTCAAAACGGATGTAAATTGGATGCTAAAAGGACTGTAGATTTAAATCATCTAGGTGAATTGGGCGATGAGTATGAATGGGCTGAGATTTTGGTACTCAAGAGTGATCATGTTTGAGGCAACCTTGAAGTACCCTGCTGTTTTTGTGCAGAGTGCCCGAGAAATAACACAAATAATTCTTTTTTTTTTCATTTACTCTACTCTATAGGAATAAAATACCCTATAAAGCTAGCTCTCCGCGATAATAAATATATTTCTGCGCCCAATTTCCCAACGCTGAGATTTTGTGGTGCTCGAGAGTGATCATGCTTGAGGCAACCTTGAAGTACCCTGCTATGTTTCTGCGCCTTGATATATTCTCGAGATCTTTTCGGAGGTGCTGAGTGGTACCGGTAGCGAAATTCCACGACGAAGTGTAAATATACGCGTATAACACACATTTGAGTGTGTGTGTGTACACAAACGCGCGCTCAAATTGGTACGACCGAAGGTCATCGGGTGACATTCCGCTGGCTCGGAGCGAAGACGACGGCGAGGCGCCCGCTCCTCCGTCCGAGAAATAATCATCTTTTTCTCTATAATTAGAGTTTTACTTCCTTCGGAGCGTCCCTCCGCGGGCCGGCCGTTCGTGAGCGTCTAACAATCGCGTTTTTTCCTTCGGAGAATTCCTAGGAAACCGGCGCAATTTGTTTCGTATTAGCGCTGCAAGTGAGGTAATTTGTAGGTACAGTTTAAATTCCGCCATTAGTACAATTCGACGGGAAAAAAGTTAAAAACTCTTGTAACTTAACGCTGTGACCTTAATAATTTTAATCGCCTAGAACCTAAACGATTTATTCTACCTGGAATGTTACCAAAGTGCTAGAGAGTAGAGAATGGATGAGGGTAGAGTAGTACAAATTTTTATTGTAAAAATTGGTACTTTCGTAGACACCCTGTGTAAAATTCCTCGATATACGCAACGCGCATTTACAAACCTACATTCGTAATAATCAAGCGAGGTCTAGCATTATTTGCGGTTAAGTGAGTTTAGGTCTTCTGCTATTTTACGGCTCGCAGCGATTCGAAACAAACCGAGTCTAGTTATTAGTTCGGCCTACCTTACTGCAAATCATTAGTTCAATAATATTATCTATTTTACACAGGGTGATTCCTGCATGCCGGCGATGTTTTAGGTCAACTTCACCAACCTTTTTTGTAAATGCACTAATTAGTAAAAATAGGTAACTTGAATGGTGGATTAAACGAATGATATACTCGATTACTGGTTTGTTTGGCTTTGTAATTGGTCTTTCGTCTTTCTTCGAGCAAGCTGAACTGGCCGAACACCCTGTATAATATAAAAAAACGAAAGAATAAAGAGAAACGCCACACCCACAGCCGCATATTACAAAACCTACGTACGATGATTATAAAAGTGAAATGAAATATTCAAAATATCTTTGCGGAGAATAATCGTTTTCCTTTATGTACTTACGTTCGAGTGAATGTGTCAGTTTGGAGAAATAGCCGTTCTTTCTTTGTGCGCTCAATTTAATCCCACCGTGAATGTTATTGTTTGTTTTCTATCTCGCCATGACTTATTTATAATAAATCCTTCAATTTCTTACTTGAAATATATTTGAAATAGCCCACAATCGGTTGAACAAAATGAGGAATTCATAGTTAAATCTCCACCGCTGGTGTATTAGAAGAAAAAAAATTAAAACAAGGTATAATTAATAATAAATAATAATAATAAACAATCGCGTTGATTAGTCATAGAACGGGTGATAAACGCGGATCTAATCTTTAAAGATATTATTCGTAATTTCGCAATTATCTACCACGCCCCCCTTTCCACTGCCATATTTTACTTTTTAATGTAAATTCCCGTTCGTAATCGAACGATTTCGCCTATAAGCGAACTTCTCGTCGAGATTACGTAACCGTAGGTAAAATGCGTTTTCCATGTAGCTGTGCGCCGATTGCCTGGCCTTTTCCTATACTTGTTTCTGGTTAAAATGAATTGATAAAATTGCCGCTATTCGTAAACGCTTAATTTAGCGCAATTAAATCGAACGCAAGTATTACGTTCGTTTACAAAGTTCGGCTGTAATTTCGTCGAAAATGATTTTATACTAAAAGATAGATAAATCCCCTTAAACCAAGCCTGCGGTTTAATAAGCAGGGGCTTTTAAAATGATATGGAATTTTAACGATCGGAGAGCCAGCTCCTTTTCTAACTACGTCTTCGTGACGTTATTGAAACAGTGTTTGTTCGTACTCTAATTAATTTCAAATTATACTCGTACGAGAGAAATCCGACGTAATTTAATATGCCAATTAGAGAATTCCATTGTAAATTGCTTACCTTCCGATGTATGCAAGTAAGTACGTACGCACATGTGAATATCTTAAAATTCATCATGTGATGTTCGAGGGAATGCTAATGGGAACGAACGAGACGGTATTGAAAATGCGATGGCGTATTTTTTTTTATTAGAAACGGTATGTTTCTAATTTATTTTGAACGAATTCGCAAACTGGTGCAGAAACTGTCAAAATTGACATTAATGACGTTTCGTTTGACGGAAGTTTAATAGAGCTGATGGATATCATCAAATATCGTTCTCGTGCGTGATTACTTTGCGTTCTAATCTACTCTACGATAATTAGAATTACTAAAGATGCGTATAAATTACTTTAAAATGCGTTCAATGGTAGATACATAAACTTTCAAAATTGACATTAATTGACATTTCGTATGACAGATAGTAGAAAAAAAAGTAGAGGTGGGAATAATTTTGTTGGTATAGAGGTGCAGTAACGTCTGTTACAAAATAATCGTTATTTTTCAAATATCGTTCTGCCGATAACTCTACTCTAATCTAATCCGTAATACAAATATTTAGGTACTCGCGAGTACCTCCCGCGTTTGCGGGAGATTTGCGGGATTACTTGAAGGAAATTGTGCGTAATCTTCCGAGCGCACGTCCATGAAAACGGGCTCTCCTATTCGAGTGAAAATTAGAATTTCCATTTGGAAGGCAAATTCGATTTTTACCATTTTTTCCCTTGAGCCGGTGTCTGTATATGGCAGCGACTCGGCGATCTCCTTTTAACGTGGGCAGTCAGTGGACGCGCCGCGGCCGTTCGCGAACCCGTTCTCTTCTCTATTCATTTCGACTGCTTTTTCCAGCGTTTTTTCCCGGCTTTTCGAAACAACGGCCGAACTGATCAATGAACGTAGACGTCGATTCAATGGGCAGAGAGAGCCTCGCGCGCGATTTCAACGCAACGGTAGGAGGGCGGCCCGCGTTTTTTGCCAATTGTCCGGACGGACGTGGCTCGACTGCTAATCTCTCGAAAATAATACTATACGCGAGATTCGAATGAAATTAATGGTATCATACAGGTCCCTCTTCAGCGCTCCTTTTTAACGCTAATCAATCCTTTATAGAGTCTCTTTAACGTAAACAATGCGTCCCTAGTTACTCCGTAACAACCAATGTAAAACTGTCAATTGAAGGAATTTCCTTAGTTACTCCATAACAACAATGTAAACCTGTCAAGTTAAACATGCGCCTATGATTTTTATGCTCAATAAGAATGAAGAACTTTGCTAAGGACAGAATTATTTTCAACAGAATGCAATTGTTAGATTATTTTTAATACACATATAAACTTTCGTGAATTTAGTATTAGTAATTCCGATGGAAAAAGAACGTGAAATGCGCGGGTTGCGCTCCGGTGGGTTTTCCTCTCGAGCGCGATTGTTTAAATAAACATCGCCGTTCAATTATTTGTCTGATTTAATGGTTCTCTGGAATTTTAATCGCTCGAAAAAATTATCGTAGAGGAGCATTTTCATCGGAACCTTGGATGGCGAAGGCCGATCTCCGACGTAATTATGCAAATAAACGCGAGAGAAGCGTTAAATACACCTCACTTTGTAATGGAAATTCACCCCAAATTATTACCCCAACTATAAATATTCTTCAATCCGATATGTTGATTATACCTGCATGTTATTGACGGTAATTAAATCGATTTAGCAATGCCTGACGGTATAATTAAAATTACCACGAAACAGCTACAATTAATAATTATTGAGTGCTTGATTGGTTACTCATTTGGTAATTGTTTGTTTCTTTTGTTTTGTGTGCTTTAAATTCTAAATGATAATTCACAACACGTAGGTATCTGTTAAATATTTCGACAATTACGTGTATTAATTTGTTGTATAGTGATTTATTTTCGTCTCTACGGGTGTCAATTCAAATCGAAATTGATGTAATTGACAAGCAGTGCTGCCACTATCAAAAATATTAGGTACCAACTTTAGTAAATTTAACCAACGGTTTGTAAATTTAAATGCCGATTTAATTTACGTATCCGCCGAAAAACCGGTTGATCACCTTCGATGACAATTTATAGACTCTCGACGAAGATAAAAATAAACATCTACTCTTTATGGACGTCTGTAATTATTGTATTACGAATTCCTGCGCTGATAAGATCGGAAAATTAAGTAAAAAAACTAATAGGAATGTGCGTACGCTATATGCAAATATGATTAATTAAAAAAATAATTATTTCACTTATGTATTTAAATTTATTTTAATGCTAACTCGAATTAAGTAGTTAAATTTATTTTTTTTATAAACAATGTTTATGGAAAATTCTCTAATGGAAGATTACAAAAAGTAATAGAGTATAAGTTAGTTATAAAAAAGTAGGATTTACCCATGTTTATGAAAAATGCCTTCTAGTCGAGCACAAAAGATTTCGATCAAAATAAACTGTCGCACGTCGGACGAGATCTCGTTAAAAAAAACGAAGAAGAAGAAGAGCGGAATTCATGTCGACTCTCGAAACCCAATATGTATTCAAATGAAACGAATTCTTCTTCGTGCCAGCTGCGAAGGTACGGGCGTAATTTTTAAATACAATGGCCGTTTCGTTTCGTCGGTGCGGCAATCTCGCCGTCGAAATTCTTCTCGACGAAAATAAAAAACCCCGAAGACCTTTCGATCCGCGACCGGTACCGGCCGAGCGGCATTGTCTCGGAAAAAATCCGGAAGTTCGCACCCCCGAAATTTCTCCGCGAAAAAACCGATCGGTTTTGAATCCGCGATTTGTAACTTTTTGCGCCGCGATTCGTAACGGTTTCGGTATTTACCATTTCATGAATGGATGGCGTTGTATTTTAATCGGCATTTTCGCTCGGATTTTCCCATAAAAATAACAAACATGTGAATAAGTAATTTATCATCAGACTGCGATGCTTTAATAACAACAGTAAATTTCCGCACGTTCGTTCGAGAGTTCAACTCGCAATTGTTGCGCCGTTAATCACCAACTTTTCCTCTTTTCCAAGCCCATTAATTTATCAAACAACTCTCCTTTACATCTACTTGCTACTTTAATCTACACAATCCATCTAAATCTCCCCCACAGCAATCTTATTTGCAAGAGTTAGTTACCCATATTTCCACAAGTTTCCTGCAGCATTCTGATGGAGTTTTCGGTGGTTGTTGCAGGTGAAAGGGCGCCGCTTTTCCCTGAAGAGATGAGCGTGTCATGCGCGCCGGTCTGTGCACGGTGAGCGCCCCCTTGGCCGCGTGCAGCCCGGCAGCAGCGCTACCGCCCACGGCTCGTTTCCTGGCGCTCCACGTGCTGCACCAGCAGACGCTCTACTTCATCGTGCAGGCCAAGTCCAGGGTGAGGGAGCTCTATCAGCAGACATGCCGCCACTTCGCCCTGCAGGGTATGCTCGACACGGACCTCTTCGGATTGGCCCTCATTTGTGGTGAGTATTTTTGCATCGCTTGACACTTTCATTTTCAACCGTCGAAATTGACATTAATGACATTTCGTGTGACAGGAGGTTAATAGAGGTGGGAATATTTTTTTGTATAGAGGTGCAGTAACGACTGTTACAAAATAAGCGTTATTTTTCAATAATCGTTCCCGTGATTACTCTACACTCTTTATTTTTGGTGTGGAATTCCGGTGAGGGATTAAGGGTAAAGTAGATTAATATCTTTAGTGGGGAATTCCGGTGTACCGAAATTAATTTCGTCCACTTTCCCCTCGATTAGGCTCGATTGTTGTTTTTTATTTAATCGGCTCGAATCGGATTCGTCGCACCCGGAGACGAACCGCCATGGTTAAATTTAAAAACCATAATATTACGGCGTTCCACCGGTGTTACACTTATTGTTCGGCGGCCCGACCATCTGGCCGGTCATGGTAAGGTCGCCGCAAAGGCTGAATATTTCTCGAGATGAAGAGAAACGGTTCCAGTCGCCCCGTTTCTTTTCCTCCTTCTTCATCGGCTCCTTCGTTCTGTTCGCGGTCTCGGCGCTATTGACGCGATTCCGACAGTTTCTTCTTTACGGAATGAGAAAAAAAAACCGACGCATCGACAACATTCTGGTCCTTTGATTCTTTCATTACCTAAATTATTCTCCGCGAAAACAAAAACGATAACGAAACGCTTTTCGTGAAACGCTAGCTATTAAACAGTCCACTCAAGGATTTTTTCGCCGCGTGCATTGTTAATGAATAGAAAAACAATTTAATGTGAAATTTAACTACTCGTTGCGCATATAAAAAAAATCGCAGTCACGATTGCAATTCTACTAGATACGAAACAAATTCCTGTAGTGCGCCGAAACGCCGATGAGCCGGCAACGCCGCCGCTCCGTCGTACCGCGAAAGGCGTTTGGTAGTACTAGCGAGAGAGTGGAGAAGACTCTCCGGCCGGGTCAATAAAAAACGAAGGTGGCCTCGGGCTAAAAAACGCGATCGAAAAAAAACAATGCTCCGCTGCGGTTAAAGACAGGTAGCCGAGCTGGCGGGGGGCGCGGCGGCGAAGGGGGGCCGCATCAGGATCATTTGTATAACCGGGGAATGCGCCCGACCCGGTACAATCCGAGCCAAAACGTGGGGGTCGTATTTTTCGAATGCCAGGCTCGCAGCGGCGTGCCCACGGTTTTTCGGTACTACCGAGGTACTGGCTTACTGTACCGATGTATCGGTTACTAACAAGAGAGCTGTACTATAATTTGATCTACAGTCCTCGAAGGTAAAGCAATAGTTTTGAGGAATGATTGAAGAAGTAGTACTCACTTTGCCTAATATTTACCCAATTTTTCTATTGGGTACCAATACCATTAATAACTAAAATCTTCAGTAGAATTTAGTGAATACTTAGTGGTGACTCAATGGTTTAAATATCGAAGATAATTTCAAGAAATAAAATTCTCCCTTTTCGTAAAATTTTTGTTTCATAATATTCATGGATTTAGACGAATTATTCAGCGTTGGATACTGTTGAAAGGAATAATAAAAAGGAAAAACTACTTAGCGGTTTCGATGCAAACCGCAAACAACAATAATGCAATAATCAGCCATTAAATGATCTTTAAACTTGTTTAGAAGAATGTTTACAGAAGTATTTCGTTTCGATTTCCTTTATTTTCCTCCGACGAGTTCTTTATTGGCCTAGCTCGGTTCTAACCAGCTCGAGGAATTGTTCGAATTCTAACGAGTTTGTGGTATTTTTTCTCACTTCCTAATTTTCCCCAAATTTACAAGCTACAAGATTTCTTATGGTACTTGTATTCTTCCAATTCCCATTAATCATCCAGCTCAACGTTTCGGTGTTACCCAGTACACATTCCTAACTCAATTTGATATTGAAGTTAGTACCACACCCTGGGGAATATTCTCCACCGTTCGCTCAATGTCTTCGAGGTTACCGGCAGACGCATCGTACAGGAGATGGAAAAAAAAAATAGTCGAATTTGCGTCCGCCGGTACTCCGACATTGGATTCGCCTCGCGTCCGCCGGCGGCTCTCTCGGGGCGCGTACCGACGTGGCGGCTGCCCGGAATGCGGTCCGGCGCTGCTGCATTCCTCCACTTTTACCCGGCCTCCTTCTTCGGCTCTCCGCGGCGAGGCGGCGCCGTTGCCGCGTCCGCGTCCCCGTCGCCGTACCTTCGGATGTTCGCCGCGGCCGGAGCGGGAGATCCGGCAACGCGCGGTACTTTCGAAGGAACTCGTCGTCGCCGGTGGGAGCGAGCGAGAGCCGCGGAGAGAGCGAAAGAGAGACGTATTTAGCGGACTCACGCTCACCGGAGCCTGCCAGCTCGGAGCCGAAATTGCGGGAAATGGAATTTTAATGTATTTTTTAATTTAAATTTTACACAGGTGTGTGTGGGGATAAAACCTGCAGGTATGCGGGCCCTCCGGGGGCCATTTAAAAATTCGAATGAAATACGCACTCGCCTGCTGAACGCAGGATTTACGAATTCCCTTCCATAGTTCCTACTTACATTTTTTCTCACTAATTATGTATTATGTATGTAATATCACTAATTATGTAACACATGTGTTATGAGAGTTGCCTATATGTGTGACGTTGACGTTGACAGACGTGGCGTTGACGTTGACAGATGCCACTTTACCTCTCTCTCTCTCCAACACACTGACAGCTATCATTTTCTATACCTCTCTCTCTCACGGCCGTATATTTCTAAGGTCTGGAAACAGCTTGTGCTTATGCATTAGAGAATGTGTCCCGTTATTTGAACATTTTTTGAGCTTCACTTTTGCGTCGTACCGTGGCGAACGATCAGAGGACCAACTTATCTCAGCCAATCAGCGTCGCGTTACATATAAATCGCGGTTGTGAGATGACAGTTCAATCTGTCAAAACTTCAAAAATTATTTTTTGACGTTTCGAGAAGAAAATGGAGAAATACATAAACCGAAGATACGTGAGGCATGGTGTTAACAACAAAATCATCGCTGATTTAAGTATATTTTTATATTTTGTATCTATTTTTAGTTTGAATAACACCTTTCTTAATGCTAATTCTATATAATTCGTACGTAAAAAACCGTGGTTTTTTTACAACATCGCCTCCTAGCGGCTGTTTTAGGAACCCTGTTTTATTCTCAAATAACGGACCACTTTTTCGACCTATGTTTCCAGACCATAGAATTATTGGGCCGTGCTCTCTCTAACACACTGTTTTCCCTATGACCATGCTACAACCGGCCTTGTATGTCTACTTTTTCGTTAAATAATAAATGTTATAATCTTAATTCGCAGATGGAGAGTACCTATTCGCGGAGCCGGACAGCAAGCTATCGAAGTACGCGCCGAAGAGCTGGCGCTCGTCGCACAGCCATGGCCTCGACGCCAACGGCCGTCCGGCGCTCGCCTTCTACTTCCGCGTCCAGTTCTACGTCGACAGCCCGCTGTTGCTGCGCGACGAGACCACGCGCCACCACTACTACCTGCAGCTGCGGCTCAACGCGGCGTCGGGCGCCGCCGGCGACCACGCCGCCCACCTCGCCGGGCTCGCGCTCCAGGCGGACTTGGGCGACCACGGCGACGCCGCCGCCACCTTCCGCCCGGAGGACTACGTGCCGCCGGACATGCGCGGCCCGGCGGCGCTGCGCCTCGTCGACGCCGCCCACAGGACCCACCGGGGCCTGTCCAAGAACGAGGCCAGGACGAGGTTCATAGCGGACACTTGCCAGCTGCAGGAACCCGTCAACGCTCACGTATTTAGGTACGATTGGTTAGTTCATTCATAATTAGTTCATACTAATTCGTTGTGGTATTAGGTTAAGAGCTTCGAAATCGGAACCGTCTCCGGGCTCGTTGATTTTGGCGGTGTGTCCAAGAGGTCTGAAAGTATGCCCGGAGAACAACCCGCCGTCGATATTCCTCTGGAGCAGCATCGGCAAGCTGAGCTTCGAGCGCAAGAAGTTCGAGATCCGCACCGGCCACGAGAAGCTCACCCTCTACACGAGCAGCGACGAGAAGAGCCGGCTGCTGTTGGGCCTGTGCAAGGCCGCCCACCAGTTCAGCATGGCGGTGGCGCCGCGGCTGAGCGAGGCGCGGCGCGAGGAGGAGGAGCGCCGGCGCTGGGACGGCGACCAGCGCGTCTCGGTGATCAGCTCGACGTCGTCGAACACGACGTCGGGCATCGTCAGCGATCGCGTGCACTCGGAGGACGAGCTCGAGATCATGATCACCAGTCCGCCGGCGCCGTCGACGGAGAGTCTGGCTCTGGCTCACCTGCTGGACAGTGCGCCGGCTAGCAGCCGGACGTCGGCGGCGTCGGCCGCCGCCGCTTTGGCGACGCTCGCGTTGAAGGAGGACGAGGACGAGGCGAAGCCGACGCTCAGCGAGAGTTCGACGAAGACGGCCAACGGTAAATGTGCTGGATCACAATGCAGCTCTTCGTGCAGTACTGTCGTTGTAACGCCCGTTCAAACCAGTAAGTTCTAATCATCAACTTCTAATCCTCATCTAACGCGGGTAATTTTTTTACAGAAACTAAAGGACGAAGATCGTCCACTACGAGTAGTTTGGAGTTAGGTTACTCTCATACAGCTCAAAATTCCTCCGTCAGCGATGCCACTTGCATCGAACTGGACGCGACCGAGGCGGTTTACACGTCCGGCCCGGCGCCGAGTAGCCACACCAGCGGCGTGTACACTCTAACATCCAGCGAACAGTATACTCTAAGTTCAAGTGATCACTATACTAGCCCCAGTGAACAGTATAGTGTACCTAGTGAGCAATTCTCGACGCCCGAGGACCACGTGGACGGTCACTTCAGAGACCGGACGAATTCGAACGTCAGCAATTCGGGGTCGTTCCACGGGGACGGCAGCGATCCCACCGACGCCAAACAAACCTTGCTCTCCGCCGAGGAATTGTCCGATCTGATCGTCGGCCGGTACCCGTCCTGCAAAAGCGTCAGCCACACGTTAGACTCCGATTCGGATTACGTTACGTTACCGTCCTCGTACCAGGGCTACGCTCCGGTGCCGCCCAAGCGAATCGACAGCGTCGACCAGAGATTCAGGCCGCCGCCGCCGCCGTACGGCGCGCAACTGTCCAAGCCGCCGCCGGCCGAGCCGGCCTGTCTCGATTTCGACGATTGCTCGGCGGCGCCGGGACGGTTGCTGCGCAGTCCGCCTCCTTACCCGGAGAACACCACGCCCGTGCCGCCGCCGGTGTACCCGTTCGAGGAGGCGGGCGCCCGCTTCATCACCACCCGATCGCCCAGCGTGCTGACGGCCCACGCCAGCTCAGTCGGCGTCACTTCCTCGCCGAGTTACTCGACGCCGAACAGCGTTCCGCCGATTCCGCCGAAGATACCGCGACCGCCGCCGAAGAACGCCGTCGTGTCGCCGAATAATTACTTGGACGTAGCGGCGAGTAAAGCGAGCGTGTTGGTGCCTTGTACGTTTCTACCTCCGCCGCCGCCGCCGGCGCCCAGGCAACCACCACCGCCTCCGCCTACGTCTTTGGCGACCGTGTATCCCAGTCAATTGTCGCTGTCGCAGATCGAGCAGTACCAGCAGCAGATGTACAGCGACGTGGATTTCGTGGTGTTTCCTCTGAAGGAGCCGGCGATCAGCAAGCAGGAGTACCTGGAGGCGAAGCAGGGTGCATCGCTGATGGCGGCGCTGGCGCAACAGCCGATATTCTACAGGAGCACGCCGTACTTGAGCCGGTACGCTTCCAGCCAGAATCTATCGGACACCTACGTGCAGTTACCCGTGTACGGCGCGCCGAGCGTCTCCTCCACCGGCAGCTTGGACCCGCCGCCGCCGCCGTTGCCGCCCAACCGGCCGGGGAAGTTCGCGTTCACCAGGACGCGATCGGACGACAACATCCTGAACTCGCTGGATTTGAAGCGACCGCCGAAGTTCAGGCGGCTGCCGCCGCCGCCGCCGCCCGTTCCCGAGAAGCCGGCGGACGCGGCGAAGGCGGCGCGGAAGCCGGCTAGTCCGGAGAAGGCGTCCGCGTTGGACATTCGCACGCTGCGCGAGAAGAGCAAGAAGATGGACCTGCCGCTGATATCGGCGCTCTGCAACGATCGCTCGCTTATCAAGCAGACGAAGGCGTTCGTGACGCCGAAGGTGGCGGGCGAGGGCGCGGCGCCGTCGAAGCTGCCGGCGGGCAAGCAGTCGAGGAAGACGCCGTCGGTGCATAGGAGGAATCCGGGCGATAAGCTGCCCGAGATCCCGCGGGCGACGCCCAACAACTACATCCTGACCGATTTGCGTGTCAAACACAAGACTGTGCAGTCGCAATCGTGAGATTAGTGCTCGAACTCGAACGCTCCAGTGGTTACAGTTTGGACGGTTTTTCGGTTAGAGACGTTTGCGTAAAAGAAATATTTTGACAGTATTTAGTGAGTTTTTTTTTGTTGTCGTTTCTAATAAGTACTAACTAAAAAAATTAGTTTATTATTGAAAAAGAATGAATATTTATTTGTATATTTCCGATATATAAATACCGTCAAAACTGATCTTTTATTTAAAAAAAAAAGTAATCATTAGCTGGATTAATACAGTAGATTGTAGAAAATATCATTTTGTTTTCCTCAGGGTGCCATCATTGCAATAATTTTAAGGGGAGGCCCTGGCGTTGCGGCTAGTCGGCGTTAATTTTTTTCTTATTTCTTCTTTTTTTTTCATTCGGCCGCAACTCCGGCGCCATGACTGCCCCTGTTTGTAAATAAAGATTAATATCGTACTTGCACAAAAATTTATCAGTAGTACTTATCCATGTTGTAGTACACTTGTTCGAAACCTAATATCGTTTAAACATGCGTAATTTAACGAAAGTAATTTTTTTGGTATTGCAATAAATGTTACTTAAATTTCCTGCAATTCCATTTAAATGATTCGTTTTCGTTAATTAACTGATTTACCTAATTATTTTGTCTTTTATTTATTTTCTCGATTCCAAATTAAGTAAATAGCTTCAAGTGTATGGTGCTGCCATCCTTTTTAAAATAAAGTAAGAAAAATATGTTATTCCATCGTTTTATTTCAATCTATTTAAGCGCCTATTTAAGAACAATTATAACGGATTCCCCAGGCCACAAGGCAACGTCTTTGAACTCTATGGCAGCCATTTTGGAATCGGGTCGCGGCCCCACGACCACTTCCCCGCCGTACAACACAGCCGACAAATCGATCCTGTTCTGCTTCGCCCCCAAATTGGCCGCCAGCACGTACGCCTTCCTCCTGGGGTACCACCTCTGCATCACCAGCAACTGCTCCCCGGCGTACTTAATCTCCATATTGGCCTTGTTAACGCCCTCTTTGTACACCGAATTCATGTAAATCGACGGCGACACCTCCCTCAACTCCACGGTGCGACTGAGCAGATCGATCTGCTCGTCGAGCTTGGAGCCGTCGTCGGGCCAGGCCATCATCGGGCGCGGCCCCTCGTCCTCCCCCAGCCCGATCTCGTCGCCGTAGAAGATCGACGGCGTGCCGGGCAGCATCAGCTGCAGCAGGATGGCGCCCAGCGTGCCGTTGCTGTGAGGCAAGACGTTGGCGATGCGCTCGGAGTAGACGTTGCCCAGCGACCATTGGATCCAAGGCATGCCCGGCTTGGAGAAGAGCGTGCCGTTCTGCAGGAACCTGATTTGCCTGCTGATCGAGCTGACGCCGTTGGTGACGTCCAGCTTCACGTCCACCAGGTCCACGTTGTTTAACACGGAGTCGATGTTCGACGGTTTGGTGGATTGGAGGAACTTCTGGCTGACGATTAGGATGCGATCCTCGCCGAGGATCCTCTTCCATCGCCTGAGGGATTCCACGAGGTTCGGATCGTCTTGGAGTTTTTCTAAGCCTTTCAAGTAGAAACCTTTCACGCCTTTGGATATCCAATGGAGGATGGCCTCTTCGATCACGTCGAGCTCCGGGCTTCTTTCGCTCCGGAGGAATTCGATCGTTGAGCCGGAGGTACTGTCGTTTTTCGAGTAGCCTTTTTTATGCACCAATCTTTTTACGTAAGGATACAGCGGTAGATCTAATATAACGGAAATGTTCCTGGAGTCGAATCGACGCACCATCGCCTCGAAATCCTCCAGGTCGCCGAGCGCCGGAGCGATAGCGGTGAGGCTGGTGACGTTATCGAAGTCGTTGGGGTAATTGGGGTTGTGGAAAATGGAGTTCAATCTGACGCCTCTCGCGCCCAGCTTCTCGATGTAGCCGGCCTTCTCGGCGATGCCGCGGAAGTCGCCGCCGCCGCCCGGCCGCGAGCTGTAGAACCGCGCCGGGAACACCTCGTAGAGCAGGTTGCCGTGGTACCAGAAGGTCGGCGGGTTGCACTTCCTCGGCAGCGTGGCGATCATGTAGACGATCAGCGCCACCATGGCGACGATCACCGAGAGGAACGTCCAGGTGGAGATCTTCCTGATGATCGGCCAGTTCCAGGACATGAAGAAGTAGTTGTCGGGCGGGTTGCGGAACGTCAATTGCAGGGCTTGGTTCGTGCCGAGGTCTTCCTGAAATTATTGGGGAATTCCGCATGAAATATTCGAGGGTCGAAACGATTTCTGTGAGGGAATGGAGGAAAAATAATAACGCGAATTTCGACTTTAAAGTTCGCGTAATCGGATTAATTTTCGTTTTGTTGCAAAAGCGAGAATATTTACTTTTTAAAAATCTACGTTGTAACGCACAAAAGTTTTGTTTTTGTCTTTCGTCATCAATAAATGGATACTTACGCATAAATTTCTATACGTTAATCGGATTAAACGATTGCTTTGAAAGACGTAAGACAATGAGTTTTTTATTATTTTCGGAGATGTTAAAAAGTAACGCACATAAAAGGAAATCATTGCAGACGAGTCCAGAAAGTGATTTTGAGCTGTAGCTATTTTTATATCGGTAACTGAAAGTTTGTTTGCAATATGGTCAATTCTATGAGTTGAACAAAGAAAGATGGTTAGAGTGAGATATGTATGCCATCCCGCAATATCACTCTTTCTTTTTCCTTTATATGAGGCTAACGGAAGTTGTCTTTGTTGCACCCATAGACTATATTGCGTACAATAGGACATAACCTTGAAAAACCTACCTCAACTGTCTTTTCCTCATCTGTCACAATATGTTGGTATACATTCCTGTGGTTCAATAATTGCGCACAAGCCGGCTCCGCCAGAGCGGAAGAACTGGATGAAGCCGATTCAGCTTTTTCCTCGTCCGAAGTTCCATCAGCTACAAAAAAAATCCATTCGATTTATTGCAATTGGAGAGAAAAATCAAAGTAACCTACATCAAACGTCATTTAACTACTCAAATGACGTACATGTCAAAACAATAAACATTGAATAACAAGTAGGCTGTTGTATTGCAGATAGAAAAGTATCCAAATATTATCAAAGTAGACTACGTCAAACTGTCAATTTTACGTAAAATAAGTAAACGTCAAATAATTATTAAACAAGTAGACTATACTGTTTATACAAAAACAGCAAATAAGATAACAATTTGCATATAACAATTAGCATTTCGCAAATAAAAATCATCGTTGTACATGTTTTGGGAATTATTGCGATACATATTAAGGTTGCGAAATGAAAACAAAGCCTCCACGCACCTTTGACGTGATTGAGTTTGTTGGCCAATTCCAATCCGATGGAAGTGTAATCCGGTTCCGGTTCCGGCAGGGGATTTACCAAAGCGTTCGTGGGCGGCGACGGGGTGATTAGAGGACAAATAGAAGCCACCTCGTCTGCCATGAAGGAATTTGTCGGAGAATCCGGCAGATTCGGATTATCCACTCGAAGGAAACCGTCCATTGTTACAGCGATTTATGTCGACATAGTACTAAAAATATATTTAATTAGTAGCAGATAAATAAACGTTTAATCACCATTAAGTGGAAAATATTGAGAAAAAAAACCCTGTTTATTTGATCAATTAAAATGCGTAAAATGTGCGTCTGTTATGAAATCAAACGAATCCGAAAAATTTCCTACTCGACAACAACAAACACAAATGAGATAATCCTCACATACGTATCAATTATCACACCATATTTAACTGTTTCTTCACTTTATCGCATACTTATTTATTGTTAACAATAATTCCAATCAATTATAAAACCGAGTAATTTCCAATCATTCCGCAGCACTCACCTGCTCTATTTATATTTCCACGACACTTACCTATCTTACGGGTATTCTAATAATAAAATCGCCGCATGTGCTAATAATTTCACGAGCATTTACTGGCGAATTCGTCGAACAAACATCCAGCCGATGGAAATATTTTTCCAACACAACACGCCGATAAATTGATAGGCCGAACGACCAATTTATTTTAATTAGTTAGTAGAAAACGTTCGCAAAACGTGGGTCAGCACAGCTGACTGCGATCGAAGCGACGCCGGCGGTTGCGTCGCGACGCCCAAGTTTGCCTGGCGTCGCGTCGGGCGCGAAATTCAAAAGGATAGGCAGGATAAAGGATGCGCCTGATAGCGTGTATATATCAATAAAAAATGGTAGTTACTTATACCTGCTAAGGATATGAAAAAATTAATTGATTAGGTGTGAATTGTCTTTATTTTTGGCGATAAATGATAATCTAGTTTCTAAATTAAGACGTCATTGGGTAGATTATTTAAATTTAGCAACGTTATGCAAATTAAAAGCTTATTTCATTGAACTTTATGAAATTCAGCATAAAAATAAAACGGTTTATCGCACCCAAAATATTTAAAGCGATTATTGATACCAATTTTGCTTGCTCATTTATCATTGCATTATTTACATACACGCAATGTTTAGTGGTTTAATTGAAGTTAATTAAACACTACGGAACTCTTAGTTCCTTGATAGAAAATCGTGAAAAGACAACTTGTTTTGAAAATTTTTATTTGGCTTCTTCCAGGGATAAGTTTTCTCATCCGCAATACACTTGAACTACGCATTCCTTATCGTCAATTTGACCTCATAGATCATTAAAAAAAACGCCTAACTTATAACGGATTGCGGAGCTTTCTTAGTCTAGATTTGAAGCTCCACAAGAAGCGAACTAAAAAGCTAATTCCATATATTTAATTGAGAGGAATTTTTGCTAAAATAGACTAGTATAGTATAGAGTATGAGCTACCTTGAATGCAAGGATATTTTTGCTAAAGGTAAGTTATTCGTTTTTATCTAATTTCATATATTTAACATTAGGTGTTATGCATTTAACTATCAAATTTCTGCTTTTAAATTGCATAACAATTTTATTTAGCAATTAAAATAAAAAAACTGGAATTTTGTAAAAATTTCCCTATCGTTGAAGTTTAATCTAAATTTTTCTCGTTCTTTGTAAATGTTTTTAGCCGAACGCTGCAGTAATTTCTCCCAGTCGATTGGCTAGAATATACAAAAATAATGCACATATCGCTAGCAAACGCGTTAGGCAATCGTTATACAATGATTATAGTGACTTCTTTTAAGGTCAAATATCATATCGTTCGTCTTAACACTCTTAACATACAATTAACGCGATAAATAAAACAAATATTTCGATAGTTTAGTAAGCCTTTTCCATCGACCAGTTCAACGAAGGACTCCGGATAGTTTATTCAACTCCTTCCGTTCATCTGGGTTACCTAAATGGATTACAAGGCGAATCGAAAGGTTCAATTTACGGTGCATTAATATTTTACATTTTATTCATCCCGATCGGTGTGTTCATCATTTACTTACAAGCTTCTAATAATTTGTTTTCCCAATGATAACTAAACCGCGTCATTATCGATTGCAGAAATCGCCTAAATAGTTCATGGAGTCACCATTCAGAACTGTTAAAATTTCGAAAATTTACGATTGCCAGACGAAAGAGAGATTCACTTCTACCCCTTGGAAATTGACCGTTTTCGTAGACGTCTATCACATCGAGAGCCCGGGTCATGTCTCTTGATTTCCTCGCTGGGTGTATTGGAGGTAAGTCGAACACCTTGCCCCAATATAAAGACAACCAGACACATCCCGGTGCGTTCCAGGTGTGGCCGGCGTGTTCGTGGGTCATCCTCTGGACACGGTCAGAGTGAACATACAAACGCAATGCGCGCGGAACCCCAAGTACCGGGGCTCGTTGGACTGCTTCAAGTCGCTGCTGCGGAAGGAGGGCGTGCGCGGCCTCTACCGGGGCGTCTCGAGCCCGGTGGCCGGCGTGGCCGGCGTCAACGCCGTCATGTTCGGCGTGTACGCCAACGTGGAGCGGAACATGGCGGATCCGCGGTCGCTGAAGACCCAAATCGCGGCCGCTACGACGGCGGGAGTCTTCAGCAGCTTCATCTCCAGTCCGATGGAGCTCGCCAAATCCAGGATTCAGGTCGGTGGAGTAGTTTAGGTGGTACTTGAAGTACTTGAGTGAAAGTTGTTTGTAGGTAGCAGGAAAGTTAGCCGGTAAGAGTCCTCTGGATTGTTTAATCAGAACGTACAAACAGGAGAACATCAAAGGGGTGTTTAGAGGTTTCGGAATCACAATGGCTAGAGAAGTACCGGCAATGATAACCTATTTCGTAACCTACGAATTTTTGAGCAGAACTACCGACGATCGGGTGGCGTCCACTCCCCAAATTCTATTCGCAGGAGGAGTAGCAGGTGAGCAACAACCAATCTGTCTACCACCAAACGGGGGGAGAGTACGATTTCCATTGCGCCGCGATTTGATAACTTTTTTAGCTTAATTAAGCCAAAATAAAGCGAAAATGATGATGAAATGATGAATTTTTTTTGATATCTCGCTTCGTTTTCGAGATATCGATACTTGAAGTTGAACATGCCTTTTTTTGGTTTATATTGATAAATCTTAAATAAATCATATAATTAACGGTAAATTACAATAAATTATAGCACCTACATTATAAATTTAATTTACAATCTCTATTGATATATAAAAAACCTACCCTACCTAAACCCACCCTACACGACACTAAACTAAACGAATCTTGAACCAACTTTTGATAAAAACTTCAAGTATCGATATCTCGAAAACGAAACGAGATATCAAAAAGTTTTATTCTTCATTTTCGCTTTATTTTGGCTTAATTAAGCTAAAAAAGTCGCCCCAAAACTGTATTAACGACTCCAATCCGATCACAGGCGTGGTATCCTGGCTGGTGCCCTACCCGATCGACGTCATCAAGTCCAAGTTCCAAGTGGACGGCGTCGCGACGCGCCTGTACGCCGGCTACGCGGACTGCCTGAGGAAGACGGTGGCGAATGAAGGCCTTCGCAGCCTCTACCGCGGCCTGGCGCCCACCTTGGTTCGGGCGTTTCCCGTCAACGCCGTCACCTTCTGCGCGGTGGAGTGGTCGATGAGGCTCTTCGAGCGGGGCGCCGCGACGCTCGGCCGGCCCGAGGAGATGCTCAAACAGTGCGTCGACGTCGTGCTGACGGAGAAGGCCTGCCCCTGCTGATATGGACTACTTGTTGAATTGTTTTTTGTATGAATAAAATCAACTTTCAACGTATAATCATTTGTCAATGTCAACCTACCAAAAAACAGCTGATATTTACCTTCAAACCTGAATCGTTCAGTCTTCTTGTTTCACAATGTATTTGCTACAAAAGAATCCTTAAAAGAAACCAACAACCTATGTCGAAGAAAAAAATACTTCTTAATAAACCGATAAATGTATATAGATTTCATAGCCGGATGGCTCGGTGGTAAGCATATACTTCCAACAAAACTATCCCCAAAACTTCCTCGCACACGCAGGTATGTGCGGCGTGGCCATAGGACATCCGATGGACACCATTAGGTTGAATCTCCAGACCAGAAACCCCACGAATCCCCATTACCAAAGCATGGCCTCCACGGCCTTCCACTTGGTGGAGAAGGAGGGCATCAGGGCGCTGTTCCGGGGTATATCCAGCCCGTTGGTGGGCCTCGGCATCATGAACAGCCTCCTCTTCGGGATATACGGCAGCGTGCTGAGGATGATGGACGATCCGCATTCGTTGGTTGCCATTAATCTCGGCGCCATGGCCTCCGCTTTCGGCACGGCGCCGATTTGCAGCCCGGTGGAGTTGACCAAGAGCAGGTTACAGGTAAATCGACTTGTAACGTCGATGATATAAAAGGTAACCAATTCATTAAGTGCAAGTTTGAGATGGTGTTATTTGTAGGTTGCAGGGGCGAGGGCTGGTAGAAACCCGCTAGATTGCCTAATGAAGTTGTACTACTCCGAGGGTGTTTACAACGGTGTGTTCAAGGGATTTGGGCTGACGCTACTGAGAGAGATCCCATCGAATATGTCCTATTTTATGTCTTACGAGTATTTGAAAGGAAAGGAAACACCGTCGACGTTGCAGCTGTTCAATGCCGGTGGTATGGCTGGTAAATGTCTCGATTTAACTGTAGTTTCGATTGTATTCAAACGGTTGTTTGTATTTAAGGTGCTATATCTTGGATTGTTCCATATCCCATAGACGTCATCAAGTCCAGAATGCAAGTGGACGGGTCCAGAGGCCCGAGGAAGTATAAAAACTGGAGGGATTGTTTGAGAAAAACCATAAAACGTGAGGGTTATAAAGGATTGTATAGAGGACTGACGCCTACAGTAGTAAGAGCCTATCCAACAAACGGTGTTACCTTCCTTTCCGTCGATTATATTTTAAAACATTTCAACATCCGAGGTCCTGATGATATTTCGTAATTAAATGTAAGTTTTGTACAAACACTGTAATAAACAAGAAGACTGATTAGCGAGTGTCATTTTTGTACGTTTGAAATTACCTAGATTTCTTCTTTTTATTATAACACAACCTTCTTTAAATTTTAACCATGCAGAGTGGGTGCAACAAAGACAACTTCCATTAGCCTCATAAAAAAGGAAAAAGAAAGGGATTGCAACTTTCCCCTCTCTAACCATTATTATCCAATCCACCTTTCTTTGTTCAACTTATATTGCAAGCAAATGTTCACTGTCCAATAATTGCAATGGCCACCACACTCACCCGACATCACCCCTTCGGAATCCCGCTTACTGCATTACTGGCGATGCTGCCAACCTAGGGAAAAATCTTCAACGTCGACTGACGTCCGAAATTGACAGAGCATAATTTATTTTTTTCGATAAATTGTTAGTGCAAAAATATATCGTTCGACCTCCCCGTTTTTTTTTTGAAGCGGATTCGATCCGATTGCGAACAGGGAAAAGGAATATGGATAAATCGAATGCCGGGCGATCAGAACCAGTGACGAACGGTCGAATGGTCCGGAGCGCATCGAAAAATTTTTCGTGAGATGTTCAGTTAGTTTAGGTACGAAAACATAGGGGGGTCTTTACGGGGATGTCGATTGTGTTTTGGAGCTTATATTATGTAAATTGGAGGAAGAGATGAAAGCGATGAAAGCGAACGTGAACAATCGGCGGTAAAAGTTAGCGAACAATAAGCGATTTTTCTTTATAATTAATAATTAGAAATGTAATTAAATCGCGCCAGAGGGGTATTTTCAATTAAGTAAAATTACGAATACCCGATTGGTAGATTAATTAGTGCATTGCAGTGTTAGAAATAATCGATGGGTACCAACGTAACGTGGCGGACGTCCAGAGTGTAACTAAGAAACGAAAATTTTGCTGCCATCATTATTTCGATTTTTCAAAATTTTGACTTTTCACTTCACATCCATTCAAATAGATCATCCATTAAATAACTAAATTACCCGTGACTAAAATCTATTATATTATTTTTTCTATAACAGAAGTAGTTCAATCTGGCTCAGAACAATGAAATGGGCGAATCGAATACCATTATCGGAAAGCCCGTGGACGTCGGCTCAGGACGATGTATGAGCATCCAAGCCATGCAAGCTCTATTCGAATTGAAGGAAAACAATCAACTTTGCGACGCCACCATTGTATTGGACGACGGCGCCGAAATTCCAGTTCACAGGGCGATACTTTGCGCTTGTAGTTCATATTTTAGGTACCATCATTCATTTAATATATTCCTTTAGTAATAGTGTAACTACTTGTGTTAATTCCCTTTTTGCAGGGCTCTATTCACCACAACCCTCCACAACAGGGAAAAACACAGAGTATACCTGCCGGGCGTGACCTCCGAGATGCTGCAGAAACTCCTGGTGTACATCTACCTGCGCAAGCTGGACATCAACCTCGACAACGTCTACTCGCTGCTGATCACCGCCGATTACTTGAGCATCCTCGGCGTGCTGGAGCTGTGCTGCAAGTTTCTCGAGACCAACCTCACGTCGAAGAACTGCATCGGCATAATGAACTTCGCGCGCAACCACTTTTGCCGCGATCTGGCCGGCGACACGTGGAAGTACATCATGCGCAACTTCACGCAGATCGCCTACGAGAGCGACGAGATCCTCGCGCTGTCGCTGGGCGAGATCCAGGAGATCATCAACGCCGACGATTTGAACGTGAAGAGCGAGGAGACCGTGTGGGAGTTGATACTGCGCTGGATCGACAACGACACCGAGACCAGGAAGCGGCACATCGTATCGTTGATGAAGTGCATCCGATTGGGATTGTTGGACACGCAGTTCTTTTTGGAACGCGTCAAGGAGCATCCTTACGTGGCCAGTTCAGAGGAGAGCCGCCCGATGATCATCGAAACGTTGAAGTTTCTCTACGATTTAGAGATGATTACGCACAGGTAAATAAAATTTCCTCGCTCTTTCTCTCTGATGTCGGTTGGAGTAAACTACCGAATTTTTGGTGCCGCGTACCGATTACCGTTTCGACTTTCAGTCCCAATAATATCCGGAACGGTAGTCAGTTCCTAATAATTTGGTCTCCTAGAGATGGAGAAGTCGTGACGCCGGAAATAGCGAGGCCGCGCGTGCCGCACGAGATCCTGTTCGCCATCGGCGGCTGGAGCGGCGGCTCGCCCACCAACTTCATGGAAACCTACGATACGCGCGCCGACCGATGGGTGAAGGTGGAGGAGGTGGACCCGACGGGGCCTCGGGCCTATCACGGCACCGCCGTCGTCGGCCTGAAGATCTACGTGATCGGCGGCTTCGACGGCATGGATTACTTCAATTCCTGTCGGTGCTTCGACGCCGTGACCAAGAGCTGGAAGGAGATCGCCCCCATGCACGCCAGGAGGTGCTACGTCAGCACGGCCGTCGTCGACGATCTGATATACGCGATGGGCGGCTACGACGGCCATCACAGGCAAAATACCGCCGAGAAGTACGATTATAAAACCAACCAGTGGTCGTTGATTGCTCCCATGAACATGCAAAGATCAGATGCTAGCGCTTGTAATTTAAACGGTAGGGTGTTTATCTGCTTCGTGCATTGCAAGGTTACTACAAAATATTTAATCTACAACAGGTAAAATTTACATAACCGGCGGTTTCAACGGGCAGGAATGCATGCATTCGGCCGAAGTGTACGATCCGGAAATCAACCAATGGTCTTTGATCAGCCCGATGAGGTCGAGACGGTCGGGCGTTTCCTGCATAGCCTATCACGGGCAGGTGTACGTCATCGGCGGCTTCAACGGCATATCCAGGATGTGCAGCGGCGAGAAGTTCAATCCGCAGACCAACACGTGGTCGCCCATACCGGACATGTACAATCCGCGGAGCAACTTCGCCATCGAGGTCATCGACGACATGATATTCGCCATAGGCGGATTCAACGGTAATCCAATTGGACTTCTATTAGCCCGACGAATTCGAGGAGTATCCCCGCGAATTATACTTCAAACTAGATTTGTACGTTGTAGGCGTCACCACTATCTACCACGTCGAATGTTACGACGAAAAAACGAACGAATGGTACGAGGCCACCGACATGAACATCTACAGATCCGCGCTGTCTGCGTGCGTCATCGACGGGCTGCCCAACGTGCAGGATTACATCCACAAGCACAGGTAAATACTGCGAAACTACACCCGTACAACTCGCTAAATACCCTGAAGTTTCACCAACGGCTTCGTGGTATACACGGTTATATACTGATTGCTTCAGTTTCTATGAGTTGAACGAAGAAAGATTAATAAAATAACAGTTGTCAGAGCCTATATATAGCCTATATTAACCTATATTGCAATCTATACTTCATCCATCCAACCAACGGAGTAACCAAAACAAGGTTAGACGCGTGATCATATTGGGTAAAATAAAAACAGCCTCCTTACGCTGGCCAATCACTGTTGATCACGCGTTGATCCAGGGTCTAACTTTGTTTTAGTTACTCCGTTGATTGGATGAATGAAGTATAGAATGAAGCAATCTGTATAGTCTACTTTTTGTAATAACTCTGATGGCTTTGACCAGAAACTCGAAGGCCCTCGAGGGACCATCTGCACTAAGACAGTTATTTAACCTAGCTTGTTAATTTGCATGATTCGCCCATTAAAACCTTGCGTGTTTAGAGACAGGCTGATGGAGGAGAAGCGCCAGAAGATGATCGCGTTGGAGAACCAACGGAACCTGGGCAGCGTGGCGAACAACAACAACAACAACGCCAATCACCAGGAGAACGTGGCGGCGGCGGTGAACGCCAACATGCAACAGCTGAACATCCTGCAGCAGCTGAACGCCAATCTGAATCCGGCGCTGCCGCCGGCGCCCGTGCCCAATCCCAATCCGGTGCCGATGGACGTCGACGAGAACGACGCCGACGAGCAGCCACAGCAGCAGCAGCAGCAGCAGCAGCAGCAGCAACAGCAGCCTTGACGGGCCGCCTGGATGGTGTTTGAGGACTCGACGAGCTGGGGATGGAAATTTTTTATTGATGTTTCCCGTTTTTGATTTCGCGGATATCGGATGCCTTTTTGCACGTTGATTCGCCGCCCCAATTCTCGACACCGTTATATTTTTAAGTATCTAAAAGTAATTTAGAAAACGGAATTTTTAGCTGTATTTAGGAGTCAAAAAAATAGTGGCAAAACTCTACTGTTAAGGCAAAAAACAGGGAAATTTAATTAACGGTCGAACAGTAGACTCGAATTTAATCAATTGGTACTATCGAGATGTCGATAGTACGAAGTAACCGGTAGATAAAATAAACTAACGAATTGTTTTCCAGACCTTTATTGTTAGAGTAATTAGCTAAGAAAATTATACCAGGAGGATATTATTTTAAGTGGCAACTAGTGATTAGGGAAATCGATTATTTTTTTTGAATGGACTTTTTTTACTCACCTCTCAACAATGCTTAAAAAGCTTCAAAATTGCTTTTGTTTTTGTCGAATCGTATTAATAGTGAATATTCTAGTTTTCTTCCTTATTTTTTTTGTATTCGTTATTTTATTTTATTTGCCGCGTCCTCGCGAATGAGAATCAATTGAAAATGTCTTGGTATATACTTTGTGAATTGGTTACAACTACCCCTTCGACGATATAAATACACCCTCTATTACAACTCTATATGAAATTAGATTATTCTTATCGAGGTGGTGCGAAATCGTCGAAAGGGGTGAGTTATTTTACGATTTTTGTAACGTTTATTGGTAAAATTATGTTTGGCTCATTGTCTAATCCCGACACCATCCCGACGGAACGAAGAGGAGGCCGAAACTGGAACGCGACTCGCCCTTTATGAACGAGTTAAATCTGCAATAATCATTTGGGATTTTAAATTAGAAATTCACAACTTCTGGTCTTTTCTGCGAACGAATAAATGGACTTTTTTATTTATTTTATTTAGTTCAGTATCGTTCAAACACGGCCCGACCGAATGTGCTTCTCGAGCTCTTTTCATTTACAATTTTATATACATCGTATTTTATATACATCGTATTTTATATACTAGAACTCTGTTATATTTGTATTTAACCCGAAAAATAAAATTGACGCATTTACTTATCTTAATCACAATTTTTGTGCGATCTATTCAACGAAAAAAAAAATAGTTGTGTAATAAAATTAATTACATCGGTATTGATTGAATAGTAATTTATGAACGGAATAATTAATTATTAAGCGGAATAAACGACCGGCTATTTTTAGGAGATTGTGTAGGTTTGGGAGGAAGTTTTTTTCATGATCCCTCCATGAAAATTCATTGCAAGTATGAATATGCACGTCTCGAATGAGCGAGGTGCTTTTTTCCAGGTAAAGTATTCCATGAAAATTATGCTAAATAGGAATCCTTGCAGTTCATTTAATTACACGGTTTATTGCAGAATCAAAAAAAACGTTCCTCCATAAAAATAACGATAATTTGAAATTATGGTGGACGAACACAACAATCCACCGAATTTATAAAAAGCTGTACAAATTAATTCAAACGATTCCTCGAAGTGCTAGCAGCATCAGGTGAGAATATTCCGTTACTAAGTTGTGTTTGTGTAACGGGCAAAATAGGGGCAGTAAATATTTCCGTCACGTTTCACGATAATATCCAAATACTATCTAGCGTGGGATTTCTGTATGCTCATAATAATCGCGGCGGAGGCAATCGGTCAAATTGAAACGAGGATTCTCTTCTATAACAGAACGCCGGATTTAATTTAATCAACTCGGTGCTTTTCGGGTAGAATAAAAGAAAATTGGCCAGACGAACGGATTTTAGGTAACAATTTTTTCGTCAGCTAAATAGTAGATTTCTTATAAAAGTATTTGACCACCTATCAATCTGCAGATTGCTCTATTTTTAATCGCAACATAGGTTATATAGGCCATGGGTGCGATAAAGACAACTTCCATTAGACACTTACAAAGGAAAAGGAAGGAGTGACATTTGTGTCATTGCAACTTTTCACTTTGACAACTGTCATTTTAATAATATTTCTCTGTTCCACTCATAAAAATGACCATGTTGCAATCGGAATCGTTTTGATGAAGCTATTTAAGGCCATTAAAGTATAAATAGAAATGTCAAATATCTACACATGTCACAAAACTGGCCAAATCTGTCAAACCTGTCACTAGTTTCATTTGTTTAAAATAAACAGATTTTTCACAAGTACCTACGCAAATACTTATGAATGTTAGGAATATTCTCTATTCCTATCCTTATTCGTACATAAGAATGCAGGTAGGAGGTAGCTTGAACTTTTGCCATATTTTTTCGCATTAAAAAACAAAAGTCAAAAAACCTGCGCGTTTTGGCGGAAGGCCCGCCGCCCCCTCTCGCTCGCGCCCCTCTTTCGCCGCTCGCGCCCTCTCTTTCCACCCGATGCTCTCCACTTTTATTAATCACGAAGTTCCGCCGCGGCCGCCTCTGATACCCCGCACGCCGGAGTTGTAACGAAGACTCCGTTTCGAAAACTGGTGGTGCACTCGCGAAAATTCGCCCCGCCGATCGGCAGGTGAGTCGCCCTTTGACCTCTTTCGTTTGGTGGTTTTCCGCTCCGTTCGTTGGCACCCGTGCACCGATTTGACAGGTGACAGGTGCCGGCAAAATGGCGCTATTTTTTTTTATTTATATCATTTTTCGATGTTGTTTATGGAGTTAGTTTCTTTATTCGTTGAGTAGTCGTTGAAAAAAATTGTTTTCTTATTAAATGTTGTTTACCGGTAAGTGCAAAATTGTTTGCGATAATAAATGCAACTCCATTAGTCTCATATGAAGAAAAAAGAGTGATCTCACTCTAACAATTTTATTGTTTATGATTCCTTCATTGTTCAACTCACAGAATTGACCATATTGCAAACAAATTTGCACTTACCCATATATTTATAAGTTAGGTCCAATTGGAGCGTTTGCTCGTCGGTTTTACCGAAGGTTCTTCTTCTTTTTTGTCTCAATTCAAGGAAATGTAAAACGTGCCTGATTTTAATTAGGCCCATCTTCATTATCCTAATAATCTCCCGAAGTGGTGTCGAAAATTCCCTCTCTCGCGGTAATTCAGCCCGAATTTCCCGCCGACGCGTTTTCTTCGGGTATTTGCTCTGATGCCGCGTAAAAAAGCGCATTTACCAGTACATAGGGGTTAAAGTTAAAGGCTGGGAGGTTTCAATGGAAGTTTCGCAAAGAGCAAAGGAATTTTCGGCGTAAATAATAAATTACCTGTTGATTCATCGGTCGGAATTATTAATTTACATAGGGTAGAGTTTCACTTTGGAATTCGACGTTAAATTAAATGGACGGCTCGCTTTAAGAAATTATCTTTTCATCTATGTGCGTATACGAATAATTAATTACTGATTAGGCGTTCGCGAGAACCGCCTCGAGCGGTTTAGGCTCGAAAACAAAGTGGGTAAATAGGAAGAAAGTAGCTCGAAATTATTTTCAAAGTATACAAAATCCTGCAGACGTAGCGCCCTTTTAGTTCGCTTATACGAATCAATTTCGATTGACCTTGAACGTATTACAAGTTATATTCGGATAATACGTCTAATTACAGTACAACGAAGGTGACAGAATATACGCATTAATCCCCTTTTGAATCGTATCGTTTCAACTCATCAAGCCCTATTGAAATCCGCCATTCAATACGGACAATTAACGAAATATTTAACCCTAAAATTACACCTCCGCGCCGATTCGAACTCTATTCGATTCCCGCCCATCCCTTTATCCCGATTTACCCGACCCTCCCGATTTCGCGGTATACATCGGCAACGCTGTTGCAGACGATTCGACCATGCTGCGCATCGCCCTTTTGACGTTGACATTGACGTGGATAAGCGGCGCCCGCGCGGTGACCATCATCGTGGAGCCCGAGGGCCCCATCGGCGACGACGGGTTCACCTTGCAGTGCCACAAGAAGAACTACACTTACATGGTGACCCAGTCGGACGAGAACGGGAAGCAGTGCTGGGATAAGATCTCCGTCAGCGCCTGCTGGGGTCGCTGCGACTCCAACGAGGTAATAATTCCCCATAAAAAAATTGATGTGTGTGGGTGTAAAGGGTCATCTAATTGGGGAAATATTTATGGTTTACAAAACATTTCTATTTGTAAAGGAAAATCGATTATCGGAAGCTGGATAGTAAATACAACAGCGGGGGGCAAGAATGAACATATTTTCTCCATTATTACGATTATTAATAGATTCTAAGTTCAACCGCATCACGTGAATACATAAATATATCCTAAAAATATTCATCTTCCGCCAATTCTTTATTGCAACGTTGCCGCTCGTTCGTTCCGCATATCCGAGGAATTTCGTTTCCAGATATCGGACTGGCGGTTCCCCTACAAGAAGTCCAACCACCCGGTGTGCGTGCACTACGGCAGGACGAAGATGTTCGTGAAGCTGCGGTACTGCGAAGAGGGCGTCGTCGAGGGCACCGACTACTACGAGTACCTGGACGCGAGCGAGTGCAAGTGCCAGGTGTGCTCGTCGACTGACACCAGCTGCGAGGGGGTGCGGTACCGGCCCCACCGGTCGCACCCCTACAACCTGGGGTTCGTCTGAACCGGCGGCGAAGGGATGGATTTTTTTGTTGATTTCATCGCTGTTTGCCTCTCTATTATAGTTGAGACTCGTGTAAATTTTAACGATTTTAACTCTTTGATTTACTCCGATTGAGAAAGTTGTATGTATAGATCATTTAATAAACAGTTAAGCATCAAAAATACGATTTATTTACTCAACTCAACGATAAGAAAATTTTAGAGGGGATTTTTTAGGAGTTTCCGAAAATGAAAACTCGATTTGCCGGCGGAGGAATTACGTGCGTGGAAATTATCCGCCTTAAAAAGCTCGTGTTCGTTTTGTCGTAAATAGAAAAAAGTTTGTCGACAACAAACTTAATATACATGCATGGGGAAAACTGCGGGCGTGAGGCAAGAAGCGGGAGATTAAGTGGTAATCTTCGGTTTATTGATAGAAGGCGTATTCAAAGAGGGTTCTAAACACGCGAATTGCACGTAGAAAATTCAACTTGTTAGGCGCATGGAGTTCGGAAACTTCGCTTAAAATGCGAAATCTTCGATAATAAACGTTTGATCAGCAATTCAGCAACAAGTTTTATATTTTTTTATTCGCCTAGAAATAATATAAGCTAACAGTATATCCTATTAGGTAAGTTTTGTGCTTTTATTTGTTATTTTTTTTAACATAAATTAATTAACAACCAAACAAAGTTATGTTGAGCTGTTGTTTCTAATTTCATAATTAGTAATTAACTGAAGCTTCTTGTTTCTTTGTTGCGGGCTTTGAAATAATTTGTAATTGTTATTTTGCTCGGCTGAAAGTGCATCGAACCGTTTTCGTGCGAAATTTACTTTTATTTTTCGCCTTCAAAAAATTACATCCCACTCATTTGGGTGGGAAAAAAGAAAATTACAAACGTTTTTATTGCATGTTAATAACGCTGCTTTAATACAGGTAAGTGCAAAAAGGTTATTAACATAACAGAGTGGTTTGAGTGAGAAAATTGTCCTTTATATGGGACTGAGAAATTTGCACTTATCTGTATATGAATAGGTTTCAATATGCCTACTTAAATTAATAGCGCAAAGAAAGGTGATTCACCTTGGCATTTAATATTTAATTTATTTCTAATACCTGCATTTTACGATAATACGTGCTTAAAATTTTACGGAACCTTCCCAGGCAATCAAATTTTGTTTGGTTTAGATATAGTATTATATATCTATTAATTTTCATGAAATTGCGTCACGTGAAGTTGTAAGGGAATTTTCCATTACGCTTTGGAATATCCCAAAGCAAAATAAGGTACTACGCAGAATTAAAATTAACGCATTAAAAACATTAATTTTCTGATTTAATCACGACGGCTCGTCCAGTAAACCCCTATCGTATTCTTCATACATGGCATTCCACTTTCAATTACCATTCAAAGTTAAATGAAGACGAAATGCTTTCAGGATTTTTCGCTACCTATGCACCACCTACTGACCCATTTTCATTTTTACCTACCTAATTAATCTACGAATTTTAATGCTAATTTATGGTAGATATGTAAAAAAAAGTTTATAAAATTTCAGAGTGAAATTCCAGCCCAAACCCTCCAAAAAATTATTGAACTTGGAATTTTGAATAAACCTATTCATTTGGCAACATTGCCAGCCTGTAAGTGGCTGGACTCGGGCGCAGATTTTAAATATTATTTTCCTTTGAATACCCTTTTTCCCGAAAAGAATGATTAGTTAAGAAAATTATTGTTTTCTCAGAAAATTGCACACCATTATTAACCATTTCTATATTATTCAAAATTACCATTTTAATTCGATTACGAAAACTAATTGAAATACGTGAGGTAACAGATAATTAAAACAAAAAACGCCTCGTTCGTAAATAATGCGAACAATTAAAAACTTCATGGAAAACCATTAACATATACCCGGAAAGCGCATGTTAAAGTGCAGTTACTCATTATTTAAATAATTCCCTTCGAGAATTTTTCCCCGAACTACCACGGCGCTTTTCATGCGGAAAGTTAATCTGTTTAATTTATTATAATAATTACGCCGCGAACGTTCGCCCGTTATCCGAACAACTTCCTTTCGACTAAATAAAAACAAACAATCCGGCCAGTGGAGAAGATAGCCGACGCGCAGCGTTACTCTAATTAATTTTCGCCGACCGATTTTCCCGGCGGGGAAAAGTCGCCGATTCGCCGGGGCGCGGAGCCCGATATAAAAATAAACGAACCGTTTTCACAGCGCAAACATTACGCTCGGAACAGGTATTAACACCGATAACACCTGTAGCTCCATCGGAGAGGACCGTGATACTTTCGAAAATCGCAAGGACGTGGCTCCGCATCCATTAACATCCCATTAGAGGTAAACCGGGAAACAGGGGCGCCCGAAAAAACCCCCGAAGAATAACTATCGCGAGTATTACTCACTCGATATCGGTCTTTTGCTTTGTTAGTTTACAGTCGTTGGGGGATTTACCGAGCAGTGGAGATGTTGAGCGTAGGAATTAATGAGCGACGATGAGATTTAATGTTATAATATGTACTTCCCACGTAGGGATTCGCTAAAAGAGTGAGTAGTATTGTGTACAATTTGGTCATTTATTTGGTGTTTATGAACAATGGACATTTAACATCCTCCATTAAGCGAAGAGTTTGAAATGAATGGGGTGGTATAAATTTAGAGCGGAAACAAAGATGATAGTTAGAAAAATTCCTTTTGATATTCAAATGTATTGAGTAAATATTCAATGAATGCACAATAAAAGAATTACTCTTTTTATTTAAACTCTTCCTCCCTCGCGAACAGAGTTTACCTTCAAGCGCTCGATTCAGATTTAATTGCTCAACGGAATTGTTTTGTTTAGTTCGAAACGAATCGTTGCACATTTTCCACGGAACCGCCTTTAGTACCGCGATTATTTTTATTGCAATATTATTTTTTAAACAACAAATCCCTCGCCCACGGCCATTTCGGCGCGCAGTCATCGGGAGTAATTTATGCACGAAGCACTTCGTTTTTGTGCGGTCGTGTTTTACGTTCAATTTCCAATATTTGATGATACATTTTTGGAATAATTGTGTGTACAATCGTTAATTTTTTTGCCGTCGATTTTATCCCACCAATAATTCCGAACGATCGAGATTTTAATTACACATCCATTTGTATAAATTTATTCACATCTATCGCAAGACATTGTGTTCTTTACCAAGCTTGTTGTATTGTAAACAGCTCATAATTTTTATCGGATCGTTAGGTTCCAGTGGAAATTTTATTTTTGAGGGGGTTTGCGTGGATGTTCGAAAAATTGCTTTTAATTATCACCCTACCTCGTACAATTAAAACCTAATTATTCACCTTCGGCGTAACGGGCTGAATGGATGAGTAATGATTATCCAGGTTATATTCATAAAAAAAATAAAACCAGCTGGGGATAATTTCATTTTTTTAACAAAAGCTACGCACTTGTGTTCCTGCTTGGATTTAATTCGAATTTAACGTATAAGACTCTATTGTGTACCTTTAAAGGAGTTTAAACTCCTGAAAGTCGGCTATTCTGTGCCGTAATAAAGAGAGGAAAATTCTGTTGGGGTGAATTTAATTTCTATAACATGTAATCAATTAATTGGATGACGAATGCAATCTAAATAAGGAAAATGGAATGTTTTGTTGCCTGATTAATATTCCGATTGTGACGAAATAACTCTATTATGAAAGCACTTTTTCCCGGTAATACCTGTCGGATTTCCTAAGGGATATTTTCCATGTCACGCTCCTACTCATCAGTATGCCATTTTTGTTATTAGATATACCTACCAACCTCACTACAAACATTCAACATTTCTATTAAATTAACATTATTAACAAATCTCCCTAATTATTCCTTTGTCCCAAAAAAGAAAAACCAGTACTCGGGTGAATGTACGAATGAAACGCACGCATTTTTATAGGAAACCAAATTTAATGAACATAATTTATACAATCAGTCAGTCAGTCAGTACAATATATACATGCAGCAGTTAATAATGTACATAACATTTACAATATGCTTATCTATTGATCCAATAAACCGGGTATAATGTACACTCAAAGAAACGCGTCTGACATCGGCGACGCCGCGGCGCCGCGACGGCTCAATCCTTCTTGCAGTGGTAGCAGGAACAGGTGACGGCCGATTTGAAGGTGAGGGTGCGCAGCCCGTCGACGCACAGCACCCGCGCCGACACGTTCTCCGTCTCCATGATGTTGCAGCACTGCCCTATCGAGGTGATGGGCTGGCTGGGCGTCGTCTTGGGCAGCGACGGCACTGCCCAGCTCTCGCAGTAGCCCCGGCAGGCGTTCGTCGTCATGTGGAACTCCACGCAGTTCGGGATGCTGATCTTCCTCGTGTGACCTCCGAAAAATATACCAATACCTTCGTTAATTACCTGCGTCTACCTTACGCAATGTCGCTTGACGGTTGGAAATTGTGTTAGGTGTGCAAAAGGGGAAGAGATATGAACGAAGTTAAAGAAGGGTGAATGTTTCGAAGGTACAAATTTCCTGTAGAAATCTATTCGGTTCGATAAATGCGCTTAACGTATCTCTAAAATATTCCAACTGCCAAGCTACATTGGATGAGGTATAATTTCTATAACTACGAGTAGATTTTGTAATACCTGCAAATTTTGGATGCGAACTTTTGTTGTGTAATAAAAAATAAATAAAATACACGTTTTGCTTCGATTCAAGGGAAACCGAATTCTACGCAGTTTATTCCAACTGCATATATTTACCTAGTTGTTTTCTGATGGTTTTTGTTGAAAAATCAAAATCGAATTAGAGGCTCTACGAGTAAACACGAACGTAATTTGCGAACTTTTCTCGCGTATATATCGAAGGAGAACCGACATCGACGGGTGGCTAAATATTTGCATAATATACCGGGCGTCGCGTTAATTGCGCCCGGATTGTGAGCATTTCGAAAAATCCATTTCAGGAGTCTTATGTATAATTCTATTTGCAGGCGGGTAAGATCCGCGAAATTTTCGTTAACTTTTCACGGAGCCCTTGCCCTTTGAATGAACGTACTTAAGAAATCGAGTTGCGAAACTTCTCGTCGCTGCCGTCTATTAAAAATTGATCCCCAAACAAGCTATATACAGAAAAAGAATGAGTTAAATAATTTGCCAGCTTTTTAATGGTACTCTGCTCATTTCTCTCTGCTAGTTTCTGTTCAATTTATGGCGGAGGAATAGCTAATTCGTACGCCAAATTTTAAACTTGCACCAACAATACCATGCATGATGTCAGTTAAGAAGTTTACGAGTAGTAGGTATAGAAATTTTCACAATAAACAGATTTTATCTTCGCCGGTTTTCGGTTAAGCATTAAATGAATGACGAACTTTGCTAATTTCCTAGCACTTTTCAAGTTTTATAATATGTCCCTCCCACCCACTTATACAGCGAAGTTTCCGCACTATTTAGAACATGCTCGGGATGTAAACGAACCGCTTACTACTTAATACTTTAAGGCTTTAAATTTCCTTTCGTGAAATTGATTAAGTTTCGCATTTGATTAAATATCGAATGTAAATTAATTTTGTCTGTAATTGTTTGGGAGAATGGGTCTCACTTACACACGAAGGCTTCGAGCGTGAGATAATTTTTAGATGGGTAAAGGAGGAAGAAAATTTTTGTAAAACTCACCGACTTTATGGCATCCCGGAGCCTGCCAGACCTCGCTGGCCGATGCTTCATTTAGGATAAAATCGCTCGAAGAAGACACGGCGACGAACAGAAACCAAATGGCCAGCATACTGCAAAACAAATTTCGAAAATAATAGAAAATATATGAAGGCAAGCGAGCTTTAATTAACAGCTAGGTATTGCAGAACTCTTGGTGGTATTTTAAAGTTAGAAACGAGCTTATTGAATCGTTTAAAAAGCTACTAAAAATAGTTAGAAATGAGCTTTTTGAATCGTTTAAAAAAACTACTATTAATTGTTAGAAATAAGCTTTTTGAATCGTTTAAAAAACTACTAAAAATAGTTAGAAATAAGCTTTTTAAATCGTTTAAAAAACTACTAAAAATAATTAGAAATGAGATTTTCAAATCAAAAATAAAAAGCTAACAAGAATAGTTGATCTTTGAAGAAAATTGAGCTTTTAAAAACGGCATAGAAAACTACTAAAAACAGTTAGAAATGAGCTTTTTAAATCAAATAAAAAAACCACTAAAAATATTAAATAAACTTTTACTTTCAAAATTATTCTTTTAGCAATAAATAGGTAGACAAAAATGCATTTATTAAACAAACAATAATTGAACTATTTTTTTATATTTAATATAAGCTCAAAAATTTTTTGAGTTGATTTTTGAACTTATAATTCGAAATAACTCGCATGCAAAACACCGAAAATTCATTAAGAGAAACTCACCTGGCCTGGAAGCTGTAACTCACGGCGCGGCGCAACTTCGAATGAGGAGTTGGACAAACACTTAAAATACTTTCTATCTTCTTCTCGGGCGCATTCCCCACCATCCCGTTTCCCGTTTTTAGTTCGTTTTGCCGCCCCCGATGTGACCCGTTTCAATGCATTCTATGCCGCCGCTATTTTTTTCCTCTCTCTTTCTGCGAATTTACGTGGGTGATTAATAAATGCGTTCGTAAAAATCTAACGGTGCGTACACGCCATCTTCCACGAATCTGGAAGATTATGGAAACGGAATGAGATGGTTATTACGGCGCCTGAGAGGTGCCGATTCGCGCCGTTGATTTTCATCGGGTTTTTATGCACTCGTCGAATTAAATTCTGTTTTTTACGACGAATAAAAGACTGTTTAACAGTACATTACATAATCTCGAAGAAACGAATTGTATTTAAGGGGTTACAGCCGATTTAAAATGTATTTTGCGCCTGAAGTTAGGCAACCCGAATGACAGTTCGATTTTTTTGTATTCTGTAGTTTGTGGGGTTTAAAATTAAGTACCTGATGAAGTACTGAAGGAGTTTGTGTAAATTACTAGGTGGATGTATAATTAAATTCAAACATTAATAAAAAATAGTGAAAATGTTTTAAACGAACGGCACTGATATGACAATTGACAGATTCAAATAAGTTAAAAAAGGAAAATATTTAAAATATTGCCGTCTTTGTTGTTTTGGAACTTATTTAGCAACCTAATTTAACAAAACTATTTATAACTAACTGATAACACACAATAAATAATATACTTATTATCACAATTTCAGGAAATTCAGTCATATTTTCACTTTTATCATCTACGCAGCGGCGAATATAATTTTCCACAAACATCTAATCCAATAAAAAAGAAGATCAGCTGTTTTTGACAGAAGCCGTTTTTGACGAACATTTGTTGAATGGAAAGCCCAAATAAACAATAAAGCCCCGACCAAACAAACCGACAAACGCCAAAGGTAAATTAACTTGATAGTTGCAGGAGTCGAAAATGATCCAAGTGGCGGAGTTGGAGGAAGACTTCACCGAAGAATTCAAGGGTGGCACCCTCAGGATAAATCCGAACGCGAAAACCGATACGCCCAAATCCGCGAGCCCTGCCTTCGATAGAAGCGAGAAAAACCCGGAAGGAAACAATCAGAGCAACAGTTGCCATTGGAGGAACACCTTCATGGCGCCGCTATCATCCATTCCAAATAAAAGTGAGTAACGAGCGTTTTTAATTACTCTCCACTCGATAAGATATAATTAATTATTGGTACCTATTTTGTTATTTATTTACGTTGTTTGTGTAGTTATTTAGCCCGTACGGAAAATGTGATTCCCTCAAATATTCGGAGTGCTCATGTCTATATATACAGGGTTCTACTGTCCACGAATAAGTGAAATTTGTATGTACTAGAAAATTTTCTTATTGTATAATAACTGATTTGTTGCTAACGCTGAATTTAATAGTACAAGATGATTTTTTATAGCAAAAAAACACCGCGACTTTATAGTTAAAATAAACAGTAAAATATTCGTGAAAAATCACCTTGTACACGGAATTATCTTTCACATATTTTAAAGCCGCGTGCATTTAATATTAGACCGAATAAATTACTTACATTCGACAATTTTTTTACAAAAGATAACGTATTGAAAATTGCTTCGCTTTAGTTCTAGTTGAGCAATAGACTGGAAAGTTTAATGAAAACATCTCACGAAAGACACTAGCATTAGCACTTCTAGGTAATTAAATAAACTTGATCAATTAAAGGGGGTTCAATATACTCCATTCAAATGTATATATCTTGACTTTAATATTACTGTATCCCTTCTAATTTTTGCTCACGTACTAAATTGTTTACTATTTTTATTCGAATCTCATATAAATCACCATTTGTTTCGATCAATTCATACGAATCCCTTTCGACATATTGCTTTCGTGCCTATTTGTTAGTTTCGCATGTTAAAACACAAATTAGTGGCGTTAAAGGGCCTTTGTTCCTGTAGAACCGTAGAGCTAAAGGCACATTTGTTATTATGTATGGCTTCAAAACTAAACAAATTTAATTACCTCGTAAACCGAATAAAAACGAATAAAAAAAACATGTTTATCATACTCTGTTTTTAAGAGGCTACTTTAGTTGTTTGATGATATTAGAGAGTTGAATAATAGGCGTTAAGCACTGTAAATACAAACGAGACAATTCCCAAGCTTCATTAAATATTTTAACGATTTAATTTGTCTCTTTCGTACTTATCAGTGCAATCGGAAACAGCCCGAATTCACCCGGTGAATTCCCGCGCGTTTCGAAGCCCATTTTCTTCTAATCCGTCCGTAGTTACCGAGACCATATGGAGTTCGAAGGGCGGCAAAGAGGAGCCGGCGACGGCGCAGACGGCGCCGCCCGCCGCCGCGGCCTCCAACGAGAAGAGCCTCCAGCCCGCCGTCAGCGTCAGGGAGGACCCGAATAATTTCTTCACGTTTCGCGACGGGGTGGTCGAGAGGGCGGTGAGGGAGTGCACCGCTCACCTGTTGGACGAGAGCGAGGGGCCCGTCTACGCTTCGTTTCTGCTCACCCTGTACGTATATACAGGGTGTTGAATGTCGATACTTCAGGATGTGAATATTTGGATGGTTTTAAGAAGAAAAGTTTATATTTATATATGTCCTAAACCTCTTAGTTTTCGAGCTACAGGGTGTTACAGTTTTAGAAAGAAAAATATTCACATCCTGAAGTATCGGCACTCAATTAATTAACACCCTGTAAGTAGAGCCCTTTGACTATAAATTTCTGTTTTTTTTTCTCTAGGATAAATCATTGGGATACAGACAAAGAGCGTTTGATAATGTTAACGGCGAAAAATCTGATACTAGTTAAGTATGATTTCATTGCGTTGAGGCGTTTAGGTTGCAGAAAATTTCAATATAGCGATATAGAAGGGATCGTTATTGGTAATTTAGTGTATCCTAATGGGTCGCTCATACCGTAAGTGTCTAATTATTATTTAATTATATTATGCCGAGTTTGTTTTAGAATAGTTTATTAAAGTTATGAATTAATACATGAATCTTAAAGTAGTTGTAATATAATTAAAAAAATTGATCTAATTTAAATTTAATGGATAAATAGCATGCATGAAAGAATTAACTACCCCTCCTGATTAGTTTCCCTGGTTTATAAACTCGTTTTATTGTTTGTATTTACGCAGAAAAATGAATGGATTTGCTGATGGAATATCCAGCTTATTGGAAAATTGTTTATTCAAAAGAATGCCTAAAAACGACAATCAGGCAGATATTGAAAACCTTAATCAAAATAGGTATAATTATGTTCAATAAGGAGTTTTTTGTTACGCCGTATCCTTATTTTCGAAACATTTTCTGTAAAAATAAACGGTGCAATTTTGTAATTGTTCATCGCGGATTTATGTAAATAATTATTGCTTCTTTGGTTTTTACAAAATTGCGCTATAGAGCTATTTTTTTTGTTCCAATCTATGATTACACTGATCTAATGCATGGACCGCAAATGAGTGTTTTATGTTTCAAATTAACGTATAATCTGAGCCGTCTTGTTGTGCACATTTCCATGTTTGCTTCGCACAACACGCTTCTAATAAAAATAAAAACAACCGAATTTTGCAGGGACAGAAACATGAAGGGCATCCGACTGTTGCTCAAGCAAGACAAGCCGGACAGTTTCGTATCGAAGTGGAACCCCTTCAACAACGAAGTGCCATTTTTGACGTTCACCTTCCACCCTCTCTATTTCCACAAAGGTAATTCAATCGCTCGACTACCTCGATGTTTCCTAACGTGAAGCTTTCGGCCATTTTGTCTTCGGTCTCTTGGTAATCGGTTTTGAATTGCGGGTGTTATTCGCAGATTGTACAGATGAGAGGATCCGCAACGTGTACAGCCTGGACTTGTTCGTCGAGCACGTGTGCCTGTCCGTGCAGAAATGGAAGGAGAACAGCGTTATCCTGCAGCACAACATCCTGCTGGAGAACTACGTGGGCGTGGGGTCCGTGATACACAACAGGAACTCGCTGGGGTTCTTCAAGGTGCGAGGCAAGTTCAGCTTCTAGGGCGTCTTATCGAATTTAAAATGGAAGTAATCTCGATGTGATATGCGCATTAATTTTAGCGTCAATTAATGCTTATGTAAAAGATATATGGCGTAAATGGTATTGGGTAAGTTTTTCCGCTTAAAAATTTGTGCTAAAGATTTTCGGGGATATTTTTTACATGTCTATTGAATATAAATGTATGTATACATGTTAGGTGTACAGATCGGTTCTTTAACGGGTCCATATTTTGAGTAATATGCCGGAATACTGGGATTTTCTTATGAGGAAACGATGGTGAACTGACCCTTGTCCAAAGAGTTGGTACTTAGTGAATTAGCTAAACCAAAATCTATAAAATATATTATCGAGTAAATCTGTTTCGATGTCATAAGAGAACTTAAATGTGGTAATAATATTTATCTTAAATATAAATCATTTAGTAATTAACGATGACAATGTGGAATTCTAACGATGTGCAGTAACTAATATTGCTAAAAATAGCATAATTCTTACAACAAATAATTATCTTAATATCACATCATTCCAGTACATATCTATACTACTTAACTTAATCTTATCGAATGAAAAAACAGCGAAAATTAGTTGCATTATTTTTCTTAAACTAAAACTATCGCTAAAATTAAAACCGTACAATTCCACAGGGAAAATAAAACAAATCATCGTATTTTGATATTAATGTTTCAACGCTAGCGTAACTTCGAATTGAAACGAATTTTCTTACTATACAGGGTGTTTTTTAATAGAATACTATAAGACTGGACGATTCTTGGGCCAATTTTAAGAAAAAAACTTCATATGAACCTATGATCTTAAAATGGGTCCAAGAATCGTCCAGTCTTAGTATGTTATTAAAAAACACCCTGTATATTTATATTTGTATTGAAGTCTTATGATCTGATGTGAAAGTATGTATTTTTTCAATAACTTGTAATGATTTATAAGAAACTTATTCTGCTAGTTTTAATCTTTCCGACCAATAATTATCATTAATAATATCGAACTTACTTTTTACATATCACTATTTTTAATACTGTTAAATTACTTGGCGTATTTTGAAGTATTTTTTTAAAGGTTATATTTAAATAATGTACGCCCGGTGAATTAATTACACCTCGTTTTTTTGTTGTTGGTTTTTTGCACTTAAATGGTCAATGTGAAATATAAAGAAATGTATTGCACGTTTACGTTTGCTTGTTACCTACTTCCGTGTGTAAATGTTCTCATTATTTTGGCCTAAAATCAATATATCTCTGTTGACTATACTTATTTTATTTAAACTTAATGAAATTCCCTACATGAAATGTTACAAATCATTCCAGTACAAATGTCTTAAAACATCTGGATCGTCTTGGCTCTCCTCTTGGGATATTAACGAAGATTTAGGACATTTGGGTCTCGTGAATCGCTGGAGTTTTTGAAAATTCGATTGGAACATGAGTTTCAAATCAAACTCCTCGAGATCGCTGGGATCCAAATGACTTATCACTTCTTCTTCTATCTGTTTAAATATCATCGCCTCGTCGATTGGATCGTTATCCTTTGCTTCCTCCAAACTGCGGTGCATGTAACTCCAAGTTTCTTTGCTCAAGATGTTCAATTCTTTGATCCCCGTACTAAGCTCGTTCCATGTTTGCAAATTCAAACTGGCGTTGTAGACCATGTTATCGATTTTTTGATTGTAATATTCCTGCATGAGCGATAGAGGCAGCCTCCCGCATTTCTGGTTCATTTTGATGCGAGTGATGTCTTTCAAAACGTTACTCGGCACTTGCAGGATGTTTAGGAATTTTTTAGTGTTGTTAACAAAATCCTCTTCTCGTTTGCTGAGGTTTGAATTCATCTGGTTATTTACGATATTCAGGACTTCCATGGTACTAGTGGAGGTTGGTTTTAGATTCATATTTGGGATAATTTGTGAACTAAGAATCAATGGTTTGTCAGATTCTTTTTTAAAATCTGTATCATTCTTTTCTTTGATAGTTTGAAAGAATGTTGTTGTTCCTTGGATAATTGGGAGTTCTTGAGAACTGTTAACAGCTTCTTCATTAATAATATGTACATTGTGGTTTTGATAGCTAATAATAGCTTGGTTATTTGAATTATCCGGTTCTTCAGCGGTATGAAATAAAGTTGATGGCCTTTCGATAGATTGAATTCTTTGAGTATCATCAGCAAATATTTGTTCCGAATCATTGTTGTAATTTATCTGTTTGTTTAAATTATCCATTTCTTCGATAGCGTGGGGTACGCTCGGTTCTTCAGTTAAAGGAAATTCTAAATTAGATAATTTCAGATTGGCTTCTTGGGTTAAAAACAAGTCTGGACTTAAATTGTTAATATCCAGCACGATGTATTTGGTACTGGACTGGTTCGAGTTTGTGACGTAGTACTGATTTGACAACATATCGGTTTTGAAAGAGACGAAGTTACTGTTTGCAGGAGTCGTTGGAAATAGCATATTTACATTTTCGGCTTGAGAAATGTAAGAATTGGGAATCGACAAATCGATAATTTCGACCGGATTATTCTCGTTACAAAATGTCTCGTTGGTGACTTCTGAATGTGTTATTAGCGAATTCATACAATCGTTCCGCTCATTAATGGTATCGTGTTGAATATTTGAGGATTCGCATGGACGATTGTTCACTGATGTGGCTTGCAATAATAAATTACTTAAATACGAGTATATCTTTTTTCTCATACTTTCCTGCTTTTTATTCACTTTCAATGTATGTATTAGATTCATATGCTCTAAAATATCAGAACCGTTCGTTATCTCTGACTGTTCAATTTGTTCTTTAATTTTCTTCCAAACATCTTCTAAGCTCTCGATACTTGATCTTTTTCTTTTAATATTCGAACAATCGTTTTTAAGGGATTTTCTACGTTCTATCAACGAGCAATAGGTATGCTCGGATGCATTATCTTCACAACCGGACATGTTTTAATACTAATTTTGTACTTATAAAATTATAATTCGACTTGTACGAATGTAAAACGTTAATTCAAATTTGAATTACTTGTAAAATGTCATATTTTAAATCTAGTAGGTTATATATGTCACCTGTCTTCTTCTTTTTCGTATAATTTGACATTATATTGTGTTGACTGCAATTTAAGTAGAAGTCTACATTTAACTATTATGTCATTCAAATATGTCAAATCTGTCAAACGATTAGAAAATAAACAAAGTTTTTATTTATTTCGTTTAATTTGTTTACAAAATGTAATTATTATGGTTCATTTTTATTTGAGAGTTTCGGTTTTTTTATTAGGCGTGCTAATAGGTATATTCTTAGCGAAATACCCCATAAATGTAGTTAATAATAATGAAAATGTTTCAACAAATCCGTCCTACGATAAGTGGTTACTAGAGAATAAAATTAAAAGAAACAATGTGATATGGGATAGATTGCGTTATGGCGAAAACGTAAAGTCTGTGATAGAGTCCGATTTCCTTTTTAAAAAAGTGCCGGTAACCTGTTTGATCATCTTGAAAAACTACAAAAATGAAGAGCCTATTCGTAACACTTGGGCAAAGGGTTGCAACGAATTAAAATTCATTAAAATTCCCCAAACTCGATCGGCTCCGTTTAAAAGCAGACAGGAGAGATCGTCATGGATGTTACTGTGCAATCAACTTCAAGATTTGAGTATCACCGATTGGGTTTTCATAGTGAATGATTATAGCTTTGTTATTATGGAAAATCTGAGGTATTATGTAGCCCCGCTTGACCCGAATGATAAGCACTATTTGGGACATGCAGTTGAGTTTTGGACAACACAATTCAATTCGAAGAACGGTGGAATTTTACTTAGCCGAGGTTCTATAGAAGTTATTAAAAGTCGTACTACTAAAGCGAATTGTTCTTCGATCTCTTATTTGAATCGAGAGGATTTTTATCTAGGTGACTTAAGATATTTAATTAAGTCGTTAATTATAGTAATAAGTAATTATTTTTTAGGGAAAACAATGGCAACACTGGGCATATCACCCAACGATACTAGGGATAACACCGGATTATCGAGATTTCTTCCGTTTAATTTAAATTCTTTGCTTTTCAACAATGAAAATCATTTGTATAAAAATGCGTTTCCATTTAAGTGCTGCAGCAAAAACTCGATTACTTTTCAGGTAAATAATTTACTGGATTTTAATACAGTATTTTACAAATTTTATTTCAGGCTCTAGACGGCGATAAAATGTATTTGTATTATTACCTGCTTTATACAATGCAAGTATTCCATTATGGACAATACGGAAACAAACCTAATTCGCAAGATCGTGATGATGAGGTATTATTAATTTTAAAATAATATAATTTATATTTCATAAATTTTGTATTTTAGATATGGAAACGATTTTTGAGAGAACGAAATATTTTCAACGACAACATATCTAGTGAAGAATACTTCAGAGTTTGGGTGAAATATATTGACAATCCTTCTACGTTTGCTGCAAAGTTGCAGGAAGAATTATCGAATAACATTGAGCTATAAATGGTTTACTTATAGGTATTATTTATTTTTTTATACGGTTACAGGTTTAATATTTTTGTATTAAAGAATTTACTGAAAAATACACTTCCAGTTCCCATTATTTCTAATATATTGTTTTTAAATGAGTACCAGTAGTTTAGTGACTGTTAAATGTTTATGATGAAGGCCATATTTCTTTTTTAAAACAGAAGTATGACATAACCTAATTCGTTAACTTTTTAAAAATAGTAAATAGTAGTTTTCAATTCATTAAAATGACCGATGAACCTAAAGAAAAGGTAAAAATATTTAGAAACTCAATATAATTTAATAATAATTCTCGTTTTTTTCAGTCTCTCGTTATTTTCGGTAGAGACGTAGGCAAAATCCCTTGTTTTCGAAATAGCATGTTTTACGGAATAACAGGAGGCCTGTTTTCCGGTTTAGTGAGGTTCATGTTTACCAGTCACCCGCAGAAATCCTCGAACTTTGCCGTTCTATCATTCTCCTTCATTACATTAGGATATTGGGTACATTGTAGATACGAGTATTCGAAGTTGAAGTTTGAAACCATGAGGCTCCAGGAGTTGCTAAGAAGGAACACTTTACTCGAAGGAACCCAAGCAGACGTCCAAATAGAGGAAAAATTTGGAACCAAACCTGCCGATGCATAAGTATACATTTGATTTTATTTATAGTAAAAATAATGTGTAAGTAGGAATAATAAGTTATTGTTATCGATTTGTTCTTCGCATATAGACCATTTGCCCAATTCTTATTTTGCCTGTAGTAATATAAGGAATAAGGGAGATAATATAAGGAAAGTCTTAAAGTAGTAATTATAAAATTTTTATTATACTTTATATGTAATATCAACATTTACCAAATAGCATTAATTATAATGGAGACTTAAGTATATTCAGATAAACGAAATAAAAGAAAACAATGTATATACACAACAGTCAAATTCAACAGAATATTAGGAGAATTACTTAAAATACTGAAAAATAAAGCAGATTAAGTTATCAAACTAAATACAATAGAATATATGTCTTAATTTTAATAATCGGCATTTAATTAGAGATACAAGTGCTTTAAAATTCGCAACGATTCTGTCAAAAATGCCTTTCCTTAAATTACCAACTATTCCGATCTAAAAAATATCTTAACATTCTTATATTACTTGCACATTATAAATACGAGTATATTCAATTTACTTGTGTGATAAGCAACCTTGCCAAAGCAAACCGCCGCAGGATATGCAAATAATTATATAAATAATCACAAATATCACAATACCGATAAATACGTAAAGCTTAATGTTTTTCCAAAACAACGAACGGGCCAGGTTTCTGCTAGTAGTTCTAAACGTCATTGACTAGAATAGAAAAATATCATTAACAATTAAGGAGATAAGAAATTTACAAATTCGTATTTACTCACCCCATTATTTAAGTTATCTGCTTTATTAACGAGAAGTTCTAGTCTTTCACCTCTCATTGCAACATTATCTGCAATTCAAATTACCAATTATTTACTCAAATAAATGCAACAATTAAAATAATCATTATGATTAGTTTATTTTTAGAAAATAGCCATGTCAATGTTCTATGTAATTGTTGTTTTTCTTTTATTTTTTCCCTGCTCGGATAAACGAGAAACTACGCTGAAAGAATTCACTTATCTCTAAAAGAATTGCGATATAATTTTATTGTTGAAAACGGCAAACTGTTTCGATAATACCTAGAGAGCCTCGAAAATTACTCACCAATATTTTTAACCATAATATTCTTTAACTCGTCTAATTCGCTGTGGACTCTCGATATCGTATCGAGATCGTGAGATTCTGAGTAATGCTTCATTTCCGTGGCTAATATCGTCGAAAACTCGGAATTCATCGCGTAGGCGATGGCCGTATCGACGCTAGATCCATAAGTAGACTGGAATCTCCTCTTGATTTCGTTGAGGAATAAAAACGCTCGACTTCTCTCGAACTCCTAATGAATCGATCGAATCTTTAAGAACTTTTCATCGATTACGAATCGATACTTACATCGTCCGTTATGCACATGTAAAGGATGCGATTTTCTAAAACGTAGTGAAACAGGTAGTTCCCGTGGGAGTAGGTGAGTTTGTCATTGTGCGGCGGAATCTTCGCTATGATCTGTTCGGTGACCTCCCCGAAATTTCCAGCGCATGTTGCGTATTTAACCAGAACGGTGCTGCCTCGACAGATAACGCTATACAGTATAGGCATCTGAAAACAATGAGTCACTTGATTGTAACGTTATTGTAAAAATGCGTTTTAACATTACCTCTCGAAACAATGATTAACTGATAAATATTGCGGCGAACGAATCAAGGTTGTAAGGAAGGGCACGCTGTTAAATTGGAACTATTCCTTTTGTTGGTTTGTAAGAAGTTTATTGCGAAGGTGTATTTTCTTCAACATTCACGTAAACAATTTTCTAACAACACTAACAAAAGACAATAACAAATCGCAAATTTTGTCACTTCACTCACTGTCGATGTCGTGTCAAAATAAGTAAATAAACTGCGTTCGTTTGTTTTCTTCTTCTGAAAATATTGGCCTCAGTTGTGAAGACTATTAGGTCAGTTCGTTGACTCAATTTGACAGCTAGTATTACCAATATTAAATAAAATAAAACACTAGAATTTAAATTTTACTAAAACGAAATACGCGTTTTCCAATCTAGATTTCTTTATTGTGATCTATCGGCTTGTAAGGAAACTAACAAAAAATCGATAACGTTTATTAATACATATTTTACGTCCACTGGCACATACCAGTCTTATAAAATACAACAAGATATTAATATTTCTTCCTTGGGATTAATGGTTCCTTGGTACAGTAAAACTTTAGAAACCTTATACAGAGTCAGTCTCTAATTCACAAATAAGCTATTATATACATATAAAATGTCTTCATTACATCCCCGCAGTAAATATTATAGATTTCAACTACAACTAGACATCACAATATTAAAAGAAATCATCTCCAGATCCATCAGACAATACTTTACAACTATATAGTATAGGAATATAATCAACATGTCTCTGCATGCTTTAGGAATATCTAACAATTTTAAAACCGTGAAAGAATAATTAATGAACAGTATAATAAAATATCGCAACATAAAACATAATTCTGTCTAAATGCGCTCGAATGTAGTGCAATCTCAAAATTACATAGACATGTTGAGACATGTAAAGCACCTACAAACACCAATAAATTATATTCAGAGGGTGGAATTTCTAGACATCTGCAAATAATCACTTGGGCACAAATTTGAGGTAAATAAATACGTCTATTAAAATATAAAACATTCGTCAAAACAGTAAAATAACTTATGAGCAAAATTCTCTCAGTCTGCTATAAAACCTACAGATAAATCTCGTTTCCTAACCGGTGCCTTACATTCAATTACAACTATATTTTAAACAGTTAAATATATTTTTTGGTAACTGAGCAAGAATATAGATCACAAAATGTCAAAGGACTAAAAAAAATCAGTAAAATAGTTAGATCATTACGCAATAACAAGCGGTTCGTCATCGGAGAATCCTCGAATGTGAGGACTGTCGTCCTCTTCCAAATTATTGTCATCGAATGTGGCAGCTTCAGACCGCGTATTGTAATGGGAATTAGTAAAGCGCGTAAAGCTACTCTGGAGTTTCTTGTTCCTAATGATGAAGAAGACGATTACGCCAATCAGCGCTAGCAGAACGATAATACTGGGCACGACGATCACGGTCATGTTAGGCGGAGCCTCGGCGTTCAAATTCTCCTTGCTGACCCGCTCCGACGTCTGCGTTATCAAACCCTTGTACGTTCTTATTCTCACAGCGAACGTGTACGTGTTCGATGAGTAGTTCGTGTAAACGAACGGCGGCTTATCTATCACGTAAATCTCGGCGGTGGATTCGTTTAACGAATTCCCGTGTTGCACTAATACTTCGTACTTGAACTTGCCGACGTTCGACGGTAGGTTCGAGTCCTTCCAGGACACCACGTAGCTGCCGTTTTGCTCCGAAGTTACCTACAAAAATTGCTATTATAAAATCTACATTGCCGTCAAAGCGTATACAACATACCTTGATTTCAACCGGAGGGGAAATCGGAGGTGCGTGGTACACTTTCGGTTTGGAATAAATCATTCCGGGTACTTTTGTAGCTATTTTGACTTCGTACACTCCTCCGTACAGCACGTTGAACACGTAACTGGTCGGTTTGGATCCGTTGACCTCGCGATGGTACGTTAGACTCGTGCATTTTTCAGTAATTTGAATCTGCAAAACGAGAATTAATCGAATAGAAAAATAAATTACGCAGAGGGAGCTTACGATGTAGGATTCAGGAGGCGTCGAGGGACACGGTGGGGACCAGCGTATTCGCATCTTGAGAGGATCCCCGTCGGCGACGTCCACTTCGATTCTTTTCGGAGGCGCTTTCGGATTGCGCGAGGTGCTGATTTGCTTGAGATTTCCGGATAGAGGACCGACGCCCAAGGGGCCCACGAGCCCCACCGAGAACAGGTAATTCTCGCAGGCGTCCAAGTTCGTTATCGTTATGTTTTCGTACACCGTCGTGTTCTTCGCTTCTATACAACAAATAATATAAATTACACACTGTATGTTCGCTGGAATTTGTTTTTCGTACTTTCAAAGAGTTCCTCTTCGGAGACGCCGTAGTAAACGCCGTATAACCAATTGATTTTCTTGACGTCTTTAGGTTTCTCCCACCTTAATTTAACCGCTGTACCGATGTCTTTTAGTAGCGTAACTTGCAATGTGTTGATGTCCTGCAAAGGCTTTCCCTTGGTCTTGATCGTCACGAATTTCGAAGGGCCTTCGAGGTCCTTCGAAAACGCGTTAATCTAAAACAAACGGTTTGCTTTAAAATCGTTATACCTATTTTAACTTCGCTGTGACTAACCTCGAATTTGTAGGTGACACCGGGCGCTAATTTCACAGATATATTTTGCGTTTTCGTTTCGAGAGGATCCATTGCCGGATAGGAGTCCTCGGGGATAATTTTCACTTTGAAACCCTCCGCTTCCAAATCGTACTTCCAACTGACAAAGTCATTAGCTTCGTTGATTTGGAAATCTTTGATGTGATTGAACAACTGATCCGTGTCCATTATTAAATGAGCCGGCAAGGATTTCTGGCTCGAGTACCTCACGTTATTAGCAGCCACCTAAAATCACGTAACACTCAACGATTGGTTCGAGACGAATTTTCAAAACTTACCCAAAACGTGTAGCTGACGTTGGGCTCGAAGTAAGCGGACAAAAGGTGCGCGGTTTCCACTCCCGACAACTTCAATTTAACCTCCGACGATTTGGCGGATTTCCAGCTGATTTCGTACGATGTTATCTCGCCGTTGGGCACGAGAGGCTTGTTCCAGGCGACCAACACTTTACCGCCGTTGTCCTGTTTCACCGTGACGTTGTAGGGCTCGCTGGGCACCCCTTCGCTCGTCGACACTTCCTTAAACACGGCCGACGGGTGCACGACGTCGGTATCCTTCGTTCTCACGTACACGGTAATGTTGTATTTGGTAAACGGCTGCAGGTTGGTGAACTGGTAGAAGAAATGGCTGGTCCACGTTTCGTTCTTCCAACTCTCCTCTCCCACTTTCTTGATCGACGGTTGGAATTCGAAACTCACGTTATTCGGATGTACGATCCACCAGTGCAAGTACAGCGACGTGTCGTTTGTATATCTACGATAATTTTATTAGATTCGTCGTTTTATTTGGATAATAGATAATACCTTTCGTCTAGTTCCATCCAAGTAACTTGGTACACTCTAGGTACTTCGGAGCAGTTTTTCTCGTCGTAGCCGTCTTTACAATCGATTTTACCGTCGCATCGAAGGGACAAAGGTAGGCAGGTTTCATCGCAAGGGAACAAGCCCAGGCTGCAACTAGGCGAGCTAGGCCCGTCGGGCAAGTTCTGCTCGCAGGACGATTCGTCTGTACCGTCCGGACAATCGAAATGATCGTCGCACACAGCATGCAACTGAAATCAATCCAACATTTAAACCCGATCGCAATGATCGCACCGAATTAATCTTACAGGTATGCAGCTACCGTCGATGCGGCATTTGAACTGACTGAGTAGACAGTTCCTCGAGTTTTCGCAATTCCTCTCGTCCTCGCCGTCCTTGCAGTCGTCGGTGCCGTCGCACACCCACGACGACAGTATGCAATCGCCGACGTCGCATTGGAATTGGTTACTGTCGCAGAGTGCGTTAGGCTTGTTGGTCGCGACCGGTTCGACGGTGGGATTCAAATCCAAGCAGCCCGCCTCGTCGCTGTTGTCGCCGCAATCGTCGGCGCCGTCGCACTTCCACCAGAACGGTATGCAGCGCTTGTTCCTGCACCGGTACATCCAATCCTGGCACGTGCCGTTCTGAAAATCGCGATTAGCTACAGTCGCGCGAGGCCGGGGGGCCGATCGATTCGCTTACTTTGCTGTCGAATTCGTCGGGTAATTTGGGCACGTCGGTGTTGACCGAGCAGTTCTTCTCGTCCCTGCCGTCGGCGCAGTCCCTGTCGCCGTCGCACACCCACGTCGAGTAGATGCAACGGTTGGTCGGCGGGCCGCAGGACATCTGCGAGGCGTTGCAGGTGTTGTCCGAGCAGGAGTCCTCGTCCGATCGGTCGGTGCAGTCCGGCTCGCCGTCGCACTTCCACGTGGTGGGTATGCAGGTGATGCTGCCGCTGGTGCAGTGGAATTCGTCGTCTGTGGAGAGATCCGTTTGAGTGGTTGTTTAACGAGGAAAAAATCGTTCGGTTTTACTTTTGCATTTGATGGGTTTGCCGTCGTTGCAGTTTCTTTCGTCGGAGCCGTCGCGACAATCGTTTTCACCGTCGCATCTCCATTTGGCCGAGATGCATCGTCCGTTTTCGCACGCCCATTGGCCTTCGGTGCAGTTTTGTTTGGGGCATTTCGCCTCGTCCGAACCGTCGGCGCAATCGACATCGAAATCGCATCTACAACGCAATTTTTAAACACTCCAATACACTCTAAAAAACGATTACAAATACCTCCAATAATTCGGCAAGCATTTACCATCTCCGCAAACGAAGAACGATGGAGGGCAAGTCTCGGTATTGCACTGGTATTCGTCGGATCCATCACCGCAATCGTCTTCCCCGTCGCACTTCCACCCTTTCGGTATGCACATGTGATTGCTGCAGGTGAAATGCTCGGGATTGCACGTGTTATCGACGGTGGGGCAAATCAAGTTGTTCGTCGGCTCGACGTCGCCGGGGCACATGCACTTCCCGTTCTTCATCGTCAACCCGTCGGGACAGAGGCAGGCATGTCCGTTCTTGGGCAAACCGACGCAAATGTAAGGGCAATCGGACCGGGCGCATTTGTTCGAGCCGATCTGCACGCCGTGCGCGAACACCTTCAAGTCCATGAGGCCCGGCATCAGCTTCAGAATCACCTCGACCCCTTTGAAATTGTCCTTGTCGGCGCTGTAAATCGAATTCCTCTTCCAGTCGTCCCAAAACATGTTGTTTTTGAACACCGATATGGCGAACGGGTGCGTGACCACTTCGTTGTCCGATATCACTTTGGAGAAACCGTCTCCGTGCAAATCGGAGCTGCCGATGTAGTCCAATTTGGCGTCCACCCAGTATATCCTGTTGGCGATGTAATCGATCGTTATGCCGTTCGGCCATTCCACCTTGTCTTTTCCGAACAACGTCAGGTTGTTGCTACCGTCCAAATTGGCCCGGTTCACCGATGGATTATCAGCCGACCAATCCGTCCAAAACATGTAGCCTTCTTTCGGATGCAACACGATACCTGCAACAAACCACACGTTTCCATCATTACATTACAAATAACTGTTAAATTGTAACATACGTTCCGACACCTCTACAACGGGAAATTAGTTCCCACCTCTATACCAAGTGTCAAATTTTTTTTTAAAAGTGACATTTAGTGGATGTGTCTACTCGACCGAACGGACGTTTGGTAGTGACTACTCCGACGTGAACTTATCTATCATGTTAATAAGAAAAATTTACCTCTGGGTTTATGCAAGACGGTCGAATTCAAAATAGTCCTCCTCATCCGACCGCTGTGATTGATGTTCGTCCGGATCAGCTCGATTTTAGCGCGTACCCCGTCGACGAAATAGAGCGTTTTGGATATCCAGTCGAAGGCCATGCCTTCGATCGAAGCCAGATCGGTCGATATGAGAATTTCCGTTTTGTTGCCTTCCAGACATTGCCTGCCGATCGTATCGTCGGCTATGTCCGCCCAATACACGCAGTTCTCGCCCAGATCGAAATCGATGGCGATGACGTTCTTCAGGTTCGGCACGGGCAGCGTTTCCAGTTTCTTCGTCACCAAATTGTAGCGCGAGATGCGTTCGCGCTGCGCGAACAGTATGAAATCCTGGATTTCCTCGAAGGGACAGGGCACGCTGTCGGGCAGGTAGTGGGATTCGAAGCCGCCGATGCAGGCGTCGCCGGATATCTTACGGTAGCCTTTGGTGCGGTTGTAGTAGTCGCCCGGTTTGCACGTCGGCGGCACCTTGTACAAATCCACCGTGGCGTTCGATTCGCGGACGCAACGGGACGGCGAGCCCGCCTTCGCGAATCCGAAGTCGCTAAAAAACGATGACTATAACGCGAGGAAATAATTGAAAAAAATTGTCTCGCTTACCATTCGAAATCGTTGAGATCGCATTCGCAGTTAACGCTCGATATCTCCCGTACGTAGTCCAAACCGATTAGGCAATTAGCTAGAGGCATTCGTCTCTGGTAGGTGGTTTGCTTCCCCATCGGGCACGGTATATAATTCCTGTTTTCTTTACTATAACTCGGCGTCCACATTTTGTAATCATCCTAACAAAAGATACGAGTATTATTGGAATATTTAGCTCGAGTTAAGCAAAAATACCTTAGTGCACGATCGATCGAACACCTTGGTGAGATCGATCTTCACGATGATCCACTGATGGTACTCGGGCCACGAACCGAACATGGTGAAAACGGTGGTGTTCTCTCCCGGCTCGGTCATCAAACCGTACAGCCGCATTTTCTCGTTGTGGAAATGTGTGGTGTTCCACGATCGACCTTCGTCCGTCGAATACTCGATGAACCTCGTCTCCCCTTTCGTCCTGAAGTACTTCACCGCCGTCAGAATGCCTCCGTGATCGCCCATATTGAAGAAGTACAAGTCTCTGAGCGTCTGTCGCCACGTCACACCCCCGTCCAAACTTATGTACACCCCGTAGTGGCCTTTCAGACTTTTACCCAACACTCCTACAATAGCAACGAATTATTTATCAGCTTCAATTATCCGCGGGAACGTACCGGTCGCCATGATGATCCCGGGCGCGGATTTCGTCGATAGAATTCCGACCGATCTGGTATCGGGCAACAACTGGCTGAATTTCTGGCTCAAGTGCAACGAGCAATTCCTGGTGGTCACGCAGCCGGTCGATTGGCCTTCGACGTCGTAGGCCGGCGGTTGAATGGGCCTCCACGAAGCGCCGTGATCGAACGTTATGACGGAGCCCAAGTGTTGGGGACCCAGCATGTTGCCCGACGGCTTCGATGTCAACTGGGAGGCGATGTAAATGCCCGACAGCCCTTCGACTTTGTGGACATCGGCGAAGGCTTCGTCGGACATGTGACTGGAGAATTATACACGCGTAATTAAACGAGCGCGTTCTATATTCGAGTTTAGTAAACAACACGAGTTATCTATTTATAAGTTGTTTTTACCTATATAAAAACACTTTACAGCGAAATATTGTAATCATCTAAACAGCTCGTTTTAAAAAAAATAACGCGTATATCGACGAAAAAAATAAACTTACTGCAACCAAGTGTCTTGCCAGGAAGTAGTGGGGAAGAACACGAAGAGATCCTTCAATGATAGAACGAATTTCACGTCTTTACCGCTGGCGGATAGATCGTCGGAGACGTAGAGATTTGACGAAGTATTACTGTGTCCTGCGGCTACTAAAGCTCTACCCTCCGCCACGTCCACTACGAAGTAATTGAGGATTTTCTCGTTTGTATCGAAGACGCACGAAATCTGTTTGCCGGTTTTGTGCGAGACGTACAATTGCAAATCTCCCTGGAAAACGGTGAAGTAGAATACAGAAGGTACTCGGGAATAATATCTCTTACAGTCGAGGTAACCTTCGTAGTAAATAAGTAGTCGCCTTTGACGTAGAAATCTTTAATGTGCGTGGAGTAGATGGACCACACCGTATGCGGTAGTAATTGCTTGGAATAGACGATCGTACCGAAATTGTTGGGCTCTAATCTTTGAACCACGAGATCGTGGTCGTCCTTTATCCAATGGTAGGACTTCACGTATTCGTACAAAACGTTGAACGTCGAGCCGAAATTGTTGGTCACCCATAGCTAGAAAGATTAATGTGGTTGTACGATCGATTCGATTCGATTGTGCGGACGATTACAGACCTTGTTTTTGGTATCGTTTTTGTCCAAGGCGACGTACAGGGTTGGATTTAGCGGGTGGAAAGATATATCGGAGGGCGTGAAATTTAAGTCGATCCTTTTAAATGTTACTCCTTCGTTCATCGTTACGAATATAACGTTGTTTTTCACGTCGGTAAATACGAACTAAAAATTACGTAATCATTGAGTATGAAATATAAATTTTCCCATAAATCCCATAAAAAATATAATCGTCAAACAAACATGTCAATAATATTTTTTGAGAAATTTGTACAATTTAAACTACTAAAAAATATTGATAACGGTGTAGTTATAAGATAAGAAATTTGCGCACTGTTGCTATACTAAAAAATAGAAATAAATATAACACCGTGAATTGCTTACATAAACAGTAAACGGAGCTGCTTTAAAAAAATTCTTGTAATCCTACATTTAATTTTATTCCACGAAGTATGCATATTTATTTAATAACATTGCAGGTATCTAGTTCAAAACGCATGTGAATAAATATTGCAATAAGGCAACACTTTGTAATGTGGAATACAAAGACGTAACCTATTGAAATTTATTTACTTTTATAAATTACTACTTGAAATTGAAATATTCAGAAATTCAGAATTCTATTCAGAAATTTGCATTTTTTATTGTAGTTATTTTGTTAGTTAAATTTTAATTAAATGTTAGTTAAATTAAAAAAAATTAAATCGAGGAAATTTAATTTTAGCAACCCGTATGAGTTCAAGAAATAAATATGGTGTAATCTAAGGTCAATGACCATGTTCTCGAGATAAAAAAATATCCCCCTAACAAAATAAAACAAGTTTTAAGGGTTGACAATATGTTAATGAAATAAAACATATACTTATTTAATGATGCAACTATTTATGTATATGTTTACGAGTTTCGATAAAATAATTGAAATATACAAATTTATCTGTGGGTGATTCATTATACACTTTGAACATCCGCACTTCTTTAATATGAATCTAATCAAATAAATATCAACAACTTAAGTTCATTCTGAAGTTCCCCAAAGGAGATTATGTCGAGTCAAAACTCTGAGTCACCACATTTGCAATAATTATAAGCAATTACAAAGAGCAAACCGCTATGAAAATAATTATGAGTATATTCAATGATAATAAAAATGGAATTCTAATTTGAATTTACCGGAAAAAAGAAAAATATGTAAACAAATGACGCAATAATTGCAAAAAAAATTCTCCTATCATATCAACAAAGGAAACTGATGAAATCTATTAACATTTTTAATATTGTGCTATCAGCTCACTGAACAACTGAATTTAAGTTCTAAGTACTTTTTCAAATTCTGAAATTAACCTGCGATTGTTGCGTACAGTAAATTGCATTTACCTTTATCTAATTGATAACCAAGTGGAACAAATAAAAATACCTCTACTTTCTCAAAGAAAATTTTAAAATGTAAAAACAGCTTTATTTTTTGAGACGATCAGGCGTTCAGATCTCATTGTTTCAAACAACATTCATAAATTATTTTTTATCAGCTTATTTTTCTTTGTAGCTATGTACACAGGAAAATCAAATATTAAAAAATAATGATTTTGTCTTCGGATGAGACATTGTTACACAATGTTACAAAGCCACAAAAATAACTAAATCAACCTGATACGTTATCTAAATATGTTCATGTTATTCAAATATTATACAAAAATAAACTAGTCACAAAAAAAATTTCGTTACTAAATAAAAACCTAAACTGTTCATATTAATCGACTTGTTGACATTCTACAAACACAATCAGTTCATTACTGATGTATCTCATTTTGTAATTAATTCCTGTTTGCGGTCTATATGAATAAACAAATTTAAAATATTAACTTACTTGTGAATTGTACTTAGGATGATTGTAAAACTTTTCCAAAGTAGCGTATTTACCATCGGCCAATTTGAAGCTGTCCGTTTTATTAACATACGAATCCCCATCATCATAGGAGATGAAAACCGTCGACGTGGAAAGCGTCACAAAGCCGGGAATTAGGGGAGCCGGATCGCGAGCCAGGCATATGATTACTTTGCTCTGCTTGCCCACCCAATGCACCATCAATTGCTTATGGGTATCGTTTAGCAAGTTCACCTACAACAATCAAATCATCCAGCAATTTACATCAATTTGATACACCTACAGGATTTCCTTTGTGCGCGTTATTCAACTTTAAAGGCGCATATTGCTGGAATCGGAATAATGGAAAAATATTTTTGTATAACTGATATTATTTTGGATATATTAGGAAGAAAATTTTGGCAACATTCCATTATTGTGTTGTATTATTCTCTTTTTATTGTGGCACTTTTTCATTGTTTGTTCTATTTTTCCTAGAATAATGTGATAGAGCTTCATACTAGAAATTTTATCTATGTAAACCACATAAAAGAAAATAATTCGAAATTAATTACTTGATATACGTGAATATCTACCACAAAAAAAACCGGCTATAAATTACTATTTCAAGGACACACAATCGAGTGCAATTTGAATAAATTATTAATAAACTTATTGTACTTTTATTAAAGATCCCTTCTCCTACCCTTATCTCAATAAATCGATCATAAAATCAGATTATTATTATCAACCAATCAAACATTCACCATAAAAAAAATAGACAAATAAATACAAACCACAGATTCAATACCTCATAATCTAATTAAAACGATCTCCAGGCAGTACGAGATAAAATAATCGAGTTAAGTGGCTCTTACAGGAAGCGTTCTTAAATTTTTCAATTACCTTTGTTATTATATTCGGGTTCGAGCTGGGTGCCTCTCTTCTGTGCCGGGGGGCTCCGCTTGTGCCGTCGAATTGCTGCGCCGGGACGTCGAATATTCGAGGCGTCCGGGCGCCGTGAGTGTCCTCGGCATCGCCGAAGAGGGTCCTGATATCGTTATCGAATTCTGCGCCAGTGGCGATTTGAAGGGATTTCGTGAACAGTAAGATAAATAGCAGCAGGTACATGTTGCTGCTCACATTTAAGCCGTTCGATAAAAAAATGCTCCGATAGGAGACGAAATTGGCAATTGTTAACTGTACTTTTGTTAATAAAAATTGCCACAACACCAACACAAGACAATTTGGATTGATAATTACAAAAATCACAGAAATTAGACTGTTCTCTTCGAATACAAAACACAGACTGACAGAACAAAGACAGTGACAAGCAAAAAACAAACAGTACGTGACACTAATGACATGAGAATGACAGTTATATTTGAAACGAAATAACATCAAAAACATAGGCCACATAAGTTCACACAGTGGCGTATTGCGAAAGCGATTTTTCGGAAAAGATAATTTTACGCACAATTTTAAGCATTTCATACACTTGCGAAAATAACTACAAGCGACGAAACAACTATACTACAAACTAAAAGCGACGACTATTCTTCGATATCGATAATAAATAAACATATAAACTTTATTATTTCTTATTTCACAAATCGTTCAACCATTTTATTTTACATTTGGCGCTTATTATCACAGAATAACAATTTTTACGCGAATATTCGCAGAAATTGACATAACCTTGGATTTCCGAATTGACCAATCAGAAATGTATTCGCAAAGTATATGAACTAAGCTTTACGCTCTTAAAAAAAAGAAGTAGACTTATGACATTTCGACGTGTTTTGACGTTTAATTTTAATCAACAGACAGATATTCTAGACAAACTAATATTTTCATTCCCGTTAATCCAATAGATCTGTTAAAGTAGGTATTATTTATTCATTAAGCCTTAATTTATTCATATTGCTCACTTTTTAGGTTTACTTTAGCGATTTCGACAACGTACTTCAAATGCTTATCAGTTTTCGGATCAATTGTACATGGTGACGTTTGGAAACTGCCAACCGCTCAACGTGTAAACTTACAAAATACATTGAAAATAGATGAAATTAACGCGAGTTCGAAATGTTGAAAACGGTCGTTTTAATTTTTTGCATCAATGTAGCCGTCGAATCGTTCTATCTTCCCGGTCTGGCTCCTGTAAATTATTGTAAGAAAGACGAACCATTGGATGGTTGTAAAGTAAGCGGATTTACTAAAACGATGACGATACACCTATTTACGACTTAATATTTTTTAGTCCGAAGTCAAATTATTTGTGAATCGATTGAACACTGACGAATCCGTAATACCTTACGAATACCATCATTTCGACTTCTGCCTGCCCGTAAACAATGAGAAATCGCCCGTGGAAAATTTGGGTCAAGTCGTATTCGGCGAACGCATCAGACCTTCGCCCTACGAAATAGAATTCATGAAGAACGAAACTTGCAAAGTCGTGTGCCACAAGAAGTATTCCGGGGACAAGTACGCCGACAATTTGCAACTCAGCATGCTGCGAAAGGGCATCAGCCTCAAATACCAGCATCATTGGATCGTCGACAACATGCCTATCACTACTTGCTACGACAAGGACGATTGCAGGACCGGCTTCCCGATGGGCTGTTTCTCGAGGAACGGCCGGCACAACTGTCTCGAAGACGTTGGAAGAGAGAACGCCAACTACATTTACAATCACGTTAATCTAACTATTACATATCATTCCGGAGCCCACGAGGAATGGGGTAGCAAATTCCACGAAAACGGAGGAAGGATTATCTCAGTTAAAGTCATTCCGAGGAGTATCGACTACAAAGGGTAAGCATATATTCGAAATTTGATAGGTAGTTTATAAGTAATTTTCAGGCACAATTGTTCTCAATTCGAAACCGAACCCCTTGCGATCCCGAACGATAATCTAAAGCCCGGGGAAACCTTCGATATCATATATACATACAGCATCACGTTTGTGCAAGATGACCACGTGAAATGGTCATCTAGGTGGGACTACATCCTCGAATCGATACCTCACACAAACATACAATGGTTCAGCATTCTTAACTCGCTGGTTATAGTTGTGTTTCTATCCGGCATGGTGGCCATGATTCTACTGAGAACATTGCACAAGGACATCGCGAGGTACAATCAAATCGACAACGGAGAAGACGCTCAAGTACGATACAATTGCTAATTAGTAGTAATCGGTTGCTATAACTAGTGTTAATTTTTAAGGAGGAGTTTGGCTGGAAGCTGGTGCACGGAGACGTGTTCCGGCCGCCGAGGAAAGGCATGCTGCTCTCCGTATTGCTGGGCTCCGGCGTGCAGGTGTTCTTCATGACGTTAGTCACGCTGGCGTTTGCTTGCCTAGGTTTTCTTAGTCCTGCCAATCGCGGGGCTCTAATGACATGCGCCATGGTGCTGTACGTCCTGCTGGGTTCCCCTGCCGGGTACATTTCCGCTAGGATATACAAGAGTTTCGGAGGCGAGAAATGGAAATCTAACGTACTGCTAACTTCGATGCTAGCGACTGGGTAAATACGAATGTTAGGAAGATATCGAGTTGTTTTATAATGTGTTTTGTTGTAGCATTGTGTTTGGATTATTTTTCATCATGAATCTGGTACTTTGGGCGAAAGATAGTTCCGCAGCTGTTCCGTTTAGTACGTTGATTGGATTGCTGGCGCTTTGGTGGCTTGTATCAGTTCCACTGACTTTTATCGGTGCATTCTTTGGATTCAGAAAAAGGGTAATTAATTAGCACTAAATTATATATAAAATAAATAATCGCATGTAATATTTAATAGGCTTTGGAACACCCAGTAAGGACCAATCAAATACCGAGACTCATCCCGGAACAATCGGTGTACACGAAACCGATACCGAGCATCATAATGGGCGGCGTGCTGCCGTTTGGATGCATCTTCATCCAGCTGTTCTTCATATTGAAATCCATTTGGTCGTCGCAGATGTACTACATGTTCGGTTTCCTGTTTTTGGTGTTCATTATACTGGTGATAACTTGCGCCGAAACGACGATTCTGCTGTGCTATTTCCATCTGTGCGCCGAGGATTATCACTGGTGGTGGAGATCGTACATGACGTCGGGTTTCACGGCGGTTTATCTCTTCTTGTACTGTTGCCATTACTTCTTTACCAAGCTGCAAATCGAAGATGCCGCTTCGGCGTTTCTGTACTTTGGGTACACGATTATCATGGTGTTTTTGTTTAATCTCCTGACGGGTACGATAGGTTTCTTTGCTTGTTTCTGGTTTATTAGGAAGATTTATAGCGTGGTCAAAGTCGACTGAGTGGTATTTTTATGGAAAGTTTATTTTAATGTATATTTTTTTTGTGATTTAATTTAATCGTAATAATAAAATCCAGTATTTATTTGTTTATATTATTTACTGTCTTGAGGATGTAGTTGCTGTTTGAATTTGATTATGTACAAGGCTGTGGGAAAATCGAGACAATAATAGCCTTTTTTTTCTAAAAAATTGAGTAAGAGAGTATGGGGATAAAATTAAGGGATGATTTTCTCAACATTTTTTATTTATCAAAAAGCGGCAGTAAATATTGTAAACAAAAAGATATGAATTTCTTATTAGATAAACAACCAAATTATTTGCTTATTATAGCGACTTAGCAGTCCAATATTTTCTATCAACCTATAAGAAAACTTCTTGAGTAAAAATGAATTTCAAGATGGAGGTGAACTTCTGGAATTGGCCTTGTACTTATACCACTCATTAGTTCAGAATGATTTTTTTACGCTAATAATAGTAGATTTCGTGCCATTCAAAAAAATACATCTTTTCACCGGAACTTCCGATTTTGACTTGTATTTAACATAATTAATATGAAAGCATTTTCGTGTTTCTAACATATCATGCGTTACTATTATTACGATAGCCCGAATCAAGAAGCAATTGATTAAAATCATGCATTTTGTAGAATGACATAAAATACAGGGTGTCTCGCATAAGAAGCACAATTTTTTTTGTTTAACCCAACTCCACTGAATACAAAATTACATTCCTGAGTAGTTTTAGGCCTTTTAAGTGGAGATACAAATTTAAAAAATTAATATCTCGGTAAATCTCAAACTTAAAACAACTAAATTTATCATTATAAATTATAATGTTACAGAACTTTTGTACCTTTTTTCCTAAGTGGGACCCCCTGTATATCCAAATAAACCAGTGGTTATTACTTTGCATACAAATATTCAATTCGTCTAGTCCGAATTATTAATTGGCGTGTTTACGATTTTTCTTTCTACGAGTTTTTATCCATTTTAATTATTGGTAATTTATGGCAAAAATGTCGTTAAGCGACCAAATTGAATGCACAGTTTTTTGGTAGCTAAGCGCATCTATGTTTATTGCAGTGCAATATTTTAATTACAATCAAAGCCAATAATTAACGGAAACGTTTCGAGCGCAGTTTGGTGTATTCGTGCACAAAACTTGTATTAAATAAGACTTGCAAAATATTGAACGAGTGATATTTTGTCTGCGTATGTAAAATAGTATAATAAATTAATTATTACAGACGTGCTTTTTATTAGTTGAAAACTTACATTACTTAATCCTTAGTTTTTTCTACAATTTTATTAATATCTTACAATGTCATAATGGTCGTATGAAAACTTGGGAGCTTCGATGGAAAGTATTCTCAAATTTCGGAGGATCCTCGACCAGTTATCGAAACAGAAATTGTAGATTTTACCTCCGACACGTTCGCGTATTGGTCTAACTGAAAATTTACTCCAATTTATTGGGATATATAAGGAGCTTAAAGCTACTTACCGATTCGTTGTTTTGAGTATAATACTGTCTCTGCCCGTTATACGATTGACAACTTCCTTCTATCGTCGTTAGCAGTAAAGGAGTATTTTCGTTGGACGCACTAATTTTGGAGCTACCCCAAGATTCGTTTATACCGCTATCGGAAGTAGCTTCATTCACCGCCGAGTCGTTAGATTTTAACAGGAAAAATATAGTTGTAATGATAGCCTAAAAAGAGAATCTATAAGTCATGTTATTAATTTTATTTGCACGTATATGTACCAAAGATAACGATCCGATTGCCATTATAGTAGATGCTATAGGGAAATCGTACTTTTCTAAAAGAAACCCGCCTATTCCCGGTCCTATAAAATCGCCCAGAGAGTACATACAGGACCATATTCCTGCTACAACGCTGTAAGTCGCCATTGTGTCTGAATATCCGCCGTTTCTGTAAAGCGTGGTATGGTAAAGAAAAGTCCACCAGCAGGAAAATTAAAATACTTACGCTGCTGACGTTAAAATTCCTTGAAAAGTTGGCATCAATGCCAGAGCTACCGATATTCCAATGATGGACAGCGCGAATAAATCCATCCACAGGCTACTAAAAAATGCAAATCGAACTTTACATCTGCTCGTTTATCGACATCTGACCACTTACTGGCTCAAAAACGGCAAAAACGGGCAAGGTCCCAACAACAGCAATCCTACAGCCGACATGAAAAGACCCACCACCATCATCGACCAATGATTGTCGATTCTATCGGCTAACCAGCCCCAAGCGGGGCTCGAGATTCCATACAGAGCAGCCATCAGCAGAAATATTAGACCTACCTGCTCCGGGGTCAAATTGAACTGAAATTCATACGGTAATTTAAAGCATTTGGTGCAGAGAAAACTGCACTTACATCTCTCAAATGGGGCTCCAGAGTGGGATCTAAAAACGACCACACGTTCGATACCATCACGATTACTAATCCTTTAATGAACACAGCCGGAATCTTGATTAATTTTGTGATAGACATCGATTTGTTGGTCAAATTATCACAGTCTGCAAAACAATGTAGATTAGCAGGACGGTATAGGATAAATGGATGGTTACCTTCGATATTGGGCAACAGCCAAATGTTCACCAGGAAAGTCAGCACCATGGCTACACCTAACACAAAAAATGGCAAACTAAATCCACCGAGCTGCCTAGAAAATTCAGTAAAGGTACATTTTTTATATTTTATAACAGTAGATTAAATACCAAGAGGCATTTGGAAGTTGGTTTTACATACCGAATATAATAAACCTCCTACTACAGGCCCTGTGCTCATTCCAAGACCGACAAACGTTTCTAAAATACCCTAAAAAATTCTCATGCAGGAATATTATTGGATAATATTTTCAAAACTTACTATTACTGATCCGATGTTATTAGGAAACGACTTAATTACGAATATGTAACTGGCAGTGGAATACGCACTGGCTCCTAAGGCTTCGAAGCCTTGGATAAGCAGGCAAAGCGTCGCAAAAAGAGTGTAATTTTCGATATACTCTAACAGCCTAAAAATAAACATTCAACTTCGTATAATACACGAGTTGGCCTAACTCACCCGAATAAAATATTGCCAGTTCCCGCAGCGAATATGCCCAGCAGGAACAGGAACTTGGCCCCGAATTTGGGCGTCTGAAAACAACGCAATTACACGTACTTAGCGATTCGATTCGCGCGTAAAATACTAACGATTTTTCCGAAAATAGGCGACGAAATGAACATGACCAGAGCGTAGAAGCTGAACACCAAGCCGGTGAAGGTGGCCGATACGCCCTTCTCGTGCGCCTCCCTCGGGAAAAACGGCGCCATTATGGACGTCGAGCAGAAGCTCATGAAGTCGACCAAGGCCAGCGAGGCCAAGGTCATCTTCTGCGAGCGGGATAGGTTCCTCAGGCTCGTGGTGTCCTCGGTACCGCTGGCTCTGCAGTGGAATTATTAATAACTCGATGCACCAATTGGGAAATTAAATGACGTGTACCTGATTAATCTTTCCTGTATTCTCCTGACTTCTGCGGTCGTGAAGTTCTCCGGGACTATGCAAGACAACGATTTACTTCTCGGGAATTGGCCTGCAGGCTGGAGATCGGGCAGAATGAAGCTGTCTTTGCTGGAAGTGCTGGAATCGCTGAAGTCTGATGGTGGATTTTCATGCATTTTTCTTGGACCGAACGTTTCTTTATCCATTTTTCCTTAAACTGGCAACACACGAATGATCTCAATCAGTCCACGGGGCATAGTTCTATACAGGGTGGCATTATCCAGCAAAATCATGTGCAAATAGAGATTAATTTTTACAGTAAAACATGTAATAAAATATTGTTTGGGTTACGACGTAACGATTAAAGGAAATATCTGATAGTAAATGCGTCAGAACCATCGATAATTTGTATGCATCGTGGAAAAATTGAAAACTTTTACGTAAATCGGTAATTCATTTAATTCATCTCGTGGTTATTAAATCGAAATTATCTTACGTTTCTCATCAAGGACGTAACTGACTTTTCCATTCACCGATGTTCGCCGGACACGAGCTCACTACCAGGACTCACTGTCCACGAACGCTCGAATTATCTGGGAATATTTTGTAAATAAAAGTTTATCATTATCTCACAAAGTTCAAATCATTGTCAAGTAAATAGCTGGTCGAGAGAAAACACACAAAACAAACTGGGCATATTCTAATTCTTGCTTACAACAAAGCATAATGTTGTAAATATTCCGATACTAATTGTTTTGTTTACGATCGAAGTGTAATTTTGTTACATACCTGCCTTTATTCCCGCACAATGCATTTCGAAATTGCATATACAATGCAATAAAATTTCATTCAATTATAATTAGATTTTTCGCTATACGTATTTGCATCGGCTAGCGATAAGATTTAACTACGTGTGTCAGCACGCCAGAACATTTTAAACAAATCGAGAGTAATTTATTTCGAAAAACCGATACCTAATTATAAATTAGCATCGGGTATTAAAAAAAGTTGCAACACTTTCTGCCATGTGTTGATAAAGTTCCAATTTCCTTATCGATCTTATTTTATTCGTTTACAGCTCGTACAAAGTTGGAATATACAGCGTGGAAACTTTCTAATAGTATAAGTAGAATTTTTCTTTGTCATTCAATAGGGCTCGATTGAGCTTTTGTGGTGGAAGAAATAAGTTTCTTTTGGTGTTATATACAATTTTATTTCGTATTTTATGAGCTAGAGAATTTTATTTACAAAAATGTTTTCCTAATACAGCGAGGTTTCGTATGTACATAATATCTATTTCGTACGAACATAATAACAACGATTCGGTAACAATTTTTGTGGTCTGTACTATTTTTTACTCAACTAAAATACATGAAAATATTCCAAAGATTACTGAAAATCAAGCGTAAGTGAAATTACAAAGTAGGAAGGAAACACAAATGGCAAGTTTCAGAGACACATGGCATTGAAAACGCACTTAAAATTAGAAGATTTAACTAACAATAAGAATGATAAAAAAATCTCATAGTACTCAATTTACAACGATCGCCTAAAACAAACAGAAAAACACGTCCGCATCGCGTCACCAACATCACTTAGTCTTTATAGTCTCCATCACCTTATGCTCCTTCTCCACCACCACGTTCACGCACCCGTTCTGGTGCGCCTCCGGCTTGATGGCGTTCTGGAACACGGTCAGAATGTTCCCCTTCAGCGGCATCTGCTTCCTGTTCACCAGCATCACCGTGGTCAGCGTGCCGATGAGGAAGTTCAGCGCCGCGAACGTGGCGCAGGTGTTGGCGAACTCGTAGTGCTCCATCAGGGAGCCGCCGAGCACGGGGCCCAGGACCTCCCCCAGCGAGTACACCGACGACCACAGGCCGGCTATCATCGAGTGCGTCGATATGTCGTCGGCGTAGCCGTTCTCGCTGGAAATTACTGGTAAAAAAATCTGTTTGGATTGGGTTTGTTGTGGTACTTACAGGGCGCTGTCCAAGATGAACTGGTAGGTAGGCATTAACGACATGCCTACTGTGATTCCCAGCAGGGCTAGACTCACCATGTTTAACCATAGTGCTCTGGAAGATAGAAAGATAAGTTTTGATGTGGTGGAGTGAATCAGCAAAAGGTGGTGATGGTGGAAAGAAGGAGCAAATAGGAACGTTTCTTTGGTACTTATTCTAGAAGAAAGTAGACGTTAGAAAGGGTAAAGGAAGTTTATGAGAAAGTAGCACAATGAGGTGATGGTGTACAGAAGGAACAAGTAGGTAAGTTCTTTAATACTTACTCGGGTAAAAATTTTAAACAAGGTCCTAAAAATAATAATATCACAGAGTTGCCGAATAAACCGACGGTCATCAACCACCAATAGACGTCCAATTTGTCGGAGAGCCAGCCCCAGAGCGGGCACGATAGGGCGTAGGTTCCGGACGTCAGCAGGAAAATCAACCCTACTGCTGTAGTGGAAAGATTAAACTGGGAAGAAAAACTATACATGTAGAATTCAAATTAAACGAATTTGGAGCGCTCTCACTTTGCTCAGGTGCGGTTCTAAGATCGGATCCAAAAATCCCCACGTCATCGATACCACTACCATGATGAAACAAGTCATCATGATGGGCGTCAGCTTCAGGAGGCTCGTCAAGGAACCGCTACTGGTTATGGTAGGTTCTACAAAAAAGTCATTGTTTCATCCTGTTAATCCGAAATCGTAAATGTATTTGCCGACGAATGAACCATTAGGGAAGCACCGTCCAATTACGCAATTTGCTGTCACCCACGTGGGCAAACAAGCGGAATTCATTAAGTCGAAGAAAACGGAAACGTTAAGACAGAAATTGGCCAATTATGAAATAAACTTGAGAAAAAAAACTACATAGTAAAGTTATCGAGAAATTGAGGTACAAGATGAATTTAACGAGTATTAATTTCTTTCTTTCGCTAAGCGATATTAATCGAGGACTATTTAATGAGTGAATAACGACGCGATGATTGTTCAATTTAATTGTGCTCAACTTACTTGCGGATCGTTCGAGCGTGAAGATATTAAGAGGCGCTATTAATACTAGGAACACTCCGACCACGTAGAATGGTAGACCAAAGCCCCCGATCTTCCTAGAAAAAATGCACCAATAACACTATAATTTAAAGGCCGCGGACGATCTGAAATTCATCTCCCCTAAAACGATCGGTTTGCAAAAAGTTAACTCACATCAAAGAGCACGCCTCCGATGCCTGGACCAGCGCAAAGCCCGAGTCCCACGAAGGTTTCCAGGACGCCCTAGGAGAGACCACCGCTTGAGTGATATATTGATAATTAAGATAATTTACTTACTCTAATCGCTCCGGCGTTGTCAGGGAACATATTCACGACTATCACGTAAGCAGCGGTGGAATAAGCGCTGGAGCCCAAGGCTGCGAACCCCCGTATCACGAAAGACAGCACGGTGAAACCGCTGTAATCTTGTATGTGATGCAGTGTCCTAGAAACAAGCCGTTAATTAATGAAAAATAGGAAAATGCATTGACGCAGCGTCCTTGAGGCCTGGGAAATCTTATTGTTTTGTATTCAAATTCGTGAATCAGCGCGCATTGAAGCGCGAATGGAAATCACACTTACCCGAATATCACAGTGCATACCCCCGATGTGAACAATCCGACGATGAATAAAAATTTCACTCCCAGTTTTGGACACTACAAAAATACAAAAAATTTACTTTCATCTGCATGAGAAGAAGAAACTTGAAGAAGCAATTGAAATGGTAAAGGATATTTGTGAAGTAAAAGGAAGATTTGGTAGAGCGGTGGTAAAAGAACTTGTTGAAGAAATTGTCGAGTTATTGCCAACTTACCAGTTTTCCGAAAATGGGAGACGAAAGGAATATAACCAATGCGAAGTAACCGAACACGAATCCTGCCATGGATTGCGTCATACCCCTGTTGGCGGCCTCTTGGGGATAGAACGGGGCCATTATGGACATCGAGCAATAGCACATGAAATCCGCCGTGATCAACATCACCAACGAGCATTTCTGCTTGATGGTGAACTTCTTGTTTTTACTGCTGAAACAAAAATCGATAAATCTCCATCGTGTCTGAGGATTAGAGCGAAATAGCTCTTCCAATTTGGCGAAACTGGCACGCGTTTTATGTAACACGTAACTCGCTTAGTCTCTTTGTGATTTCGTCTATTAAAGAACACAATGCAGATAAACAATTTTTATTGTGCTACAATGACGTTGTGGTAATTCCTTTAACGCGTTATTCGAGGAACCAGCCTGAGCGTACAAAATGATCCACTTCCCATTTGGAATGGTGATCTTTATTGGAGACTCCACGCGATTGGGGAAAAATCTAAGGATAATCTAGAAATCTAATCGAATGATCTAACGCGAGATGCGTTCTAACCTTGAGCCTCATCGACCTCTTTCCAGCTTAGATATTCGATGATAAAGAAGCATATTTACACAAACAGCGAGAATGTATAAGGTCATGATAAATCTTTGAACTCCGGAGTATGCTACTATTAATATACTAAAAATTTGTTTAAAAGATCATATGTTTTTCGAATTATAATTAGGAATAAATGAATTGTAAAAAATGCTATGTATCAGCTATAAACGGCCTAATTAAAGTGTTTTATGCATGTGCAGTACGTTGTCTATTTAAAATAAAATAATGATTTTATGTAGCTTCGATAGCTTAATTAAAATAGCGTTTAATTGGGCGGTGCGTCAATTAATTCGGAATTTTGATGGATGTTCGAATCGAAAGGAATAATTTCGATGTGTATTAATTGTTACATAAACGGGAACAGTCGAATAAGAGCGGCCTATCAGACTTGACACAGCTCCATCGGTTTTAATTCCAACCTTTGAACTTCTTTTATCGAATTGTACAAACGATCGAGTGCGTATAAATACAAAAATTACTAAAACAGATAATTATTAAACACAAAAATAGGCAAATTCTGATAACTAATTCGAATGCAAAGAGACGCTCGATTTGAAAAAATGAAAGAGTTACTGGAAAATTTACAAATCCACGAAACCGGTGTGTTTATATTGCAATGCCAACAGTTGTATTAATAAGTTAATTAAACAACTAATTAAGATTAATTGTGCGACAGTATGTGTTGAATACAATTCACGTAGGTCATTAAAAAAATCGTTTATACGAAAAAAAAAACCAACGCTCTTAAATCAGTGAATACCCTAGTTAATTTTTGATTAACATGTACATTTGTAAAATCTAATATCGACTTCGGACTTACGCCTGCTCGGGATTTTCTTCCGTGTCGCCGTTATCGACATTCTTTTCGCTTTTTTCGACAATTTCGGACACGCTCGGTACGTTTTTATCCGAATCCATTTCGGAATACACAGAATTAATTAACAAAATCTACTTCCTAACTAAAACGAACAGTCAATAGTCTGTACGCGCGAACTGGTCTCGGTGGAAACGCCGAATTTTCGCACGACGCGCGACATTTCGGAAAATCGAAAAATCGATGAATCGAAATTCGATGCGTTTATCACGAATTTCACGGCGATTGTTGATCGATCGCCGGACGAGCCTCGTTTGTGGATCTCACCGAACTCGACACTCGACGACTTAAAGGAAGTCGCGGTTTCTTTTCGAGCTTATAAAAGCTCATCTTTTCGACGAATTTATGCGCTCCGTCGAGTGAATGGTGGGAAATTCGTGACGGCATTCGAAATTTATCTACCGTACAATTGGGGTTTCGTTATTCGTTAATAAATTATTTCATCGGCTCGACTATAACGCACGCATCTCGGAGAGGCGAGTAGAAGCGATTTTCCGGAGGGATTTTTATTTCTTCGGCCGGAGCTTTCGATTTTCGTAGGGAATTTTCTCGACGGAATTCGTCTTAATTAATAATATTGAATAAGGTCAATGTTTGTTATTGGTCGATGCAGTTGAGGTGCAGTTTAAATTCGAAATTACCATGCTTAATTTTAATTAGTTAGTTCATTGCTTTATATCATTAAAGTTACATACATTAAAAAAATTGCAATACTTATAAAATGTTCAGTAGGTAAAAAACATACTTACTCATTTGTGCTCAGTTCTTGTGCTTTATTTTCTGCATTATTCTCTACTGCATTATCTTCATTATCACACTTTTGTGCCTCACTGGCATTATTTAATTCGCATTCATTTAAATCCTGCGTTGAAAATTCGTTTATTTCCGCCCCTTCTAATGCGTTTTCTGGTTTACTTTGAGACATCTCTTTTACTACTTAACTTATAAACTCCTGGTTACTTAAACTTTCTTTTCTTGTTGTTTTAGCGTTATAAACTATATACGGAATGCATAAAAAATTCTCCCATGCCTATATAATATACCACGACAATTTATTCAGCGGTTTATTTTCAATTCGCTTCCAGCGAATTGTCTTGAATTTATTTATCGGTTGTTGGTGTAAATTTATGATAATGTTCTTAATAAATACCTAATAAAAATGTTTGTTTTGTGTGGAATTGATTTCATAATTTCATAGTTATTCAAGCTTAATAAGAATTAAGTTGTGCTATACACACCTTATATACTAATTTTGTAGAAACTTTTTAATTTGGCTTTTTAAACTAAAAACTTATTAACCAAACTCTAATTTGGTAATAAATTAGAGTTTAGTAATAGATGGCAATTAACTTAATTAATTTTACTACTATTAATTTTTTAACGTAATTAACTTTAATGCTTATTAAAAACATTAAACAATTATTTTCAAACATTGTTTTTATTTATTGTAAGTCAATAAACAATTTGGGTAATTTTTTTATAAAAAATTATGTAACCAAATTTATTTGGGGAAAATTTTACCCAATTTATTTGGAATAATTAGTTCATTTTTATTTCAAACCAATCCATGATAACAACAATTATGATATATTGCTATTACAATAATTTGCGATAAAACTAATAGTACCTTACATAAAAAACATTTACCTACCTTTTATCAGAACGTATAGGTATCTACTATGTACTTATGTTCCTAAGGTGTTCGTTAAATAGTAGAATAAATAAAACCAATGTAAATATAACATTTATTCCACCTAGAAAGTTTTCTAGATGATGTAAATAAACAATTAAAGCATCTATTTGTCTATTATTAGATGGAAAATAAAAGCATGGTTATAAAAAAAACCTGTAAATAACCTTATTTAAATTGAATTTAATCGATGCAATCATAAATTCTCCTCATCGTAATTTCCAGATGGATTGAGATATGCACTTGCGTAATTCGATGTTCATGCATTTAATCGGTTACTTCTAGCATTTAAATTAATTATCGTTATTGTATTATAACGAAGCGACATAAATAATGGCTAATTTGTTAAACCTAATGCATGTAATTAGGTTTGCACGCGATTATATTAGAAGTAAAGTAATAAATATAAATATAAATCAAACTATCTCGGTGTGCATTTCAATACTCTTGTCAACGAGAATATATTATAGATTATTAATAAAAATAAAGCAATTCTTATTAAAAGATATATTTCTTATCCACAACTTTGATTTTAAATTATTAATAATTCACATGTACAATAAAAAATTGTTTCGGTCAATTGTTCGAGTGTTTCATGGAAATTAATTTTTCCGTATGTTGGGGAATCTCAATGCGTTTTTTTTATTAGAATATGTTCTGTAATGATAGGTAAATAGAAAAAATTTCCGCTTCTCCTTGTTTTTTGCTAGCTTTTGAATAATTTTATAGATTACCTTCCAATTAAAAATGAAGCAGTCGTAAACACGATTTTAAAAAACCTTGACACCTTGTGGGAAATTAGAAAATTTGGTAAAATAAATACGTACCTGACTCTCATGGTGTTTCGTAGGTTATAATTTCAACACAATTTTCGAATCTCTACACTTGCAAAGCACGGAGGAAATGTGTTTTACGTTATTCTAAATAATTTTGTAGAATCGGTAATATTTTTTTAAAACGATAAAAATTAATTGCGATCGCTGCGCCGTGCAAAATTTAATGTACCTATTGATAAAAAATAACTGTATGCAACATAATCTTTTCGTTTCCTCTACTTCGAATTTTCTCTCGCCGAATTAAAATTTACCGCAGCAAATCGTAAAACAATGCGCGCGAAGTGTTACACTTCACGAAATTATTCAGTATCTCGAATTATTTAGTAAGAATAAGCGCTTTTTAATACGCATGTAAATACGAATATTGCGAAATTCAATTCTAGCCACGCGTGTTGTGAATCGCAGCGAATTTTCAGTTCAGCTATTATTAATCCTCAAATCAACTCACCGATAGAGTTTAAAAAAAAACTCGTCCGGAGGTAGGGATCGATACAATTTTATCGAATATTAAGGTAAATAATACACAAATAAGATACGCAGGTTTACTCGCTGGTTTCGAATTGTATAACAGCAGAATCCTTCGATACGTTATCGCCGACGTGGAAATTAATTTTTGCTATTTTAGCGTCCCGCGTCGCCTTCACGGCGTACTCCATTTTCATCGCTATGAGCACGAACAGCGAATCGCCCGTTTTCACCTCGTCCCCGACCTTCACCAGCAGCTTATCCAGCACTCCCGGCATCGGAGCCACCGCTTTGCTGGCGGATCCCCCGCCTCCGTCCGCCTCCTCGTCGCCGATATCGCGCGGTTGAGGTAGCGAGAATTGCAGCTTTCCACCCTGGAGAGTTAGAAATTTTTACAAGTCTCGAATGGGTTTTAGCGAGATGTTACTTACTTCGTCGAATACTGCTAGAATTTCATCGTTTCTGTATATGCTGCATTTGTGGACTGCTTCGTTTATGGTGGATGTTAAAATGTAGCGGTTGTTTGTTTTCGAAATACTCCCTTTAACTTTATGCCAGGTTTTACCACCATCGCACGACATGGAGTAATTATCGCGTCCATTAAAAATTATTTTTACCAAGTATTCTACAATAACAACACTCCTTATACAATTGACTCAATATCCAAGATAAGTTACTAACCATTTTCAGCGAATTTTAATTTAACATCCCTATCGTGCTGGTAATTCATTCGGAAATTCGATTCGACCACAAACGGATTGTACCGGTCTCTCTGGGTTAAGGCTAGATTTTCCTCGATTGCTCTATCCAACGACACAATCGACAGGGCCGCTTGGCACAATTGCGATGCGGTGGGTTCTTTTTTGGGAAACAAAGAATCGTAATGGTCCCTGATGAAGTTGGTGTGGACGTTTCCGGCGGCGAATTCCGGGTGACCGGCGAGATCCAGCAGGAAGTTGACGTTGGTCTCCAAACCGGCTATCTGCGAAAGAAAGACGCCCGTCAGAGGACGATGGCTGTTCACCTTTTTTGTCCCGGTGTGTATGTATGCAAATTCTCGTGCGGCGAATGTATTTGTTAATCGGTTTATTATTCGCGCTGGAAAATATATGGTGGCCGTTTCAAGGCTCGCGCAATAAAAATTCCTGTTTTCTTTTGTATTTAATCAACTGAAAAACGACCGAATTAATTAATAACGAAAAAGTAAATTTGTGTTCGAGCCGTTTTGAATTTCAAAGCGTTCGCGTAAACAATCTTGAGGAAAAAACGACAATTAACTTTTATTTATTGTGCGACAACCGTGAGTGTATGTTATGTGAATCTTAATCGCCTGAAACTAGCAGGAACGAACGATAAATTGGGTTTTTTAAGGATTTTGAGATTTTTTTGTTCGTCATAAACGTGGAGTGAATGACACAAACCGATGTTAAATTTTCCATTATCCTTGACATTCAACTATCAACATAATTTACATACTTACATTGTATTCTCGGAGTTTGGCTTTAAGTTTCGACAATCCTTCAGTCCTGTCTTTTCCCCACACCACCAATTTGGCTATCATTGGATCATAATGTACAGACACCTCGTCTCCTTCCAACACACCTACATTATCAAATAAAATACTTAATTAAGTATTTAATAATTTTTTTATTTGTTACCCGTTTCAATGCGCGTGTCATCGGAAGCTTCAGGAGGCGATAAATGCAGCAAACGACCAGCACCTGGTAAAAACCCACCGCTGGGATCCTCAGCGTAGATTCTCGCTTCGAAAGCGTGTCCTCTAAGCGGTATATCCTTTTGAGCCAACGGCAGTTTTTCCCCGGATGCGATTTTTATTTGCCATTCCACCAAATCCGTACCTACGACTACAATTCAGCAAAACAGCTCTCTAAATAACAACCTATTAAATGTACCAGTGATCATTTCCGTAATGGGATGCTCCACTTGCAACCTCGTGTTCATTTCCATAAAATGAAAATCGTGCGTGTTCTTATCCAAGATGAATTCCACTGTACCAGCTCCGACGTAACCGACGGCTTTAGCTGCCCGTACCGCAGCTGAGCCCAGCTCGTTCCGCAGCTCGGTGGACAAACCTGGCTAAATACGCACGATTTCGATACCAAATACCAATTTCCACTCAACCGCCTTACCGCTGGCGCCTCCTCGATGATCTTCTGGTGCCTCCTCTGCACCGAGCAGTCCCTTTCGTACAGATGCACGGCGTTGCCGTGCTGGTCCGCGAACACCTGCACCTCCACGTGCCTCGGTTCCGTCACGAACTTCTCCAGCAGCACCACCGAATCGCCGAAGGCCTTCTGCGACTCGGTTTTGGCCGATTCCAAGGCTTCCTCGAAGTCTTCGGGAGTGCTAGCTATTCTCATGCCTGCGAATGGTAGTGTTAAAGCTCGTTGTAAACGGACATTTAGTGTGGTTTAATCACCTTTGCCGCCTCCTCCGCGAACGGCTTTGATCATTACAGGGAAACCTATTCTGCTGGCTTCGCTTTTGAGCGTTTGGGCGGTCTGGTCTTCACCGTGGTAGCCTTGGACGATCGGTACTCCGGCCGAAGACATGATGGCTTTCGAGGTGCTCTTGATGCCCATGTCTCTGATGGCCGAAGACGGGGGTCCGATGAAGATTACGCCTTCTTTGTGGCAGGTTTCGGCGAATTCGACGTTCTCGGAGAGGAATCCGTAGCCCGGGTGGATGGCTTGGCTGTTCGAACGTTTGGCTATTTCTAGTAGTTTGTCGCCTTTCAAATAGCTTTGCGAAGCTACCGGCGGGCCTATTCTGTAAGCTTCGTCTGCCTAAAAACGTTCTTCTAATGTTCGAATAAACTTTTTTATTGCTTATAATTAGGTAATGAGATATTACTGTTTTGAAGTACCTACCATAGAAACGTGTAGAGATTTTTCATCTGCATCACTGTAAACAGCTACAGTTCTGATACCCAATCTTTTCGCTGTTTTAATTATTCTACAAGCTATTTCACCTCGATTAGCGATCAGCAATTTATTTATTTTTGTTGTCGTACTCATCCATCGCCCCCCGTATAATAGCGGTTGTTTTCTCAATCTAGAATGAATAGTGTTGTTATCAAGGTTAATTTAAAATGACTAGTAATAAAATGAACATGTAACTCACGTGTTGAATGCGCCCGTTAAATATTTGGAGTAAATCATGTTTCCACAATAAAGAATTACAATATGCCTGCACTAAAATTGACTACAAATTTCGTTAATTGTTTACGGGATTTATAATTTATCCTTATCAGTACTGTGATTGAGACAGAAACAATGTTATGAAGAAACCGAACGTTATCAAAGGTTTTTAACTAGCGTTGAACTTTTAATGCATGATAATTTTATGTTTAAGTTTGCTAATACAATTCCAAATAACAACTGAGGGGATTTAATATGCAACTTAATTGCACAAGCTTGTAAATAGACGAATAAAAGTGGTAATTCATGTATTTAAGTATTTATAAAGTCAAGTATTTACAGAAACAATATTGATATACTTCAATGTGTTAAATTGGTTGCCTAGTTAGTAGGAATAGATGTGAATTGTTTGTGACAATGACTAACGTATAAAGTTAGTAAAGACCAGATTAAAAAAAACTGAAGTAGAAGAAATGTCAATGTCAAATTTTTAACCTCAGTTATTTTATAAGGTTATGTTTATTTTAAAAACCAAGTTAATTTTTTAATTTCTGCAAAATAATGGAAGAATCGTTTTCTCAAGAGGAATTAGTATTACCACAATGTAAATATGAATGTAAGTATTTTGAGTTTACAAACATAATAGTGTCAATAACGGATTAATTTTCTAGATTTGGATCACACCGCAGATGTTCAGTATGTAGATAATTAATTTATTTTACATCATAACAGTATACTGAAGTCATAAATAATAATGACTACTGAATTCATTCCAGATTACATTCTTGGGGAGACAGCCTAAAAGAAGCCTTCGAGCAATGCGGTATCGCCATGTTCGGCTACATGACGGAGCTCCCGTCCGTAGAAATAAAGCAATCGTCGGAAATCGAAGCCACCGGCCACGATTTAGAGAGCCTTTTGTTCCATTTTCTAGACGAACTTCTATTCCTATTCAGCGCCGAACCGTTTCTAATATGCAGCAAAGTGACCATTACTCAATTCGTCTGCGAAGGCGACGAATTCAAAATAACCTGTAAATGCTACGGGGAGGAATTCACGTTAGGGAAGCACCCCCAAGGCACCGAAGTGAAAGCTATCACTTACTCGGCCATGCAAATCATCAACGAACCTAGCCAAAACAAATTTGAAGTATACGTTATTATAGATATTTAGATTAATTAGTCGTAGGTTTTATTAAAAATAACTGTTATTTTTCATAGTAGCACGTTTTGTATTACTCGAACCCCTAGTCGAATCGAATTACAGGCGCTCGTCACAGCGATTAATCACAGTGAAGAAGAGTTATCACTGTTTGACCGATATTTTATACATCAGGCGCGTGTCGCATATAATTAATATATGCGGAAAACAGGGGTGCATCGGGGTAGAGAGGGTCCCATCTGCTCGCGACTCCGCCATCTGTAGTTTGGGGATCACCGGCTGCCGACGCAGAAGGCATCGGTCAACTCATCAACCGGCACCTGTGCTGCAATAATTCCGCCAGAAAAGCTTAAATATTTCACTAAAAAAAATTCGCTGAGTGTAAATTATTTTTTTCAATAAATTGTAGTATCTGTCTAGCTAGAAATCGGCGTCTATTTTAATTTCTTTAATGGCAGGAGCAGGTTCGAGAATCGAACGGGTCACCTGTTGTCCGGATTTCCATTCGGCCGTGATTCGAGATTTAATTGCGCGAGCGGAGATAGGGCTGAAATATTAGGGTATTATCCGGAGTTGGCACCTGTCTGGGTCCGGGATTTGGGTGTTTTCGAAAATAGCCTCTCAGACGTCGCGTCGGTGCCGTTCTAAACGGGCCTATTTCGGGAATTGGTCAATTCGAAGGGTGTGAAATTCGAGCGCCGCCGACCAGTCGCGGTCCGGACCGTTTCGATTCGAACACCTGTTGTTTCTACTAATCTTCTACCTGTCCTAGCGCAGGAGCGGACTTTGCGCTAAAATCGACCATTAAAAATCGAATACTGCTATTCTACAGATTCAATAGTAATACGAGTTATTTAACGGGCAATTTCGCGCTTTTAATTATAAAAATTATCTATTATCTCGAACGGAAGAAAGTAATAACCGGGCCTTCTGCAAGAATTCGAATACCAGTTGTTTCCTTCCGTAAAAAGACGGCTGGTGGGCCCAAATATTTTTATATTCTTACACCTGTGCCAATAGGGCATCTGTAGTCGATTACTTAAAGGAAGTATCCTCCAAAAAGATAATTTATTTTGCACAAAAGAACTACCTACAGCAAATATACAAGTTATTAACAAATAACTCAATTGATAGTATTCTTGTTTCCTCTCGAAGCGGCGCTCGTTTATTTATAATTACGCATATAAATTTGCAATTGGTGCACTCGTTTGTGCAAACACACAACTCACGGCGCCAAATTATCCCAAGAATGCGCCGACCAATCATCCCATTTTTCATAATTACAGAGAGCGATCTGGAAATGATTTTAATTAATTATCGTTAATCGCAGCGCGGCCGGGAATCGCGAGAAGCGGTTCGCCTACTTCGATCCGAAAGCAGATGGTCTACCGGAGGGGGCCCGTGGGGCAGATGCGCGGCACCTGCTCTCGCCCGCCGGTCCACCTGTACGGCCGGGGCCATTATCGCTAAGGCCGCGCAAACACAACCTGCTTCCACTTGCGCGCCGTCGAAGGCCCCCTTTTCGTTATTACCGGCTATTATCCGTTCGAATTGGAAGCGGCCATGTGCGAAGCGAGTGTCACTTTTGCGTTAACGTTTTTAACGTTTCGATCGTGATTCGCCGATTTCAGATAAGCGACCAATGAGCCGTGCACTAACGAGGAACGTACGGTGTTTTTACGCTATTTAGTTTAAGCGTTCAAGTCACCGGCGGTTTACATCGGGAGCTTTTAATTATTACTGCTATTGCGTTTAACCTATTGGGGAGATACGTGATACGTATATACATAGAAGAATCCCGTTTATCTGTTTTAAACTGCCTTTGAATTAATTAGATTCAACTACCTACCTACCTACATCAGATTGGGATATCTTTTAATGGGTTCCAGATTAGAAGGGAATCATAAATTCCTGAAAAATTGACTGTTGCATACAGGAGAAAACGCTCATCGTTTACTGCCTGCCTTTCCGTATAAGTCATATAAGGAAATGGAATTTGTTATACTCTACAACAGCCATATAAGGTCCACTGTAATTCATGCCAATTTGAGAGAGTTTCCTAACTGCAATGCGTAGGTAGCTCTACATTATTCACCTCGTTTCATTTTTTATGACTTAATATCTAAACAATCATCAAAAACCTACTTTTAACAAAAACATGTCTTCATAATTTCCCACAGGAATATTAATTAATGAACGGTCCTGGTAGGAATCGGTGCTGGGTGTTTTGCACCCGGCTCGCTCGCTTTTAATCCCGCAACGGGTGCAGTGGAATCGCTCCGTCTAATATCCGCGCGGGGCCCGTTTGCACCAGAAAGCTGTAAAGACTCTTCGAGCACCTGTTCGAATTTTCATTAATTGGCGGTCCACATTTAGCGGTTAATGCGAGGCGACGTCGCTCCACACACCGCATGTTCCATTACGAACAATCGATCAGTTCTGTATTTTATACCGCGAACCTCGTGTTTATTATATTAGATATTAATTCCGCTCGCAGGTGAAGCGGTCGAAAATAAGTTTATTGGAGTCAATAGTGAGTTATTTTCGTTGGGAAAAGGCACCTGTGGAGATAAAAATAAATTCTACCTACTTCTGGCTGTTTTTTTTTGTCTAAATCGTTTAAGTCCATCCGTAGGTATTCGAATCACTGCGTTGGGGTGTATTTTTTATGCTGGTATAAATGTAAAAAAGGCATTCTTCGAATGAAGGGGGCAATCTCTAAATACCCTTCGGTATGTTTACCGTGAGAAGTAATCCTCCACCTGGACACGTTTGTGTCATCCAGCCCAACTAAATTAGTTAATAACCACATATTAAACGTTTTTATTTTTTCGAAGGATACTCGACCATTAAAACGGTCAACGATGATCTCGGTGAATATTTATGCGGGACAGATGGGGTTACGATTACGCGCGATGGCCCAATTTTTTTCAGCTTTCAAATTGCGCTCGCCGAATTTTTTATGGACGCTCGAGCAGGTGCTACCTGCCTCGATTCCACGCACCAAACAAAGACTAGACGACGCGTTTCCTTCATTCGCTGTTAATCAAACAGTCATAAATGTTGAAAGTGCGAATCTGGATGGTGCAGATGATGTAATAATATTTTGATGGAAGTGTTTGGCGAGAGTGTAGTCGAGTAGGAGGTGTTCCTACGGAGTCGCGATGGTAGAACCGTGTAAAATAGCGTCGTCGTGTGTCTTTTTTCCTCGCCGTTCACGTTTTTACGATCGACCGTGTCGCCGATGGTCTTCGAGAACATCGAAAACGCTGTTCTGTGTAGCCGGAATCGGCCGGCTTTTACCATAACGAGCGATGATCGGGCTCCCTTGATGGCGCCAGATGTTATTCGCCGCCGTTGGGCAAACTTTTTTTGCCGAGACAGCAACGTTTGATCGCGAATATTTGCACCAACTACTTACAAAACAGAGACAATTTTTTTTTCTATAAATCACTCGCTTTATTCGCTTATCTACTTTGGTGAGATCGAACTGGAAGGGGTTATACAAACGTGTTGGATTTCGTGCTATTTTTTTTATGAATGAAAGTATCGCTCGTCTGCTGGAGGTTAAAATAAACGAGAGATGTAAAAAAAATGAGCAATCTGTTTACGCGGAACCGGCGACGCGAACGGGCAACCGAAAAATATTTGGAGAATGTGGCGAGAATCAATGACGTCTGGTTTATTTCAAGGAAAATACGAACCTCGAAAATGTACTAAAAGCGTATAATAGTGGAAACAAACATCCGGCTCGGTTAACTTAACTACTCCATTTGATGTGATTTGTTTACGTAAATTCACGAATCGATTTCTTAATGTACAGAGAGATAATTTCCCTGAATCCAATCCTGTTAACTAGAAACCTTCTTCTCTAACAATAACCGAAATATTAAGTGTCTAGCCAGTCACCTTACCGATCATTTCACAGCGGAGGACCTAAAGCAGTTCAACCAAAATAGACTCGAAGAAAAATAGTAAATAGAAACGGTTCGGACGTTCGAAATGTTTTTCTAATTCCAAATCGCTTTGAGCCGTCCGGTGGTAAAGTACCTGTTGTAGATACCACGCAGAGTTTACGAATTTTAGAAGAGGAAAGATCGCCCGGCTGGCGCCAGCGGCTAATGGACCCAAAGGTCGCTTTGAATTGGAGATTTTCGGTCTATTAAATCATTGTTCATTTCTTATGGAAGTATAATTTCACAAAGCTGACGTAAATGGAAAACTGGTGTCGGTTTGGCAACGAAATTGAAGGAAAGTTTCTGATTACGTCCGGTATAAGTTACTTATTCTATTGGTGTTACATTCGCGGAAAAGTTCATGGAAATTTCTGCGCAATCTTGTGATATATTGTACAATTTCTGAAATTATAGCTGTGATGAAATTAAAAATGTTCGATGCAGACATCTGGCGCTTGCTAAGTCAAAACATCGGATTTTTTTCGAATTTAATTACTACTTATCTTAAAAAAATCATATTTTAAGCAAATTTGAATAATAACAACATATCGTAAACACATAATAGCAGCTATTTGAAAGCCATCGATAACCTTTGTTAAACGCACATAAATGAAAATTACTTCGAAAATTTCTATTACACACGCTACCTAGAAACTTGTAATCCGGCCACCCGACGTGATTTTTACCCTTCCTAATCATAAATCAAGATACCAAAAAAAACGAGACAAAGAAAACATATTTTTATACCAGATACACTTGTCTCATAATCTGTTTTTACCCTTCCGGTCCACATGGTGCAACTGTAAAATTATCCCGAATTGGAACCAGAGGGGAATGTCCAATAGGTGGGAATGGGGCAACATTAACTTTATCCTTCTTTAAGAAAACCATTCATAATGAATCATATAAAAAGTTTACTACATTAATAAAACGAATAATATGTACAAGTACCAGTATAGAAATATTTGCTTGCGAGATACAAGCGTTGGTATTGTAGTAGAAGAATGTGGAATGGTTGCGCTCCGATTTCCCCTATTTCAAACGGATATTGGCCGTCTCCAGATGTAATGGTGTAATCTAATAGTTAACCTAAACAGACGAGTCAAGTGCACATCTGGAATTCTTTCGAACGTTGTATAGGAGTTGCGTTGTTGGACCACATCTGGTCCATCCGATAATTGTTTTCCTCCATGTTTCCGCTCTTCTCCTCGAACGTTATCGCCACGTTTCTATTTTTTACGATTCATTTGCAGTCTCTTCGAGCTATCCCGTTCAAA